GACCAAGAAATCACATTGTGGGGAGGTGTTTCATTGGGGATAGGCCTCATGAGGGCTTGTATCTTTCTAAGACTCCTTCTTAACGTCAATAAGGAAATCAAAGTTGTACTCGAGAGGTTAGAACATTAAATTGAAATATTCTCCAGGTAATCTGATAACATAAAGGAATACTGCAGAGTATGTAAGGGTGTGATCATCCATACTGTCAGCTACAGTCACATAGGTGATATATGGCCCATGGTATTATGATCTTGTGTAGCTGTATAGTAGGCTTTTGTACCTGTACTGGGGGCCTTGTATAGCTGTTCTAAGAGATATCTATAAGGGCCTTGTATATTTACGCTGAGGGCCTTGAAGAAATACTAAGAGATGCATATATTTAAAATGAGAGCCTTGTATACTTATACTGAGGGCCTTATATATCTGTACCAAGAGATGTTTCTATTTATATTAAGGGCCTTGTATATTTATACCAAAGGCCTTGTATAAATGTACTAAGAGATGTATATATTTATAATGAGGGCCTTGTATATTTATACTGTGGGCTTTGTATACTTATTAGAGATATATTGTAGGATTATACTGAGGACCTTGTAAATCTGTATGGGTCTTGCATCTATCGATTATTAATGTGACCCGAATCAGCCTTCAGTGAAAATTCTTGAATTTCAAGATCATGATTTTTAAGTAATTCCTACAAAAGATGCTTCAAGTAACAGTAGCTCATCTACAATAGATGCATTGAGGTTTATTTTTGACTGACTTGAACAAGATTATGAAAATGATGTCAGAATGTCAGGTTGGTCTAAATAGAAGAATGGATGTCAGGTTGTTTTAAATAGAGATGTACTTGGGGGATTCTGTGTGAATCTCTAAATAGTTAATCATTTAACAACTTCTAAAAATTATAAGATTGTTCAGTATATGAAGGTTTTAGTGTACCAATATTTGCATATGTGAGAAGGCAAAAATATGTGACTGATTTAGTATATAGTCATATACTTTGACAAGATGCAAATTATTTAAATTGCAGATACATGTACATGTTCTGCATATTCAAATGGAATTGTAATCAGAAAATTAATACACTAATGGTAAATCAATTAGTTCAGAGAGCAAGGCTCTTAAATGAGCAATTTTAATGATTTTTTTTCTTTGTTTGAAATTTTATTCTATTTACTGGCTAGAAGTAACTTACATCCATTTCACAATATTGATGTCCTATAAAATATCACGAACGCTAATTTGTGATCGTAACTATCTTATCGACATAAAACTTGTAATTTAAAAATCATCTGTTTTAGTCAGAATAATAGTGGTAGTGTGACTCGCTGTTGGATTTTGTGTGACATTTGTTGTTATAATACCTTCCCATAGTCTACCCAGAGTCTAGTTTCAAGATGAAGCTCTCTTTTAAGAAGCGAAGTCTAACAAATGCTAAGAGTACATACTTTGCTATGTAACAGTCAAAACTTTCTAGCAAATATTTTTGGTTAAAAACATTAATCTTGATGACTTCACTTCTGAATAACTAGGTACCTATGTTACCATGGCAACCACTTGAAATTACAGGTAGTTGCCCTTAATGAAAAAGTCATTTTGATCTTAGGTTATTTCAATTCCATTCTCGCAGCAGTGAAAATTAAGTGTCAAACTTTTAAATATGAAATGTAGGTATCATGTCTGTTTACTTGATTCCTCGCTAATTCCACTCTTCTATTCTGATTGGCATTTTGAAGTTTGGTTTTTAGTCATTTTACGCACTGGATGAGTTCTACTGAGTAGTTGAACCCGAGTAAGGGTCAAGGTCAATAACCCAAGGCTGGTAGCGCAACTCTCTACATATTAATACAACGAGGAATTTCAAAAAGTAATAGACATTGCTATTTTCTATTGATCATTATATATTGCATGTGGTACACATGTATATTTCCTGATATTATTTCTGCAAATTCTAACATAGTGTATGTATAATTGCATATGTGCAGCAAACAAACACTTATTCATCTATTCATGACAAAAACAGACAAAACAGTACAGATGTATTATGTAGATATGTTCATCATTCATCATTAATCAATAATATATTGCATGCAGAATACATGTACATTTCCTGATATTATTTCTACAATTTACTTACTGAAAAATACATATTATTGACATTAAACTCTAGAAACATAAAATGTATATCAAACAATTACAGTTGACTTGTTAAAGGCCCCATGTAAAGTTTAAACCACTTTGGCTTATATTGTAGTCTTACCCAATGTTATCAAAGTGTGATATGTGAAACTTTTTTTTAAAATTTCAAAAAGTGGTTTTTGATTTTGTTCCAAAATTTGTGAATTTATTTAAAACCAACTTTTAGAGGTCACTCATATCTTCTAATTAGCCACAATTCATACCAATGCATAGCATTCATCCTCCCATGTTTTTTGCCGAAAAAATTAAGAAAATCGGTTGATAAACAAGCGAGAAATGAACTTATTAGTGCATGAAAATGGTTCTGAGAAAAATGCATTTCAAAATTATAGCTCTCATAGAAACCAATGGTACAATGATATCTAAAACATAATTCATTCTTCCTTTTAACCTGGTTAGACAATCAACATTGGTTTTTATGTCCCCACCACATAGTGTGGGGCCATATTGTCGGCCTAGGCGCGTCCGTCCGTCCGTCTGTCTGTCCGTCTGTCTGTCCGTCTGTCTGTCCGTCTGTCCGTACGTCCGGCAGTTTTCTCCAAAACCGCTACAGATATCACCTTCAAATTTTCAGGGATAACTTATGAGTGCATACAGATGTGGATGAAAAAAAATTAACTCGATACCTACTTCCTGTCGGCCATTTTGAAGTCGAATGCTAAAATCCTTGTCTGCAAACTTTAAGAAAAACTGCTTCACAGTTGCTTTTAAAACAAAAAAATTAACTCGATACCTACTTCCTGTCGGCCATTTTGAAGTCGAATGCTAAAATCCTTGTCTGCAAACTTTAAGAAAAACTGCTTCACAGTTGCTTTTAAAACTTTAACATCTTGTTCAGCTCACTTCATTCTAGATCTGATTAGGTTTTGGACCTGCTAGCTCAGTCATGTCAGCCATTTTGAATGTCTTAAGAAAAGTTAGCGCGCGATAATACTTTGTATCATATTGAATGGTGTTTTTGAGTTTTCATACTTTAACTATTTAGTAGCTTTATAAATAATTTCAGATGTACTTTGCTGTACAAGCCTACTTTATTGTTAACAGTAGTTATATGTGATAATTTTGTAAAAAGAAATCAGCAAAAACTCATAAGGACTTTTTTATTGTCGGCCATTTTGGATTTTTCGGTCCTAAAATCTTGTCTGTGAAGTCTTGTCTGCGCGTTTTCAGGTGAACCGTTTGGTGGATCAATTTCAAATTTTCAGGGATGATTCTTAGTATAAAAATCTAGATCTCATTAGTTTTTTGGCATTCTGGGTAAATGTCAAGGCAGCCATTTTGGATTTTCCGTCCTAAAATCTTGTCTGTAAAGTCTTGTCTACTCGTTTTCAGGTGAACTGTTTCGTAGATCAATTTCAAATTTTCAGGAATGATTCTTAGTATGAAAATCTAGAACTGATTAGTTTTTTTCCATTCTGGGTAAATGTCAAGGCAGCCATTTTGGATTTCCGTCTTAAAATCTTGCCTGTAAAGTCTTGTCTACGCGTTTTTAGGAGAACGGTTTGATAGATCAATTTCAAATTTTCAGGGATGATTCTTTGTATGAAAATCTACATCTGATTACTTTTTTTGCATTCTGCGTAAATGTTAAGGCAGCCATTTTGGATTTTCTGTCCTAAAATCTTGTCTGTAAAGTCTTGTCTACCCGTTTTCAGGTGAACCGTTTGGTAGATCAATTTCATATTTTCAGGGATGATTCTTAGTATGAAAATCTACAAACTGATTAGTTTTTTGACATTCTTGGTAAATGTCAAGGCAGCCATTTTGGATTTTCCATCCTGAAATCTTGTCTGTAAAGTCTTGTTTACATGTTTTCTGGTTAACTGTGTGACGGATCAATTTCAAATTTTCAGGGGTGGTTCTTAGTATGAAAATCTAGAACTGACTAAATTTTTGGCATTCTGGGTAAATTTTAAGGTGGCCACTTTGGATTTTCCGTCCTCAAATTGTGTTGGTAAAGTCTTGTCTACTCATTTTCAGGATAACCATTTCACGGGATCACCACTTGGTGGGGACATTTTGTACACATTTGTGTTCTTGTTTATGAAAGTCTAGCATATTTAGAAAAGATTAACATCTAAAAAAAAGTTCAATTTTTTTCAAAAAGTTTTTGTTACCTTAGTGACATCACTAATGTTTCAAAATATTTTTGATATGCTAAAACATTGAAGTGGCACATTAATTATGGCATTTTATTATTGAAATAGTGTGTCCTTTGTTCAATCTTTGCATTGGTGTTAAAAAGATAATCTTTTTTGAAATGCATTAAGAAATATTTGATGATAAAGAAATTTCAACTTTTTTTGAAAAATGGCGGGAAATTTGAATATTTGCGAAATGAAATGCTCACAACATTTTTTTCAAAATTTTCTTTTTGTTCAAAAATCTCTAAAATCACTTTTTAAGTCCTGACAAATAGTAAATGAATGATAAAAAAATATTTTCAAACTTTAGACGGGGACTTTAAATGTTTTTGATCCAAGTTTTACTTTTGATCTTTGAAGTGTTCGTTATATTCTGTCAACCATAATAGCATAAAACAATAATATTCTGTCAACCATAATAGCATAAAGTAATAATATTCTGTCAACCATAATAGCATAAAACAATAATATTCTGTCAACCATAATAGCATAAAACAATAATATTCTGTCAACCATAATAGCATAAAATAATAATATTCTGTCAACCATAATAGCATAAAACAATAATATTCTGTCAACCATAATAGCATAAAACAATAATATTCTGTCAACCATAATAGCATAAAGTAATATTTCATTTTCTGTGTGTTTCAGCCAAACCAGTTGTGGGTACAATTAAGAAGTTACGGTTACAGCGTGATGACTTTGAGACTCTCAAGATCATCGGGCGTGGTGCTTTTGGAGAGGTACGTATTCCTATTATCCAATCAAAGGGCTTTGGCAGATCGTTCTGACACTCGTCACGTCTCTCTGTTTTCAAACTAGAAAGAAAGGAACTGATACAAGGCCGTGATCTCTCACGATGGGGGATATGAAATTTTTACCCAAACATTTTGGGAACAAACCTATATAAGTCAGTATAAATCAGTAGGGTATAACCTTTTGGGAGTCAAACTAAGTATGATTAATTCTACAGTATGAAACATTTCGGTATCAAACTGACAGATATCAAACCTACAATGATCGTATCTGAATGAATTAAACACATTGGAATCAAACATTATCATCTCTCTTGGGGTATACCACCCTACAGAGACCGAGAAAAGGAGCCGATACAATTACCAACACTGCAATTAGGGAGATATAGATTAAGCTATTTGAACCATATGGTGTGCTTGACATATTAAAACTGATCTAGAGTGATGTTTTAGATAGAAATACCCAGACGCAAGCACTGTGGAGATATATCATTGAAAGATGTATATTTTTAGCGCTATTTCAGAAGTTTACGATCTCTCTAAATTCCTCGCACTTGCTGTGAGAGGATCAAACTCGTTAGAAATAGTGATAAAAAAGCTCATATCCTGTTTCGACTCTAGAGTAGTGTATGAACATGAGTTACTATTAGTTGTGCTTTTCTAAGAAAGATTTTTTTCTTATTTTCTGGTCGGATGGGCCAACCAGGAAGGTTCCTTTAAATTTGAAAATGAGTTGTAAACATAGATCTATTTTTAAATGTTAATGTTTTAAATTCTATTCTATTCAAATTCTATCACTGTTAAATTTTATATCTGCTTTATATGGGCTTAGCCTTTGGCAGATTATTGACATAGGCATAGAGGATGTGAATATACCAAAAAATAATTGTATGATCTAGATACTAGAAAGATGTGGATACTAGAAATATGTGGAAGTGGTTGGTTTGAACAAAATATATTTGAGCAGCGAAACATTCAAACTTTTCATCTTTTTGGTATTTATGTATACTTGTATATAACGATTAGATGTCATAATTCATGTCTTTTCACTGTATTTCACATTATGCACATTCCTCTATTTTTCACTCTACGGTTCAAAATGTGACTTCAAGCATGTCTTACTCCATGTGAAAGTTACATCTTATACCAGCTAGAGATGTTTTCCATCATGGTGTAGTTTGCATGAAATCTATACATGTTGGATCAATATTATTGTTCCCTTAAAACATATTTTTCTGGCTCTAATTTTAGTAAGCTGAAGTCAGTCTGATACACAGCCACAATAAATGGCTGATCAGAGTCCATATCTTGGAACATCAGAGTGCATATCTTTTTGAATTTGGAACATTGGTGTATTTACCAGCTTGCTATATCAAAAAATAAAAAAAGACCTCAGGTACAGAGATCTTTTTCCAAGAGCACCTATTAGCTGGCAAATTTGAAAAGCATACCCTGGTATTCAAGTCTATTGGCTCCTATCTTACCAATACAGAGAGCAACCATAGATACCACACTGTGGAATCAGGGCTACTTCCAACTTTTATTGATACATGTCAGTCTGATATATAGCCATGATAAAATGGCTTATATTGTCAATCATAGAGTGAATCTAGATTAAACTTATTGCACCTCTATAAGTGCTATCGTTTTGTGCTGCTTGTGTGCGTGTGTCTGGATAGGTGGGTTAGGCAACATAAATTACAGATGCAAGAAGAGGCAAGGGGCAAGATCTGAATAGGTTTAGGGTTATGGGCATGCTTGGTAAATTATATAGTGACCACTTGTTCTTCACTCCACGATCACTGTGTGTCTTGTCCTATTTTTTAATGGACTTCAAATTAGGCTGCTTGTTTAACTGTATTGTCCAACAGTTCAATTTTAATCCTTGCAAATTCTACTATTGTCTGTCAACTAAATTCTGGATTTTAAAAAACTGACGATTCTACAACAGGCTTCGTTCAGAAACTGATACTTTCTTATTATATTTATAGGTGGCAGTGGTGAGACTGAAAGAAACTGACCAAGTGTACGCCATGAAAATACTAAATAAATGGGAAATGCTAAAAAGAGCGGAGGTATGAATTAAGATCTTTCTCAGAATATGTATAACAAATTAAGTTCAGTCAATCATTGAAATATTTTTATATACTCATGTAGTTAATACAGACATTGTTTATGATATTCATAAATTCAGAATAAGTGATAAAGTTAAATATTGAAGTGGATGTGTTAATCCTATTGTTTGCTTAGTATATTTACAGCAGTCATAAATGCTACAAATATTTGTTCAATATTTTTTGTGATACCCTGTATTCAAACATTCTTCCATGACTCTAGATCCATTGTGTTTATAACCAAGTTAATAACAGTGTGTTACCCTGTATTGAATGTAACAAAACCATTGTTCTCTTCTCTGTGTGTTTTATATGGTTACGGTTTATAACAATATACAGGGTGTTTCGTAAATTCTTGCAAATATATATATTTTCAAGTGAAATTAAACCTTTTTCACTGAACATTCCTTGAACTTAGATTGCTGCAATCTGATTGCACCAAACATCATTTCCCCAAAAGTTTTAGGGGGTGACTTGATTCGTAAACTTTTTGCAAGGGTTTATGAACACCTTGTAGTTTGATGTTGTCTCACATACCTGTACATGTGATTTTATAGAATTGTGAAATGTTGTATCACAAATAGCGTGTTTCTTCTACTCTCATTAACGCTGCGTGTGTGTTTAAAATGTTAATTTGCAGACGGCCTGTTTTAAAGAAGAGCGTGAGGTATTAGTGAAAGGAGACCAGCGCTGGATCACACAATTGCATTATGCATTTCAGGATCAGTTTAATTTGGTAGGACTTGTAGAACTAGGACTTCTAGCCCTAGGACTTGTAGCACTAGGACTTCTAGCCCTAGGACTTATAGCACTAGAAGGTGTAGACTCGCTTATAGCTCCCCTTCTCTCTCTCTCCCTCTCTCTTTTGTGGACAAGTTTACAAAATGTATGTAGTGTATAAATAAACTTTACCTTTTAGATTTCAGTCTTGATACAGTCTTACATTTGTAGTATGCATATATTTTAAAATTATAAAATCCAAAAATTGCATATAATTGCATTACACACTGTTCACTATTTGTGAGGTTGTCCATATCTGTTTTTTCCATAAGCTTTGATCTCAACCAGATGATGTATGCAGACTCTGAATTGTTTAAAACTGATATGGAAATTGATTAATTAATTCATTAATTACCATGATTTTTTAAAGCTGCCACTTGGGCAGGCTTCACCCAGTTGCTGCTTCGATTCTGGAGAGATCATTGTTTTTAAAAGCACTCCTACCAAATTTCTAAATGTAGAAATGATGAATTCTTCAAGTGGAAAATGCTAATTCCGCATGAATTTTAAAATTCTGCAAATCCATGGGCCAAGACAATTTCTGTCTGCTCTATGTTGAAGATGGGAGGAGTGTATGAGTGTATAAATCTACCTATATATAGATAGGTAGTCCTGTATCATAGTCTCTTTAAACTAACCAAAATTTGAATTTGCATTCATGATTCTCACAATTCCTGGTGTATTTCTTGTGACATACAAATACTTTTAATCTTTTAAAGTAATTAATGAATGCAAATTCCGATTCCTTTGTTCTGATTTTCAAAAGGTGGATAGCAGGCCATTCAGTTCATCATTATCTACCATTTCAAAAAATGAACATCAAACTTAACATACCTGTCCTTCTAAACATTTGCATGTGAATAATAATAAGTTAAATATCTGGGTAGTGTGCATGATAAATGTAATTCCTGCTTGAATATGGGCAATCGTTTTCTGAAATCATTCCATGAATAGAATTATTTTAGAAAGGATTGCGCCATATTCGTTTTTAGCTAACCCCCTCTACCCCTAGTGTAGTAATATGTAATATAGATGGCGCTCTAAATGCTTGCAAATCTTTGCAGACGGCCTGCTTTAATGAAGAAAGGGATGTTCTTGTCTATGGAGACCACAGATTTATTACAAATCTACATTACGCCTTTCAGGATCAAACTAACCTGGTAATGTATTGGTGTTAATCAAAATTTCAGGGTATGAAATCCCCCCTTGCTTGTTAGCTCACATGTTTTTAAAAGAAAGGGGGTATGAGTTCTTGACCCCTGATCTTGGAAGATTGTATTGCTAATTTGGCATTAAGATTTGCATTATGCACAAAATCAAATAAAACAATCTTTGTGATGGTTTATGCATTTTACAGCCAGCTTTAAGTTCATATATAGAATGAAATAGATCTTTCTTATTTCCCGCCACCGTTTGATATATCAGAGAAACTTCGATATATTGGCTAGCTTCTCTATCTTCTGGTACCTTGATGATGTCATAGGTTGTATCTTTCAAAATTAGTCATAGGTTCTTCTTGTTTTGCATGGTCAGATCTCTACCTACAACCAATGACATCATCAATTTAGCCATAGTTTTCTAATGTATCAAAAGGTGGCAGAATTTTTACATTTACCAGGAGAAATCATTGTGATAAATACTAACCCTGCAGAAATAAAAATTATATTGAAATTATGCTTGCACCTCTGCACTTGTTAAATTGTCAAGTATTTATTTATTTTATCATAGTTAAAATGATATTATTAACATATTGTATGCCTAAAAGCCAATTTTGGGGTGGCATCCATTGTTACAAGTCAGAAAAAATATTATGTAGCAATATTTAGATAAGAAATCATTATTAGATATCTTAAAAGCATGATATTATATGAATATATATAGTTCGTTCCATAACCTAAATACTAGATTTGATTTGTCAAAGAGCAGTTCATGATTTTTACTATTGCCCACACAATGCATTACTGATTGATAATATTTGCGGTTTCTTTTATTTATGATATTTATTTTCTGTAGTTGTTATTATTGTAAGTTAGCCCTACTTTTGTATTTTGAATTCAGACTAATGTTGAAGCTAAACAATAAAGAAATGCTCTAAAATCTATTTAAAAATGAAACGTCATTTGTTTGATTTCAGTGAAGCAAAAATAAATAAATGTACAATAAATAATATAAATATACTTGTATGTCACTTAAAATAAATAAAGTAATGACATTTTGTTGCACCTAATATTAATAAAATGAATATTATTTTTTTTATTTTTGATATTTCAGTATCTGGTTATGGATTACTACTGTGGAGGGGACCTATTAACTTTGCTCAGCAAGTTTGAAGACCGCCTACAAGAAGATATGGCCAGATTTTACATTGCAGAAATGGTGCTAGCTATAAACTCAATACATTCTCTAAGATATGTACATAGGGATATAAAACCCGATAATGTGCTGTTACAACGGAATGGACATATAGTTTTAGCGGACTTTGGTAGTTGTTTGAAATTACTCGAAGATGGGACTGTTAAAAGTTCAGTTGCAGTAGGAACCCCGGATTATATCTCTCCTGAGATTTTACGGGTTAGTGATGTTTTATCCTTGGGGGGGGGGGGTGTCATGGTGGCCATGTTCTAAAATGAAGAGTCAAACGAAGAAGAATGGGATCGGGAAGGAATATAGAGAATAGTCTCAAATGTTGTATTTGAAAAAAATGCTGGCATTATATCATATATTAGGGGCGGGGTCAAAATATCGATGTTCATATGGAGACGAAAGTACTTTCGCGAGGGGGGGGGGGGGGTTTGGGCACTTTCGTTGACCAAAAAAACATCGATAATTCGGATCTGATATACAAAAAATAATTGGACTTACCCACTTTTTCTGGCGCTATGTTCTGATAAAAAGGCTTGTTTTCAATAGTTCGTGAGCTTTTTTGTGTGATAGGTCCAAAATATCGGTAGATAAAGATGATAATTCGATCATTTTTCAAATAAATTCCGTACTTTTCCCTCCTTCTTTTGAAGAGTTCAATGCAGTTAAATTGCGAACGTGTGTTAATTCACCGTAATAATAACCCGGCAAATAGGATACGATTATGCCAATGTTTTTTTGAAGTGACCTAAGCTTTTGTCTAGAGGGGGGGTGGGGGGGTTGTTGTCCAAACGAAATTACTTTCGTCTCCATATGAACATTGATATTTTGACCCCGCCCCTTAATGTTTTAGAGAACTTTCGAGCATGATACCTGGGGACACATTTTGGTGTTTAAACTATAGTCAGAAAATTAAACTGTCATACATTGTTGAAAAATCATAATCTTTTTCTCTATTTATATTAATGTTGATCACTAATTTTTCTATTTTTTTTTCAGGCAATGGAAGATGGGCATGGTCGTTATGGGCCAGAATGTGATTGGTGGTCCTTAGGGGTATGCATGTATGAAATGCTCTATGGGGAGACACCATTTTATGCAGAATCTTTGGTGGAGACATATGGCAAAATCATGAATCACAAGGTGAGTAAGAATATGATTTGGTTTACTGGATGGATTATGGTTTCAAAATACTGGTTGAGATTCTGGTTACAGATAATTGGTTGAGATTGTGTTTTTGAAATACTGGTTGAGATATTTTGTTTTTAGATGCAAGTTAAGATTGTGCTATCAAAATACAGATTGAGATTATGTTTTATATGAGTTCTTCTGTTCACATTTTCAAAAGCAACTTTTTTCTACTGCGAGTTAACCAAAAAAAAATTCCTGATATATTATAAAGAAGTCCAATGTCAGGTTTAATAGTAGCCTTAGTCCAAATCTTATCCTGAATGACCATAAATCCAAGTGGCTATCATGTTAGGTATACATGTACTGTACTTTACTTTCCATACTGCTCTTCTGTACAGAATAAACAACATTACAAATTATGAATGATAACATTTTAAAATGCTTACTTTAAAACATCATTAAATTTTTGTGAATCCGTCACTCTTAGACACGGTTTAATTAATTTTAATTTTATTTACAAAAGTTCTTCAGTCAGTAAACCATTTGAGAGAAGGAAGCTCTTCAGTGTCCAGACATTCCTACGTTTAAATAATATGCGCCAAAAATACTGCTTTTTTAATGGTTGGGATTGTGGAATTCAGTTGAGGTTTTACATGTTCAATGTTTGTCCATTCCCTCATAGATACCAGCTGGTTTTTATGAGTATTTACTACCAATTACCATTGACCTTAGATTAAGTGCAATTTATTATGTGTACTTTACAACCGCAATTTAGATACCTAGTACTAGAAAACATCTGAAGCAAACTTCAGTTTTCAGTTCACTTCCATAAGTTATGAAGATTTATTTTATTTATTTATTTGTTGATGCTGTGTATACTAGGAGACATGTACATTATACATTTTTATGACTTTTAAGCATCTGCCCTGTTTGGGCCAGGAACGTAATGTCCAATTAAAAAATTAGATGAGAACCAATCCATTTTGACATGTTAAAGATACCTCATCACAACATACATACACTATTACCCTGAGCTCATGGTTTCATCTGACAAGGACAATCATTTTACTGTCAGGGTGCACCTGGGGTCAGGCAAATATGTGAACATATATTAGGCTCTGATATGCTTAGTGAGATCAGAGATTCATTGGTTTTTAAAGAGTATGAGAGTTGGTCATACATGGAAAGGGCTCGTTTGACCAAACCCCGGGATATTCAAGCGTGATTTGAAAATTAAATTTTCTTAGTTAGCCTAGTACGCACCTGATTGCAAACTAACTGGGGTACTGTATGTGTTTACTCTTGTGCAAGTATCTTAGCCTAGAATGCCAGAGCTCTTATGTCGAGAGGGATCATTATTCAGCACACCAAGGATCATCAACAATCTAATCAACATGTAGCTCTTTAAAGAAAATGTAATGATATTTAATTGGAATATCTCCTAGAAGAGACATTTTCAAGAATGTATTTTGAGATGGGTAAAGAGGCTGTCATTTTTCATATCTATATCTGTGTGTTCATATATGCATATTCTTTAAATAGGCATTCTTCTTAGTAGTTTTGTGTTAGCCTTGGTTAGAATAAATGATTTCTACATACATAGGATGTCTAATTGAATTCTCAAAAAATAATAAAATAGAAAAAAATGATTTTGTTTTATGACTCCCCTCTTCCTCCCAGCCTTCCATAGAAACAAGGTTCACATTGTTGTACATAGTTACCAATTCATTTATAGTGAAGATTATTTGAATGAATTGATAACTGTTTTTGTGAATATTTTTAGGCACATCTGCACTTCCCTGATGACATCACAGATGTATCGACGCAAGCGCAAGACCTGATAAGTCGACTAATCTGCAACCAGGAGGTGCGATTTGGACAGAATGGTCTACAAGACTTTATGAACCATCCATTCTTTGAGGGCATAGATTGGGATAACATACAAGAGAGTAAGATATTTCAATCTTTGAATTTATTAATTTTTTATTTTCTTATTGTTATTGGAATTATTTGATAGAAGAACTTCAATCAAACTATACATTGATTTTTTGTTCCAGTTGCAAAAACATTTAAACATTTAAAGAAAACCATTGAAGTTATTTTTAATTCAATTTACAAAAATGTTTGAGTAATGTCCAAGAACTTTGATTACATTGGTTTAAAATAGAAACATTTAGATGTAATCGTTCATATCTTGCTTGTGACATTTCAGCCGAAGCTCCGTATATCCCAGAAGTCTCTAGTGCTACAGACACGTCAAACTTTGATGTTGACGATACAGATTTTAGACCAAGTGTAAGTGAACGTGGAGTTATTTTATAAAAAAAAACAATTGATATGAGGTCACTTGAGATATTTTTTGCCTGGAAAATTTTTTGAATATGCAATTGGATTACTGTACATATAATGGGGTTTCAAAAACTACAAATAGTTTTTTACAGAGTTAATTATAAAAACTCAAGATTCTTATAATGCCGTTTTGTGAATTTCATGTTTTATGAGTTCTGTAATCTAACTTCAGTATGTGTTCTTTCAAGCGTTCCTTTCTTTTTGTTCCCCCTCTCAAGTTCTAATATTCTCTACATGTATATTTATGTTTAGAGTCTTATTTGTCCCTTTCAGGATGCTGTGCCTCCAAATTCCCATTCTGCATTCACTGGTCACCACCTTCCATTTGTTGGTTTCACATTCACCAAGGAAAGGTAATACATTACTGGTCATTTAAATAAAGGGACATTCCTTGTGAGCCCATTCCTATTCTGATATATCTAGATAGCAGTTGATTGGCTGTATAAACCACATCAGGACAGCAATGGGCTATGGGCAAGGAATATACCTTTAAATGAATATTCTACTATGTTTTATATTGATGATTTATAATATTTAAAAAAATGGTATTGTTGATGCCAATTTATATTCAAAACGGCTGCCATATGTGTCTCACTTTATCGAAAATTAGTCTATATATTTTGAATCAAATATTTTTGAATCTATAATGTAGCTTACAACTAATACATACAGAAGTTAATAAATGTTCTGTTCTTTAATGCCAATTTATATTCAAAATGGCTGCCACAAGTGTCATAACAAGAAACTTTAGAAATTGGAATAATCTTGTCCCGTTCTGATATTTCATTTCAGCCTCTTATCTGACATGGGCAACCTAAGTGAAGCAGGTCTTGCAGGTAATGATCAAGCAATGGACAGTTTAACATCACAAGCTTATGAGAGGCGGATACAAAAATTAGATAGGGAAAATAAGGAATTATCTAGGAAATTACAAGGTTTGTACACATGTGATTGTTTCGGGTTTTCCTTGCCATTGTGGTACATATGTAATCATAATAGGGTTCATGGGGAAAACTAAAAACTGAAATACTGTTCAAATAATTCAGTGAATTGAAAGTAATGATAACCAGTTATAAGGAAACTGACAGATTTTTGAAGTATGGTAAAACATGTATAATGGCATACATCTGAAAATAGAACACAACCACAAGTGAAAAACTTCAATCAAAATCACAGTACCCATTTACATAATGTTCTGTAATGTAGAACCCCCCCCCCCCAGTAGAAAACCGTTCTAAGGTACTAGAGGTTTTCTCTTCACACAGGTTTTACTGTATATGTGATATTTAATATTTCACAAAATATTTTACCCTATATTTTATTCACTCTAACTTATAAAGTTCTAATATTTGTAGATGCTACGCGTACAATACAGAACAGACATACAACGAATGAAGCACCAGGCTCTCCTGCCATTGGTAAAACCAACGAAATGGAGATGCGTCGACTCAAAGAGGAAATCGCTGCTTTGAAGAATAAAATTTCAGGTATATACAGTACTTCACTAATGCAGATATTCTTAGAGAAATAACTGTGAATTGAATCATTGATATCAGAATGAACAGGTAGCATATCTCACACTATAATCAATGAAATAGACAGCAAATTCTATAATGCATCAATATACATGTAATAGCCAAATATCCCATAATGCATTGTTTTAGCAGACAGCATGTCCCATAATGCATCATTATAGCAGATGGAATATCCCATAATGCACCATTGTTATTACAGACTCCCAGGTGGAATCAAACAGCATGGAGAGAGACTTGCATGAGGCACTTGCCATTAAGAAAGAGCTTGAAACTATGGAAGGAGATAAAGTTGCCAGACTGAAAACTATAGAGAAAAGCAACAAAATATTGAAAACAGAAAAAGAAGACATGCAGAGAGTAAGAGTCTTTGTAAATTGTAATTTTTTATCAAGAAGATTTAGAAATCTCAGGAAGTCTTGTAAAAATATTTATAAAGCTAAGCTAAGAATATAACGTGATAACAACATTCCCAAATATGTATGTTTTACACATGTAATTTTTTTATTTATATTTCAGGAGATGAATAGTTTACAAGAAAAGTATAAGGCCCAAACTAAGGAGTTGAAAGATGCACTTGCACAAAGGAAGCTAGCTATGGATGAATTCACAGAAATAAATGAAAGGTATATATCAAGCATTTTGTTTGTTTTATTTCAAAATCATATTGAGGTAGATTATGAATAGTTCTCATCGCAAAATGTCGCGACCATTTTTACAAATGATTTGTATAGGTGTAAGTCGGGCTTATAGGACCATCTTTAAATGATAAGAATGTTGATTAATACTTAGTGATGGCTTTTCAATTCTTGCTTCCAGATTGGCTGAGCTTCGTAGCCAGAAGCAGAAGTTATCGCGGCAGGTCCGTGATCGTGAGGAGGAATTGGAAGATAACCGTCAACGTACAGAGAACTTAAAGCAAGATCTTCGCAAGTCAGAGAAAGCCAAACGTGAGGTAGGCATCAATTAAACAACTATTTAAAAATATATTTTTTACAAATTGTTACTAAAAGGGAAGAACCTATACAATGTGCCCTTTTAAACATTTTCAATTTCAAAATGCAAATTATGAGTAGTAAAATGCTCATATCCTATCTCAGGTGCATTTAGCTGCATTCTCTATGGTCTGTGTGTCCAGTCCCATCAATGAATGTCCACCATCCTGCACTACACAAGCGCCATTCATCATTGATGCATCTTCAGATGCCAAGAACACAATCAACTTGGCAGTCGCGTCAGGTGTCCCAACCTTCTTAATAGGAACCCCTTTAGCCAGTGATTCATATTTAGCTTCAACTTGGGCATCTGTTATTGTTGGATCACATTTGTACATAACCTCCGTATGCACATACCCAGGACAAATTGCATTCACTCTAACACTCTCAGAGCCATATTCAATCGCAGCACATTTAGTAAAATGGTTAAGTCCAGCTTCGGCAATGTTAAAGAAAATCCCTCTATCACGTGGTCTCACACCGCATATGCTTGAGATATTAACAATGTTACCTTGAGTTTTCTTCAATTCTGGGAAGCAAAGCTTTGATAGGAAAATGGGGACTTTGAGATGTAAGTTGATTTGCCTGTCAAAGCTTTCCTCAGTCGCTGTGAGAAGAGAACCTGATTCAGACTGTCCAGCATTATTGACCAGCACATCTATTCTACCAAATTCACCCATAGCCATATCGTGTATTTTCTTCATAGTATCATGTTCATCGAAACTCCCTTGTACCATGCAGAATTTAGCAGTTTTTACACCAATGGCTCTACATTCTTCAACTGTCTTTTCCATTGTGTTCAGATCTCTGCCATGAATCAGCACATTTGCTCCTTCCTTGGCAAACAGTAAGGCTGCAGCTTTTCCAATACCACTGTTTGATCCAGTAACTATAACTCCCTTTCCTGTGAACTTCATAATGGTGTTTGTACTAGTCTAGGAGAGAGAGTCTGTGAGATGCGTTCTCAGCTTTTATTGTTTAGCTTCATAGAAGCTCCATATTCAAATGTCCACTTCAGATTTCTATTCAGTTCTATCTACTGTTTTGTAGTTTATATCTTTAGTATGAAGAACAATGGTCTCTGTTCAACTGTTCAACTGTTATGTATACATTTGCGTATAACCTAAGTGGATAGTTTGTATTTCAAGAAAAATATTTTGTATGCCTTGTCATCTTTTATCTGTTTTTATTAACAATTCACTATCCAGTAGATAAACTGCTCCACGGGGTATCTTTTGATATCCAGTATATATATAGATTATACTCAAGTCTGTTTGACCTTCAATCGCTATACTGTTGTTTAATGTGCTGCTGTACTGCCACACTGTACTTTAGTGTTATCAGGCAACAAGGAAGAGATTTCAACTGCATATGTGTTAAATCAGGTTTAGTTGAAAATGTGCAACTTGAATTTCTTTGTTCATGTCGTCTTGACTCTGCATTAAATCTATGCTCAGTGTTATCAATGTTGTATAGCTTATGTCAAGATGGTTGTTTGTACAATAACTGAGTAGATTGTGTGCTAAGATATAAAAATGGCTCATACAATTCTAGGCAATAGAGGACAAGGTCAATTCATTGAATCACATCATTATAAAAACATGCCATTGTAATATTTTTGTAAATTTTTCTGTTTTTGTATATAAGTTAAGTCTAATAAATTTTAAATTAAAAAAAAATTAAATAAAAACATGCCATTGCATATCTTCTCCGTTGCAAGTGAAACAAAAATGTGATAAAAATACAAATGATTTTTTCCTTTAAAACTTTGTTTATGATGTTTGGGAGAGTTGGGACATTATTGAGTATTGTATCCCTGTCAAACTTGCAATTGTATGATTGGTCAAAACTGGGTCACATGTCATAAAAAATCAAATGATATTCACTGGCTGTGCTAATCAAATTTGACAACTGGTGATTATCCAGTCATATTTAGCACTCAAATTTATTTCATTCAGTGCGTATCAAGATTATAACCATGGTTCACAACAGAGGTTCTAACCTAATTGTATTTATCAATGTTTAAACAGATAAACTAATTTATATTGAGGATGGTGAGATTGACAGTAATGAAATAAAACAAATATTTCATTCTATTTTGGTGAATAATTTTGATACTGTCACAAGATTATATTCTGCTTGCCCTTTTGGCTTTGTGGAATATTACTTGTGAAGGATCAACAGGTATTCACTTCAATATATATTTTATATGATACTCCACTAAATGCAAAGCAACCTATTAAACCATTCAATTTACTTATTTTTTCTTAACATATAAAAAACCCTGACAATTACAAGAGGAATCCCAAATGTAGCCCAAGAAGAACTTAGAGTGATGTTTTACTTGAGCCCAGGTACATTTTATCCTATTCTTAAATATAAATATGATAAATTATGTGATTTACAGGTGCAGTCTCTTCTGGAAGAGGCCCAATCAGAAGCAAGCAAGGAGCGAAAGTTAAGGGAACGTGGCGAGATGTTCGCACAAGAATTAGAACAAGAATTAGAAATTATGAAGTCTCGGTCGATAGGGAGATCTGGGAATAAAACCAGTCAAGATGTGTCGCAAGAAGTTAATAGGTTTGTTTTGTGCTTGTTTGTTTGTTAATTTTACAAGGACATATTGCCGCAATAAAATACATGACACCCGGTGGCCACATTATATATATGTTAAATAATGCATGTACTATACACATTGAATATTGCATATTAAGTATGAAAAAATAGAATATCGATATAAAATATTATAGATATTAAATGTGACAATGTCATTATTAATTACCCATATATATATCTTTTATTGACTCTTAGAATGTCATAGTATGACATATTAGTCAGTACAAAAATAAAATAAAAACTTACTACACTACACTACATTACACTACACTACACTATTATTATACAAATACAATATATACAAAAACATGTTATTAACATGTATTTAACTATACATAATACTTAAAGCAGTGTGATGCATCCAGAATGTTCTTCAGACAAGTTCAATGACCTTGAATGCTTTATTTATAAAAATGCCAACTTGCTTTTGGACATATTTATCTTTTGAGGACATTAACATTATGAATGCATTTTCAGGATGGTATTTATCAAATTTAATTTTGCTGTTGATGTTCTCAAACAATAGTTTTCTATTTTCTTGATGTATTTGGCAATTTATCATGAAATGAATTTCATTGTCTATTTCTCCACAAACGTTACACGTTCTTTCATGTTCAGGTTTTGGCCGTGGTTTCACATGTCTACCCAGTTCTATTTGAAGTTTATGAGAACTTAACCTTAATCGGGTAAAGGATTGCCTATGATTTTTGTTTTGAAGGCTTAAATATTGCTCCAATTCAAAAGTTGAAAGCTGAAATATGAAAAAAATATGATGAAAGGTAGTAAATTTTGAAAATTAAATTTCAGATTAAAAGCTGAACTAGAACGTAGTAATGTCCAATATGAAGAAAACATAGCCATGCTACAATCTCGTCACACTACAGAGATTAAAAGTTTAAATGGCCAAGTCCAAGAAGCAGAGACAAAGATGCAGGAGTATATAGAAGAATTAAATACTGTGCATAATAGACTGGATAACATATCAAAAGACAGTGCCTCTGAATATCAGGAAACTATAAATCAACTCAATAGGAAACATGACAGAGAAAAACAAACACTGTTAGAAGATAATAAAAAGATATATAGTGATCTAGAGTCTGTAAGTATACTGTCTCCTTGATGTTGCTCAAATCATTCCCATTTCCCATAATGCAATAGTGACATGCAGACAACAATGATGTCCCATAATGCAGTAGTATCAGGTTCACAAAAGTTATGTCCCATAATTCAATAGTACGAAGCAGTCAATTCAGATGTCCCATTATTATCAAGCAGACATTATGAATATCCCATAATATGATGGTATCATACATTGAGAGAGAAATGACATAAAATCAAGCCAAAATGCAATATAATTGATCTTATTCATCATTAGTGTCATACTGATGTAATTCCTTTGATGAATTCACTCTCAACTATGTAAAATTAACTGTTGAAATTGTAAATTCCAGACCCAGCGTAACTTAGAGCAATTGGAAGAGGAGAAGCGCATGATGGAAGATGAGATGAGAGATGTACATGATAAGAAAGATGCTGTTGCACAATGGGAGGCCCAAATTACTGAACTCATACAATGGGTATGTAACACTGTTTATTGCTGCAAAACTTGGCTGGGATGAATTTGTTAAAAATTGATCAAGTGTTCAAATTATGTGGTAACCAGCCCCGATTGATAAATCATGTTAACATCTATTTATTAGCACTCATATATATGAAGCAATCCCAGAATACAAGATAATAAAATTAACAAATTTAATTAATAAGTTTATATCACTTACTTCCCTCTTAATTATATGCCATTACCTTAATAAATTGACTAGTCGAAAGGTCTAACACCCCTATTGAATGAACGGATTAGTGAATGAACTCGTCCAATACACTGCCTATCCATGCTTCATGCTACGACCTACTTCATATTACCTTTCGACGACCATCTCGCTACAAGCCTTCAACAGAACTTGGAGCAACTATATTCGTCAAGATGATGAACAACGAGGACGTTTACATGAACACCTCAGAGAAATGTCCTGCTATCATTCTCCAGCAAGAAGAAGGAGAATGCACTGATGGAGACACAGAGCAAGCAGGGATTCAAGAGAGTGCAGACCAGAACTTCAACATGAGTCTGACTGACAACTTTCTCAAGGAGAAGATTTCTGTTCTGATGAACGAAATGCTTCAAAACAAGCAACAAGAAAGCCCAAGGAACAGTGTGAACACCAGGCACAGCAGTCCTCGGAGGCTTCAACAGGAGGCAAGGTCGGACAGACCAAGCTCAGCGGCAGGGAGTGAATTTGTCAGAAGTCCCCGCAAAAGTTACAGGAGTCCCCGCAGGAGCCCTAGCCCATGGAGATTTCAGGACCCCAGAAGCCACGCAAGTCCCAGGAGACGTGCAAGTCCTTCGAGACGTGGCAGCCCCAGGAGACATGGGAGACATTCGAGCAGTCGGGACAGAGTTTGGAGCCCTAGGAGACCAGAACCCAGACGTTATACGCCGGAGAGAAGAGGTCATCATGACCGTCATGGTGAACACAGTCCACGCAGGCGTAGTAGGTCTTACAGTCGTGAAACTAGTGTCTCTTCTAGTTACACGCCTAGACCACGTGACCCGTCACTTCGTAGCAGCAGAGACAAGCACAGAAGTCCCCATAGGAGACCAAAGTCCCGCTCTAGAAGCAGAAGTCCAGTTCGAACGAGGTCACCTAACCCGGAAGTGATTGCTCCAGTTTCACTTTCGAAAGAAAGTTCAACCAATCACAGTCTCGAACGTCACGAGGGGCCCGAGGATATGGACTCGCCCAGTGAAAATTTTCAAGATGGCGGCTCCAGGATTTCGGAAGAAGAGAAAGTTTTGGCTTCGTACAACGCGGCGGCGATATCACAAGTCAAAAACCTGTTACCAGACGCTAACCTGACGCACCAAGTTCCAGACAGAGCGGTGGTTATCAAGCCCTTGGCATCGCAGTTCTTCAAAAACGAGTCTGAAGGTAATGAAAAATCTTTCTTACCATTATCACCCACGGTGATGACTTGTTTTTCTAACAGATCCTCGATCATCGCGAACGATTTCGCCTTCAAAAAAGTAGGACAACTTTCCCGAAACGACAAGGCATCACGCTTTCCAATTCCTCCAGCCGGAGGACTTGTTGTTTCGAGTATGAGGCCAAATTCCAGCCTGTCAGCGGTGATGTCTGAAGAAAATTTCAAGAAAGCTGACAAGGATTTGACTATCAGCAAGACCCAGTATAGGCTTCTAGAGGAAGGCTTAAGATTCCAACTGAAACCTCTGGCATATGCAGAATGGCTGTTAGGTGCAGTGGCCAAAATTCTCAACGATTCTTCATCCACTGATACTAAGATGTTGTCTGATCTACTACAACCTGCAGCACAAGCCATTGGCTGTCTGACTGATCAAAATGTGAGACTGCTGTCCAACGTAGTTCTACTTAGGAGAGATGGCTTCTTGAAGAACATGACTTGCCCTTCTGCAGCAAAGGAAATGCTCAGAACTCTACCCATAAACCCTTTGGCTCAGGAATTATTCCCACAGGAGTCAGTCACTGAAATTTTGAAGTCCAACCAGTCTGATCTCACCAACCAGGCTTTAACTTCCTTGGCTAAGATGAATGCGAGAGCTGAATCAAAGAAGTCTTCTCAACCAAATAAGAAAGACAAACAACAACAACAACAGAAAGTCCAGTTTCAATAACAACAATGGCCCTGGTAAAAAGAACAGCTCTAACTCTTTTCGTGGCAAGGGAAGAGGAGAGAAAAAATCACAGTGACTATCTACCTATATCATCCAGTCCTCCAAGTCTTTGTCTCCCACAGCTACCTGTAAGCCCTCAACAGCTACCAGTGGGAGGCAGACTACAGCATTTTCTTGCCAAATGGAAAGAAATCACAGATCTAGGAGGATTTCTACAGATCATAAAGGAAGGTTACCAGCCGAAACTTCACACAAAACCTACCCTTACATGCAATCCTTGGCCTTTCCAGTCATCAACAAGAGACAGAAAAGACCTTTATCAGCTACAGTCACTCAACTTCTGGAGAAACAGGCCATAGAAGTTGTCCAGAACGTATCCAGTCCAGGCCTTTACAGTCATCTTTTCTTCGTCCCAAAAAAATCCGGCTCTCTAAGACCAGTCATCAACTTGCATCATCTGAACCTTCATCTAGAATTTCCAAAGTTCAAGATGTAGTAGCACAGATCATGGATGCAGTACAGCCTCAACAGTGGGTAACGTCCATAGACTGCGTAGATGCTTACTTTCATCTCCCAATCAAGCAGTCATTCAGGAAATACCTGCGCTTTGTTGTTCAGGACCAAGTACTTCAATTCAAAGCCCTGCCCTTTGGTCTGGCATCAGCCCCGATGATTTGGACACATCTGTTACGGCCTCTAGCAGCTCATCTTCACTCCAGAGGCATACTGTTTCATTATTACCTCGACGATTGGCTGATTCGAGGCAATTCACCTACAGTAGTTCTACAACATACTCAGATGGTGCTGGAACTGGCTCAGGCTCTGGGTTTCCTCATAAACTTCAAGAAGTCGGAACTACAACCAACTCAGAAGTTCACTTATGTGGGAGTAGAATACGATCTCAGCAAGGGAATTTGCCGTCCCCCTCACGATCGAGTAGAAAAGATATGGAAAGCTGGACAACATCTTCTAGAGAAGGGAATAGCCTCAGCAGAAACTTGGCAGTCTCTACTAGGCCTGTTGTCATCTGCGGAGAAACAAGTGCCATTGGGTCGTCTTCATCTACGAGCTCTACAGTGTTGTCTGTTCCAACAGTGGTCTCCTCTATCTCAGCCCCAGTCACATCTAGTTGTCCTCTCACCAGATGCTCAGGGGGCACTCCTATGGTGGCTAGACCCCAGGAATTTACAAGCTGGTCAGCCTCTCAACAGATTTCACCCAACAATGACAATCTACACAGATGCATCGTTGGAAGCATGGGGGGCCCACACACAATCGCAGGAATGCTCTGGAGTCTGGTCCCAGTTGGAATCAAGTCATCACATCAACTTTCTGGAGTTACTAACAGTCAAGAAAGCTCTGATGTTCTTCAAGGAAAAGATAACTGGACAGAATATTCTGATTTGCACAGACAGCACGACTGTAGCAGCATATATCAACAACCAGGGCGGAACACATTCCCCTCAACTACTCCAGTTAACTCAGGAGATTCTCTTATGGTGTCACAATCAGCAAATTGTACTCAGAGCGAATCATATTCCAGGATCACTGAACAGAAGGGCAGATCAGTTATCCCGGAAAAACCAGATTGTCAACACAGAGTGGTCTCTTCATGCAGACATAACCAAGAATCTATGGAAAATATGGCCAACTCCCAATCTGGACATGATGGCCACATCTCACAATCACAAACTTCCAGTTTACGTGGCTCCAGTTCCAGATCTTCAGTCGTGGAAAACAGACGCCATGTCACTGAATTGGGACAACATGTACTTCTACATATTTCCCCCAACAGCAATGATAGCAGCAGTCCTGAACAAACTGCAGGCTCACCAAAACACAAAATGTGTAATGATAGTACCAAAATGGCCCAATCAACCATGGTACCCAGACCTTCTCAGTCTACTAGTAGATTTTCCTGTACTGATTCCAATATGGAAGAAACTCCTTCTTATGCCAAGGACCTCGATTTTTCATCAAGATCCAGAAAAGATGTCTCTACACGCTTGTCTGTTATCAACAATAACTTGCGAGAGGAGGGGTTTTCTGAAGAAGTGTCCAAAGCAGTACAAAAGTCTAGGAGAAAATCTACCAATGCCATCTACGATTCAAAGTGGAAATTATTCTCTGTTTGGTGTTTGGAAAGAGATACCAATCCCATCGAGGCATCTATTCCAATGATTGCAGATTTCTTCATTTATCTCAGAAACACTAAAAAGAGGTCTTTTTCTACTATCGAGGGCTACAGAACAGCTATAAACAATGTCAGGAAATCTACACAATCTAAAGATCTCTCAGAATCACAAGTGATACATGATATGTTGAGATCCTTTAAATTAGAAGATGCAATTCCAAAGTCTACCTTACCCAAATGGGACTTGGTTTTTGTACTTCATGAACTATTAAAGCCTCCATTTGAACCTATGAATTCGGCAGATATCAAATGGGTGACTTTAAAGACTGTATTTCTTCTACTGTTAGCCTCGGGCAAGAGACGTAGTGAGATACATGCCTTAGATGTTACAAGGATACAATGGAAAAATAACAATACAGAAGTTTTCCTCTATCCATTCATTGGTTTTCTGCCAAAGAGCTTGGAAGCAGCAGAGGGACAAGCCAGATTTCAACCTATACATCTGAAATCATTGGCAAGCCATGTGGGAAATGATCCAGATCGATGCTTATGCCCACTTAGAGCACTCAGATTTTATCTTGCTGCTACCAGAGTCTTCAGAGGTACCAGGAATAGGATCTTCATACCTTGGAAGAAAGGGTGTAATAGCAATTTACACTTAAATACTTTATCCAGCTGGATGAAACATCTGATTCTTCTAACCTACAATAATTCCACAGCTGAGAGTAGAAGAATTGGGAAAGTTAACGCACATGAAATAAGAGCGTTATCAGCCTCATATGCAGTACAGTCGAATGTTAGCCTAACAGAAATATTGAAAAGTTGCTCTTGGGCTCACAACAACACTTTTATCGACTTTTATCTGCGTGATGTCACAGTCCTACAAGATGAAGCTAGAAAGCTAGGACCTGTGATGCTGGCTGGAACTGTGTGCGACCTGTAGCAGGTGCAGTAAGTACACAACAACTTTTTTCACCCCACCTATCCAATATGTTACATGCTATGACATATAATTAAGAGGGAAGTAAGTGATATAAACTGAAGATTTTTTTTATTAAATCAACCGTTTATGGAACTTACTTACCTCTTAATTACCAGAGACCCACCCACCTTCCCCGCTTGAGGGAAATTTTTTATTTTTTTGTATCTTCGAGGTCTCTCGGTAATATGAAGTAGGTCGTAGCATGAAGCATGGATAGGCAGTGTATTGGACGAGTTCATTCACTAATCCGTTCATTCAATAGGGGTGTTAGACCTTTCGACTAGTCAATTTATTAAGGTAATGGCATATAATTAAGAGGTAAGTAAGTTCCATAAACGGTTGATTTAATAAAAAAAATCTTCAATTTATTTTGTACTAGGATTTTTTTGTGGCAAGATCAGTTTTCTTCCCAAGAATAATGTGATTTCATGGGCCTACAGTGTTTATAATATTATATCCCTGAATTTAAAACTTAATTTGTAATATTTCCATGTGCTACTTACAGGTGAGTGATGAGAAAGATGCCAGGGGATACCTACAAGCTCTGGCTTCTAAGATGACTGAAGAACTGGAGAGTTTGAAGATGTCTGGAGTGCCAGCTGCTGTAAGTTACATCTCCATATTTAAAGTTACATCTGCATATTATAAAATTACATCTGTCATAAATGTTGCCATGATTTTGATGACATTTTGTGCTGCAACAACCACAAACTTATCTTCCTCTGTTCTGTACTGCACCAGCATCAGCACCAGATTTGACAAAAATACACTTTACAAAAAGTGAATAAGTACATGTATGCTTGTATTTGCACATAAAGTTTATGTAATGATTATTCCAGGAGAAAACTTGGAAGAACAGGAGATCCCAGAGACTGGACAAGATGGAGTTACTCAACCTTCAATCCAGTTTGAAATCTGAGATAGAAGCCAAACAGAGCATCAGTGAGGAACTCACCAAGACTAAAGCCTCACATATTGCTGCAGAAAAGTATGTACTGTTAAGAGTGGTGTTCATATGTTGACAGTTAGGGTGAAATGAAGATAATTTTGTTATCATTTAATCCCCCCTCCCCCATATAGCAAAATTTTAAAATGTTGATTTGCCTTTCACTTGAAGTTTAAAAAATCAACCTAATCTCGTTTGAAAATTTGAATTATCCCACAACCCCCAAAAAATAATTTTGTTACTCCACAACCATTGATATTTGGAGATCATCCCTTAATCCTTCAATATAATGTCAGTTTATTTTAAAAGTTTGCATCAGAGGATGAATCATTTGGATTTATTTATAACCGTCTCGTTATTGACACAGATAAAGTCAAGAAAAATTACTTATATTTTATATTCAATGAATAAACTTGATCAACAAGAACAAGGAAATCTGATAATAATCATTGTTTTTTCCTAATTCCAGGAGACTTCAAGAGGCTGAGTATGAACTGGAGCAGAACCGTGTTGAGATGGAGAAGATGCAGGCAGACATCAAAGAGTTAAGATCTAAAGTGGACCAAAATGACAGTTGTAAGTACATAGAAATACTCAGCTCTCTAATCTCTTCACTGAAAAATGATGAACTACACATTAGTTTATATTCGAAATGTAAAGAATAAATTGAAACTTCCTCGCCAAAAGGTTTGAATGTTTAAAGTATGTGAACTTTGTATGTATAAAAGTCAATTACATGTAGTTTTTAATAAATTTTTGAATGCTTTTTTTTCTTCAGTATTTGATCGTCCAGATTCCCAGTCTTCATTCATGCGGTTTATACGGGAACAAGCTCAGCGGCTAGAAGATGTAAGTAGTGTCACCTATTATCAATATATCTCAGCGCGCATTTAGATTTTAGAGGTGATGTGAAAATGTATTGCTTTTGTGCGTGTTATGTCAGCTTATGTGTAAAATTCTCATTACTGCGCCGGAATTTGTTTCTATGTTGTGCAATTTTAAATCTTATCTTATTTTATTTTTATCCATGTTTAACCTCAAATTAACAGGCAGGGGTGCACCATGCATAACTCCAGGGTGACTTACTTCTATGTGTGCACTATTGTGTTGTTAATGAGTGGCTTTATTTATTTAAATATTCATTATTTCCAGTCTTTATCATAAAAGTTCATTGCTTTGTCCAGAGAATTGGCTTATGCCTAACTTCACAATTTGGTTTTCTCAATTTTATTAATTCAGTGTGCATAATATATTTTTCATTAATTTTTGAAGCTTGAAAGGCATCTTCTGGTACATAACTCTTGTACAGCATTAAGAAATGTACTTATTCAAAATTGCTGATTTAACATTCCAGCCCACCCATACATGATTTTAATACGCTTCATGCCTAACCAGGCTATGTAAAAAACTTAATTCAAGCCCAGCTGTTCACGCCTACTAATTTTGCAAGGTTCTTCTTTTGTTTATCTTGAGAAGCATGGGGGTGGAATGAAATTTTGGTTTTTACATTTTCTTTGATTTTGCATATGACATATTTTTAATTGATTGAGATGGTTATTCAATTCTTTTATATCACATTTTAATGTTGTTGTTATATCCTACTATACGTAAAATAATTTATTTCTTGGTTTATAAACAATTTTTGTACCATTCCACAACTTCTTCCACGGATAAACTTTAAGTTTCAATGATCGTATTTTTCATGTAATAATCTGTCGCACGATGCTTCGCTTTCACATTGTAATGTATGCTGAAACATTTAACTTAATTTAAGGCATCACTTACAAGGCGAAAAAGCTCAACTAAGAGTGGACTCTCTGTGAAGAAGGTAAAATAAGCAACAGTGACTTCCTGACTAATGGTGATGGGTACCTGCAGCATGAAAATACTATCGCATGATTTTTCCTGTTATCATTAAACATGTCTAAATATTCAAACCTGCTTAATCTATGGCTTCACAGCAGGAGCATGGATCATCCCATGATGCTTTGCAGATGTCTTTTAATCATGGGATTGGGAAACCCCTAATAATGCACACTAATCTTTTAATTTATTCTTTTCCCACATAGAAACTAACAGCCATTGACATTACTAAAGACAATTTTCAAGGAGGCAAGGTTGCGATAAACGTATCTTTTGATATCACAGAGATGGTATGACAATCAACACCCCTAGAGATCAGTAAATTGTTTGACAATTTAGAAATCACTTAGAAACATCTTATTATCAATCACAGACCTCAGTCATTCCAATTCTTAGGATTGTTCCATTTTTGTAGTGAACCCATTTATGAAAATTAGCTTGCCTCCATTTTCTGATGATCTACCCATAATACGTAACCCCCTCTCCATCGTCAACTGGACTTACAATGAATTAAAGATAGAATAAATTCTATAGATAGACCCCTGTTATTTGTTAGGCTAGATATTTGTCAATTTTTTTCATGGTTACTTCTTTAGCTCCATATTCGTAAATCTCTCCATAAACATTATTTAGACTAATGATGCAATTATTGTGTTACCACACATTTTATTTTAGTATAGTGGCACGTATTAAGTATCAGTCAGTCGTTCTGAAATATTATATTTAGTTACATGTATTTATTAAGTTATTAAGTTGCTATTCCTAACATGTTAAATTTAGTCCATATATGTTAAAGCTAATATTTTCTTAACATGTTTTTATTATAGACATTTGTTGCATATTGAAATGATATTATATATATGTATATTATATTTGTTTAGAATTAAATGATTTTCTATGTAGGTTATCATTTCAAAAATAAGAATACATATGATTTTAAAACAACATGTTTGCTGCAAATTAAAGAATAAAGAGAAAAAGATTTTGATTAGCGGTTTGATTGTATTGAAACCTTGGGAGATTATATGAGAGATCTGTCAAACCCTTTTTAAGGGTACAGATTTTTGGCTAGATCTATAGTTACACAGCAGATTTGATGAGTTACACAGGCATAAAATCCTTTGTGACAAAATCTTTTGTCAAAATTCATCATTTTGAAGAACTTGAACCCTGCTGTGTAACATACTAATGTGACATAGCAGTAGTTTGGGACAAATTCTGATGAAACAAAAAGGGCCCAGTCTGTTGTGAATACATGGCCAGTTTGATAAAAATTACTAATGATGATAGAAATTAATGAAAATGATTATTCAACAGCACTGCTAGGATATGATATTTATCTACTGGGAAATGGGAATTCAAAGCTTGCTATACTCTTTTTATTCTGTTTAAGCTGAGGTCATAAATACTTACCATTGGGTGATTCAAAAGTTTGGTATAAAATATGATATGTGACAGTGGTCGTTGGTTTAATAAAAATACAGCTATCAGATTTACCCATCTGGTACCATTTTTTCCATTTTCATAAAATTGCAAATAATTAACTTATTCATTTTTTTCCAGTCGCCATCTGAAAGTGAACATGGAGAAGATGAAGACGATGCCTTAAGTGAACACTCTTCATCGATTGGTCAACGTCCCGCGACTCTTGGTTCTCCCTCCCGGGTGTCAATACAAAGTTATGAATCAGAGGATTCCCTACAGCGTGATGGTTACTATGATGAACACCCACCACCCCCCACCCACAAACCTCCCCCACCCCCTCAACAGACCTCCTATGAGGAGAGGATCTACGCGAATGATGGTGTTCCACAGATTTCTGTTGTACGACCAACTCAACAACCAAAGAGCCATCGTTTTGCCATTCGGTCGTTTATTACTCCTATTAAATGCAGTCACTGTACGTCTCTGATGATTGGACTTCAGAGACAAGGGACAGTATGTGAAGGTAGGAAAACAGTTTGCATCATAAAAATTCAAAATTGTGTCTCAAGAGATGAGAAACTGCAGAATTTTATCATGGATATTATCACCTATGTTGTGATGGGTCAAGTGTTGTTTGAAAGTGGTCAAGTTTAAAAAATAGCATGCTTCAATAAGTGTGTTATAATTCTTACTGCTTTGTATCAATGATCCCCAGAGTGTGTTTTGTTCCTATGAGATATAATGTGTATTCCTTTGAATAGTATCTGCTTTGATCTAGTTCATTGTCAAATAGGGTCTTGAGAGTATGTATACAGAGACTATTGTAATGTTAACTCTTTGTTCCAGATTGTGCCTACTCATGTCACGTGGCATGTGCTGAGAAGGCTCCCAGTGCGTGTCCTGTACCATTAGATCAAAGTAAGTCTTCTTCACAAAATAAACTCAATTCATTCATTTATTGAAATCATATACATACATGTTACAGTGAGGAAGGTGTGTTTTATAGCTGTAGTGTATAATGCAGATTATAAAGGTACTGCACCATAGTAGCAATGTTCAATCAAATGGCATATGCTGATACAAATAAACTGCTGTACTGCACCTTTAATTAAACAAGTTTTCAATTCACTTTACTGTTTTCAGTGTATTGCTGTTCTTTCTGTTCTCCAATGACTTTGACCCAAGTTCCTCAACCTTTATTTCTTATTTCTAGCAAAGAGACCATTAGGAATTAATCCAACCAAAGGTATTGGAACTGCCTATGAGGGCTACGTTAAAGTACCCAAAATGGGAGGCATCAAAAAAGGATGGGCGCGACAGTTCGTCGTTGTGTGTGACTTCAAATTATTTTTATATGATATAAATCCAGAGAGAGATGGACGAGCGGGTGTCGTCGTCAGCCAGGTGCTGGATATGAGGTAGGTCACATGACTAATGACATCACAGAGCTGGTTCATCACATGACTTATGACATCACAGACCATGCTGATTACATGAGACATGTTATACTGCCATTGGGCAAATAACATGTTGGCCATTTTGAATTTTTCTATAAAAACACTGTATGTCTTGTTCTCTTTTCTTTTAAAAGGATCTCTGTTTTCTATAAAGTTGATTTACAATAGCTTTATTCTACACATCAATCAGTGTTATCTAGTATTCAAAAGCATGACATTTTATCTGTTTCCAGAGATGAGGACTTCTCTGTCAGCTCAGTGTTAGCGTCTGATGTCATACATGCAAGCAGAAAGGATATTCCCTGTATATTTAGGGTAAGGATAAGAACATGAAGTATTCATTTTTAAAGTCATGTTAAGCAGACTGGGAAGCAAATAAAGATAAATACGTGTTTGTTATATGCTTAATATTCTATCACTGGATTATTGTTGAGTTCATAATAGCCCAGGAAGTTGGTAAATGAGTTTAAACACATCATGGGGACAGACAAACTTGGTACCATTGGAAAGCTGACATTTTCAGCTTTTTGTATTTTAATTAACTGGTGGATCCAAAAAGCTGAATATGTCAGGTCTCAATGGTATAATTGCCCATCACCACGATGTGTATATTACAAAGTACTTCCCTGGCCCTTTTGAGCTGTTCTTTTCTTGAACTATAAATTAAAATGTTCTTCTTCAGGTGTCTACCTCAGAGATGCAAGGTACCCAACATTCTGTCTTGATGTTGGCAGATACGGAAAACGAGAAACAGCGATGGGTCGGGGCTCTCACAGAATTACACAAAATACTCTGGAAAAACAAACTGCCAAATAAAGCGGTATATAGATATTTTATTTGAATTAATTTGCGCATTTCTAGTATTATTTCTAGGCAAAAAAACATATTTCTGAAAAATTATGTCAAGCAATTTCATTTGTTTGACCTTCAATGAATGATTTACATTAAAGAAAATAAATGCTATAGAAATGAATAAAACAGTATAGGTATGGTCAACAATGGCTAAGAAACAAAAATAAGTAAATAAAAAGAATATACATGTCATTAACAACAAATGCTTAGAATCTTCATATACATGTATTTTAAATCTAATAATTACATGCATGTTTTAACTATTTTGCAGGTTTTCAAAGCCAAACAGCTCTATGATAACAGTTTACCTTTGCTGAAAAACATCCTTTGTACAGCTATATTGGATAGTGAACGTATCCTTGTTGGTACAGAGGATGGCCTACATGCAGTAGAGATACTTAATTATGGTGAGTAAAATATTATATGAATAGTTTGTTCTTGTAGTTTCTCATTCAATTTCTTACTTTATCTGAGAAAATGATATTCTTTTCCATCATTTTTCAACATTTCATGAATAATATAATGATACCGGTATATCTATTATACCACCTATAATTTCTCATTTAGGAATTACACTATTTTTTTCTTTAGTATTGAATCAAGTATAAGCATTCTGAAGTCTTGTTTGAAGAATGAACATGTATAAATGTTTTGTTTTCAGTTATAACAAAAATTGGGGAGAGGAAATGTGTTTATCAGATTGCCAATATCCATGACGAGCAACTAGTTGCAGTAATATCAGGTACAATACTAGAAAACATACATTGTAATGGTTAACATTAAAATAGGAGTGGAAAATGGTGGAGTAGCAAGGAATAGAGGAGGAAATGGAAAATTAATCATTCTGAAATTCAGTGTACAAAATGAACCATTCTCTTTTGAGTGAATGTAGAATGAATATTCTGCATCCATGATAGCTCGTTTTTTCCAATTTTTTGATTTATTCTACTTAAATAATACGTAAATGCAATACAATACAATTTTGCAAGTTCAGCTCAATTATAAGCTTGACCAAATGCCTTATTTCTGACTTGAATACACATTTTTATTAAGTGTGTGCTATAGTTGTAAAGTGATAATCCATGTATTACTACAGTTGAACTATTTATCCTTCAGGGAAACAAAGACATGTTCGCCTGTATCCAGTGGCGGCAGTAGATGGATATGAAGTAGAGTCAGTGAAGCTAATGGACTCAAAGGGGACCAGTACCTTCTGCTGGGGCCTTGTACGTCAAGGCTCTAGTGTGTGCCTCTGTGCCGCTATCAAAAAGACAGTTTTAGTGTTTGAATTAACTCGAACGAAACAACGACATCGTAAAATCAAAGAAATACTCTGCCCGGGAAATGTTCAATTTGTTGAAATGATGAATGAAAGACTGTGTGTAGGATACCCCTCAATGTTTGCCATTTATAGTGTACAAGGGGAAGGAGCTCCTCTGTGTAAGTATAAACAGAAAACTGTATATCACCTGTAAATATTCACCTATAAATGAATTGTCTATATCAATTCAGTTTCTGATTCTATATGAACTCTAGATTGAGAATGTAGATCTCTAAAACGAGAATGTAGATTTTTGTGACGTACTGTACATTGAGATATTACTTAATATATGTATTTTTTATTTACTTAATACCTTTGTATTTTCTAAAAATGTGGAATTTATAACTCAATACTAAAAAAATTATAAAAACTTAGTACCCTGGATTTATGTAAAGAATTATGTTAAACTTGATGTATTTGATAAAGAAAGTACATGGATTTGTCAGGTGATATGCAAATTATAGCAGTGCAATGGCATGATACTATTCTAGTACAAGTTATATCAAATATTATTACCACCTTGCAGGGCCTGTTCTAGGGGTTTTAGTACTAGTTGAGAAGGCATTTAAATTGCTATATTGACGTGAGCAATATTGTGTCGGGCGTTAATGACTTTAGTCGGGCAATAATGACATTATCCGCCCAGCTATGTTTCCCGGGAAAAGTGATATCGTTCAGTGCGTAAGATTTTCTATTTCAAATTTGCTATTTCAGCCCTGGGCATTAACGGTGGTAATAATAGTAATAACGTCATTTCTGCGGGCAAAATAGTGAAATATTGGACCTTGGGCCTGTGGCCCTTTGTCCAATATTTCATTATATTGCCCTTTGAAATGACGTTATTGTACTATTGTTTTTGTGGTATACCCTGTGCATGAACATGTATTAAATATATTCTTCTATAATGTTACTTCAGCATTGATCAGTACAGATGACAGTACATTGAAGTTCCTCTACCAGAACCCTATAGATGCCTTACAAGCTGTGGAGATATCACATAGAGAATTCCTGCTAGTCTTCAGCAGTAAGTAGTCCACATTTTAGGGTTCAAGTTCAAGTAATAATTTTCAGTCAGAGGAGAGGTTGACTCAAAATTCCAGAACAAGTTACCATAGCAACCATAAACATTGACCAATCAGAAAACAGTATCTCAGCTTTTGTGTTTTAATGCACAGATACCTGTGAAGGTCTAAATGCATTATAGATGAGAATGTTTGATTTACATGCTATAAACTATCATATTAGATGTATGTGTGTGTACTTCCAGCCCTTGGGTTCTATGTCGACTCCAGTGGTAAAAGATCACGGGTGCAGGAGATCATGTGGCCTGCAGTTCCTCATTCTGTCAGTGAGTATATTTAAATTGACCTCATCCTCAAAACCCTTTTCAGTTTATCAAACATAGTGAGTCCAGTTGCATGAGATTGCTTGATTGCAGTATCAAAACATACCACTGAAAAGGTTATGAATTAATTTGTTAAGTTAAAGTAGAATTCTGCCTAAATCTGCATATTTTTGCGGCATTCATTTTGATAGATATGACTTGACAATTTGACATTATGTGTATAGATACAGGTTTGCTTCTGGAATTACATGTACATTTGCACAAAATTTTACATTGCTTTTCAGCCTACAATGCCCCATATCTGATAATCTATACAGAGAATGCTGCATTTGTCTATGATGTCACGACGGCTGAGTGGATCCAGACACTTAACCTGAAGAAGATCCGACCATTGTGTCGAGAGGGAATACTCGGCTGCATGCAGATCCTTGAGGCTCCTTATATGGTATATCTGAGGGATATCACAAAAGGTTTGTAGATTGTGATAAAGCCAAGTTCTCAAGTCAAGCCAAGTCTCAATTTTTTAAGTGTTCTGTGTTAAAAGGAACAGCATATCAAAGTCCAAAGAAGATAAGACTTATGTACCAGTCTATATGAGATGGAACAGTGTCACATGCTTTCTGCTTTTTGTTGATTGCATCATTTTGTAGTTACTGTGGCATAAAATTATACAAATGTTGAACTTAACACTTTTCTGAATACTTTTTTTTTTATTTATAAATTTATTTCAATGGCTGTGCCATACTGGCATTACTAGCCATGTCTTTATATATATTGAAATACTTGTGGCCTGTCCCAAAGGCATTCAGATTTCACTGCACTGTGAAGTTATCTGAGTCACTTTGAGTTTTGTACTTGCAATAACATCATAAATATATCTTGTTAATGAGAATATCTGCGATATGCCTCTGTATCAAAACTAAACCAAACTTTAAGAAAAATTTTGTTTTACTATTGTAGCTGAAGATGTGATCAAGACTCCAGACCTGAATAGCAAATCACGTAGCTTCTCCAGAAGTAAACGGAGGTTCTCATTCAAGAGTTTGGTCGATGAGAAACAAGCAGGCAAAGCGTAAGTAGTGGATGTGAATTCTTTAATTACTGGCCATTATAAGTAATTAAGGAATTCTCAGTTGCTGGTTGTTGATACTTGCTGGAATTCTGGTAGTTGTTGGGAAACCGCAGGGCAGGTCCAAATTAAAAAAAATTCACACCACCCCAGACCCCTCCCCTGTATGCTAAAAATCACCAATCCCACTCTTCCAATATAATTTTAATGATGAAACATGGCTTTTTCACCTTTTCCCCTGATATAATTAGTTTTTTGTGAAATAATGTCACACTTTTAATTTGATCAAGCCCTTCATTTAACAATATAACAATTCCTGATAATTACAAAAATTCTGTAAATTACATTATGGTATAATCTGTAAAATGAAGCCCTCTGATTGGTCAGTTCTTGTGCTGTACCAACCTGTATTGCTACTGAGATTGTCCCCGTTGATCATCTCCGTCGCAATACAGAAAATATTGGTACGGAGGGGACAATCTCAGTAGCAATACAGAGGATCACACGATAAAAACGTTATTGAATGATTTGAAGTGCAATACAGGATATATTTTGTCTTGATATTCTGTATTCATCAATAACTTATAGTGTGAAACTGTGAGGGTCAGAATATGTACCACTGCACTTAGCATTAGCTTAAGATTTTTGATAATTAAGTTTTGATTTTATGTTTTTATATAAGTTTGACTTGTGTGCGTATAAAGCTAAGAATTTTATCATATTTGCATAATTGGAATGGCACTTGCGCATCAATAATTCCCCCCAATCCCATTATTCTTTATTGGGTATTTTATTCTTTATTTGATAATTAAGATTTTGATTTAATAATTTGTTTAAGTATAACAATCAAGATAACCGCACTATTTATGAGCTGCTACCTTACCATGGTTTTAAGCTTATGCACCGTGTGCTGCGTCATGGCATCTTTTTTGAATGTCAAACAGGGGTAGAAAGGAGTGGAATTAGCAAGGAACTAAATGAACATGAATGAAGTTAATGCTCAGAATCCTTTAGAAATTCAAGAACAGCAGAAAGTTCAATCAAATTTTTGAGAGAAAAATAAAGAAGAGCATCACCAGAATGACTTTCAAAGCAGACCCCCCCCCCCCTCCTTTGTTATGTGGCTGTGTGTTGGTAGATGTTGTGTTAAACTAACTGAACCTTGTGTTTGCACTGTGTAGGGTTGAACGACGCTCTAGGGTCATATCAAAGCCATCAGATTTCCGTGTAGTATCCCATATAGGACCAAACCAGGGTATGGAGCTCCTAGGTGAACCAGCACAGAATAGGTAATACCATATAACATGTTATATAAGGAATATAGTAAATATAACAGAAAAGGTGAAATAACAGAAAAGGTAATACCATATAACATGTAATATAGGAATTAAGTAAATATAACAGAAAAGGTAATATAATACATACTTTAACAATACCTGCTGTTGTGCACAAAAATTCAGCTTGGAAGACATGTCTATAAATCCCAAGGGCAGCCGTGAAAGATACTATCTATTCACAAACACTCCTACACTTCCCATGTTTGTTGCGTTTTGCTTATTTGTGTCTAGCTCTTTTTTGCTTTATTTTTGTTAAGAATGCTATCAGTGAAATATAATTAATTGTATTGTGCATTACATATGTATTTATATTTTATTTACACATTATAAGTACCTGTATAGATATATAGATCGACTGAAAGTGGATTTTTAAGGATAATTGATGTTGTTCAATTGATGTTGTCAAATTATTATTTGAATCACATTCTATTATTATTAGGGCATCAATTTAAGTTAATTCATATGAAAATTCAGTCTTGAGTAAAAATTACAAAGGAAATCTGAGCATCAGTATTTTCATGTTATCTGTCCATAGTTATATTGAGCATCAGTTCTATCATGTAATTAGTTGGAACATTTCTCTACTTCCAGCCAAGAACGCAGATCGCGACTTATATCTGGTCCAAGTAACTTCTCCCACATTACTCACATGGGGCCTGGTGAAGGAATGAAAATGTTGGTGGATTTACCCAAGGTATGTGTGATGATTAAGGGAGATCTTTCAAATCTCCTTTAGGAGACATAGAAATGTTGATGCCTATGTGGCAATGCTACTTTGTATATTGTTTAGTAAATTGTGATTTTTATTATTATTATGATATATTTTGCTGCAATTTGGCACAGTGTGATAAAAAGTGGCAAGCAATTGGGTTATTTGCACATAACTGTTTTTTGTGAAAGTTTGTAGAAACTGCTGCACATAAATATTGAATGATCGCTTTTTGAATATGGACACAGCGGACATACAGTGGAATGATCCCTGTTTGATGGTAACTTTTCAAGACCAAACTTGAATTTGGTGCATTTTGAAAATGTGAATTGTGTGATCAGTATGCTAGGATAACTTGTAAATATCAGAGATTTCTGAATTTTGGTTGTCTTTCATGACGTATAATGCAGTATCGTAAAATGAAACTTAATTCACAGTATTTTCTACAACTACAAATTGCCTTATTAGCATAATTCTATGACTAACAAACTAACTGCAGTTAATATGTTATCTTATCATGCATCTGGGTCATTTCTAATCTACCATTGATACATTGAGGTAAATATTTCACTGCTAGGGCTATGAAATTGTAAGTCCAATTTCAAACTATAGTAAACTAATATATACCAGTAATGATCAATGTTTTATGTGTTTGCCACAATGTAACCAACTATATCCAAGGATTTGTATCATATTGATAGAAAAGTATAAATGACCATTTTCTTTCTATTAATAACAATCTAACACCATTGCTCATTTTGGTACGCAGGGCGCAGCTAACATTTCTAAATTACAACCAATCACAGAGACCAAAGTCCCCATGGAAATCCTAGAGGCTATTTCCCAATCGGAGGTTCGAGTGATTTGTATATGCTTAAAATCTCATGATTTTAATCCTAATGCCTTTATTTAATTGTGTGGATGAAATAGGATTTGATGGACAGATTTCAAAGTTTTCCTATGGTTTGACTGAGGTTTTAAGCGTAGGATCACACACATAGTTCATGTTTTATTCAAAATATCTGACCGCTCAGTAGTTGCTTTTTTCAATGAACTCCTGAGAGTATTAGTTAATGTTTGCATTTTGATTATATCCATGTTGTACTATCCCGTTTCATTTTTGTTTATTATTTGAACAATATTTCTAAAGTTAAGCAATTTTTAAAGAGCAGAAGTGATTACAGAAATAAAATAAAGTTCAAGACATTAAATGTCATCATGGTCAGTCATGGAAAATGCATGTCTTCATGAGGTAATATTTATAAATATATATTGATAACTATTGTCTACCTTTATATAAGACCATGGATGAAATTCATTTGCATTAATCAGGAATAGTGTTGTCAACTTCACTATTGTGTGTATCGACTATTGTTGGTAATAGAGAGATTTCGCTCTTCATGAAACTATAACTTATAAAATACCATTATGAAATAACATTACAAAAAGTATTAGTGAGTTATGAAATCTCTTATCTGTGCACTATTTTAAGAATTCAGATCCTAAATTATCATTCAATTACTGAGCGTTCAGATCTAACGATGTAGAGCTTATAGTGACGTCAAATTCACAGATCATAGTGCTAAAGTGGGAATTAAATATGAGTGTACATAAATGTCATAAGTGTGCATAAATGTAATGAGTGTACACTCATCACTCCAAAATAGAAATGATTTGGTTTGCCCATATGTAAAGCAATGCTTTGGTTAGGTTAGTGTTACATTGCTGAAAATTATGTTTAGCACTAAAACTGATTTCCAATGTGTCGGCACTAGATTCCTTTGATATTTTTTATGTTTGTTCATAAATATTTTACACTCCCCTCAATAAATTTGGCAACTGGAAGACCCATTTTCAATCACTTATTAGAGCCTCTTTATGTTTGGCGATTTTAAACAATTTATAAAATTTGTCACAATTTTCTAAACTATTGTAATTAAGGAATGATTTAGATTCAGAAATTGACAGGTTTTGATGTGCTATCCGATGTAAACTTCCAGTTGCTAAACTTATGGAGGGAGTGTATCATTGCCTGCTATTTCGTCATCATCCCTATTCATTCATATAACTGTTGTTTAATTTGGTTTGAACAAAAGTTTGCTTTACCCAGTCATCACTGACAAACTGTAGTTTTTCAAATAAAATAAAGACATTGTTTTCTGCATTCTGCTTTGTTGTCACACATTTGTGTCACCATGAATCACAAATTTTTTTATCTTGATACATATTTTGAAAAATTGCTTTTTTGTGTATCCCATCCAGTGCATCCACCATTTAGAAAACAATATTCACAAATCTTGCATTATGTCATCTGTTAGTTTTATTTTGCTTATTTTCCAACTTGAATGCCATTATGAATATTAATTTCAATCTTAGATAATTGCTTGGTATAGGTGTTTCATTTACAAAAAAGGTATTTACTTAATTTGTAATCTACCATTTTTCGTGCAGTGTAAATATTTTTACCATGATAACAGTCTATTTTCAGTATACATTGTAGTACAGTAGATGCAAATACATTCAACCTTGTTTCACTTACTAACAGCCAGTTGTGTCACTTATCCTTAAAAACAGCTTGAATTAATTCACTCATATTTGTGAATGGAGAGGTTGCCTAAGTTGAGGCTGTTATAATTGAGGCATCATTTTGTTAAGGCTCTGTGTTAAGACTTGAGATCTTGATGATGTAATAACATTGTATTCTGCTATGTAGGTACAAGGGGGAGGTCAGACAATAGAGAGAATGGAGAGAGTGAAAAGCTTCATGACGACACTTGGTCAGAGAGGGGCTGCCCCAGGGACTCGACCCCCCACAGCTCCAAGGCCTGCAAGTGTACAAGGCGGGGTTAATGGTATGTCATGTTTCATGCTCTTTTTGATTTTGGATTCAACTCAAGTCACACTTACAAACAGTCTATCATACAGGCCTAGGAAAACAGTCAAATTAATGCATTCGTGACATCAATTCATGCATTTCATTGTTGATGTCAGTCCAAGCAGTGGATTGTTGGTGACAATCCATGCAGTGCATTGTTGATATCTGTTCATGCAGTGCATTGTTGATGACAATCCATCCAATGCATTGTTGATGTCAATACAAGCAGTGTATAATTGATGTCAATCCATACCATGCATTGTTGATGTCGACGCATTGCTGACATCAAACCATGGGGTGCATTGTTCATGTCGATCCATGCAGTGCATTGCTTATGTCATTTCATTAAGTGCATTATTGATGTCAATCTATGTAGTGCATTGCTGGTGTCAGTTCATGCAGTGTAGTGCTGATGTCAATTCATGCAGTAGAGTAGATGAGACTGGAACTTGTATCTGTGATCTTGTGTCCGTCTAGTTTAGTATAAAATATTTTGCATTTTTGTATTTTGAAAAAAAAAATTGATATAGTTTAGTAAAAGCTAATTAGAAGATGTGACTTTATTTTGACAGCAAGCATTATTTTATGTTTGATATATTTTGATGACATTGACAATTTTGTGATTTACTTATTTAATGTGTCATCCAGTTTAAACTAATTCAATGCATGGTTTGAGATTCTATTTCCAATAATGTGTTAAAGATATGACCAACTGAATCATAGACATAAAAGATATGTAATTATTTATTTAATATTATTTTCTGTCTATGACTGAATCTTGCATGAATATTGTCAGCTTTTTTTGCTTCTCTTACTAAACATGAATGTTAAAATGTTGACAATTTTGGATCCGATCTGATATCATAGTATGTAGGACCATGTTTTTGCAATGATTTTTGATCAACAGTCTATATATAGATTATTGTTGATGTCAGTCTTTCCAGTGCATTGTTGATGTCACTCCATGCAGTGCATTGTTGATGTCAGTCCATGTAATGCATTGTTTAACTAATGCAGTACATTGGTTGATGTCAGTGTATGCAATACATTGTTGAATTAACTTCTACAGTGCATTGTTGACTTCAGTCCATGCAGTACATTGATTGATGTCAGTTCATGAAGTGCATTGTTGATAAACTCATGCAGTGCATTGGAGATGTGAGTCCATGCAGTGCATTGTTGACATCAACTTACATGATACATTCTTGACATTGTCCACCCATGCAATGCATTGTTGACATTAGTCCATGCAGTGCATCGTTGACATGTTGGCATTCATGCTGTACGCCTGTTGTTGCTTTCTCCCAGGGAGTGCAGTGTTACGACGTGATCAGTCCAATAGCAGCGTATCAAGTAGCGTCAGTAAACAGTCCTCTGTCACGTCAACCTCGACAGACCCATCTTTTGACCAATCACAAAGCAACCTACAGCTGATTCCATCACCAATTTATGAGGTACGTTATTAAGGAATCGTCGCACCATGTTCGGTATGAGAGTTACAAGATGCATTCGAAAGGTTTCTACCAAACAAAAGATGGTGGAAACTTCATGAATGACGTTTTTCAATAATGACCTTGATGTGTTTTTTTCATAAATTCATTGTAAACCCAACTTTGACAGTTAAAATGCCACTTTTTCTACCCCATTTTAAACCCTCCCCCAACTTCTTGTTTGATGGGTCCTTTTCCGCTTCTTGTGTTCTCCATCAAAAAGCTATGATGCTATAATTTTGTTTTGTTTATTTTTGTTTATTATTTTGTTTTTATTCATCTATCATAATTTTTTCTTTATCTGTATGGTCTAAAAGCAACAGAGACCTTTCTACAGGGTGTCCGGAAAGTAAAGATACAAATACTGTATCTTTACTCTCTGGACACCCTGTATTGTGCCGAAAGAATAATGAATTATGTATGTTTAGTACCCATGTTTCTTTTGTTATTTTGATTCGTTCAATTTGATTCAAAGATTTATATTATTAAATCAGTATTGATAGGTTAACTTTTTTTATTAAGAAATGTATCAAGGAAATAAGATGAGTTTCAAAATGAGAAACTTTAAAATGAACATCACCATAGTGACATTTAAAACCTGGGTTTATATTAATCTTCAAATAGATCTTTTTAAAATACAATACAAATTCATATTTTACAGCTTGAAGGTAAAACTTCTTGGGACACGGCGGTGACCTATGTGCACTGGCACCTGACAATTTTATACATAAATTTTCTCTCATTATTAAAAAGGCACAAATAATACATGTATTTCTCTACTGTACAGGGTGATACATAATGTTTATTTTCTCTACAGGGTGGTCTATCTCCTTCACCCTCTGTGAGTGTTTTTGATTGGGGATTTTTCTCAGACTCCTAACATTTAGCTGTTCTTGCTCCTAACACCATTCTTTGTACGTGCACATTGACATCCGGGGCTTATTTTCTGAATGCATGGTGATCACGATTCATATAAAATTCTATTCTCTTTCACAATCACAATGTCATGGTGATATTATACCAGATGTCACGACTCAAAATGAAAGAGGTTCTGACATCCCAGCATTTATAGGGTGGCATTTGAAATAGAATTCAATGAGTCTTGAAACATGCTTGGAAAAGTGGCTCTCGGGACACTAAAACTTGTAAAACTGAACACCTGGAGCCAAACAAACCTCAACAAAAGCTGGAGTGTTGAGTCAACTGAACTTTAGGGTCCATACATTACTAAATCAATGATGGGAAATAAAACCAGAGGTGTTCAGATTGAAAGGTTTTACTGTTTTAACTTCATAAACTTTATTCTTTTGTTGGAAACTATGAAATGAATACCAATAATGGATTGTGAAAATATTCATTTCATTTGGGAAACTTAAGATAAATATGCATGGATGTGGTGATTTGTGCGTTATGTGGTGGTTTTGGTATTACTAAATCTACAAAATGGTGTGTGCGCCTTGTGTAATCAAATGAATGAAGTGAAGACTGGACATGTGAAGATGATATATTGTAAAGGGAAGATAATATCATATATATTTTGTGGATGGTGTCGTTGCTTGCTAAAAATGTTGTCATGGATTTCGATAAAAAGCTTTGGTACAGGGAGTGATTACATTTTTTGTCTCTGTAGACCTTTCCAATCGATTCTCACCCATTTGGTGAAGCAAGGAAACTATAAGGGTATATTGGCTAGATGATGTGAAACTTTGGAGGTATACAAGATTGTTAGAAATTTTTGAAAATTAGCCATATCCTATTTCTACCTTGAGACATCATAATAGGTGGCGTGATATAATGAATTGGTCTAATAGATGTCTCTGATGATGAGGTCCATATATTGACAGCTAATAAGGGTTATATCATGCTTGATACATGGGGTACTTTAAATATGATTTTGTATCAGAGGTTTTTGGCTCACACAGTGAGCCTATGGGATCGACCAGGCGTCCGTCCGTTGGTCCGTCCGTCCATCCGTCCGTCCGTTGGTCCGTCCGTCCGTCCGTCCGTCCGTCCGTTGGTCCGTCCGTCAACATTGGCCGCACAAATTAAAACTGCTATTCGGATTGAGTCATATCCACATTCATTTTATGCATATCCATAATGCCTATTTGACCTATCATCGCCATTTCCCAAGTTCGCCCGGTTTCCGAGAAATTGCGGATTTTGACGTCAAAAAGTCAAATTTTCTGTAAATACTAGACACTTTGTTGAAGTAGAACTTTCAAATAACTTTTAGTAGTTGGTGTATATGCAACCTATGTCCTCTGAAGATTTCAAAGCTCTTGGAATGACGGTTTTTGGTGTTTACTCTATAAAATTTGAAAAAAAGTAGGACTTATTCATTTTTAGGAAACTTTCTCATGTATAAAGTCAATGGCAGGTTTTGTGATTGACAAGATTCTTAAAGTTTGCCTTATACTTGATCATTTCCTGCAATAAATTACATCATTAATAGATTTAAGCATTCCCTACATATTTCTCATTATATGTCAGCATCAAATTTTTACCGTTTTTGAGATATTTGACGTCAAAAAACAGTAAAAAAGTTATTTTTCAACTTGCTTCAATTTGACCAAATTTTTTTTTGAAAATCATCTACATGTTGCCAGGAGTTCAAATCTGGCATTAGTTTTAGGATTTGACCTTTACTTGACCTTCAGTGACCTTCGAAAGGTCAAAAAAGTTGATTTTTCAAATTGATTTTTGGATGTAAATTTTGGTCAGCTTAATCACAAAAGACCTTACTGAGCTCTGAATAAGTAAAATTTTCAAGGTCAAAGCTAGGTCATCAAACTAGGTCACACAACTATGCTATCTGAGTTTCTCAAAGTTCGAGACTACAAATCAAAATCAATATTTTTGTTTGAAAGTCAGGATATAAATTCCTCTGAAGGTTCCAAACTGTGTGAGCATAGGACCGTGGGTCCTTCATTACAAATTATTGCATATTTTAGCAATTTAGGTGACACTTCATTGCAATTTGCAACTGACCAATAATGGTTGTGATACACTAATCATATATTTGGAAAGTGGTAGCTTCTTTTATATAACACATTGCTTCTTTGGGGAGGGGGCTTTTCAATTTTGAGATGATTTGGTTCTTATGTTCCCTGCATGAGATTTATTGGACTTATTCTTAACTTTTCTCATCAACATTTTATAGCCAAATCTCAATCACCTAATTTTCTTTTAAATTTTCTGGGAGTATAGGTTACACAAGATCATTGACGAAGTAGTAGGTAGAAAAAATCTTGCTTTTACCTTCCCCTTTTGGTGGATTTTGTAAGCTGTTTTATATAGTAAAAACTGGTTTAAGTGAATATCTCAATATGAGAAACACCTCATATCTGCTATTAAATGCTATTTTGATAACTCGTCACTGTAGAGCTTCCTCTGTATTGTAATATTGTGTATATAGTAAGTTGTTGCCTGGCAACATACTGGAACCTAGATACCTGCATATTATAGATACAATTATTATAATATATTTAATAATCAATGTGTTATGATTCACTATCAATTAAAAGGTTTGTTCCTGAAATATATAATTCTTGTAGTATGAACTTTTTTAATTTCGATATTGTGTCAATGTGTATGTAAAATAACTGATTTGTTAGTATTTGATTTTCTAAACTGTGCTTAGTTATTGAAATGTGAAGCTTGATTTTCTTCCAACAATATTTCCTCCATGTACAATAATATTTGGTTTCTTTCTCTGTAGGATATGGAGGGAAGTCCCCAACTGTCTATGACAGACACAAGCAGCGAAGGCTCCAATCGTCATAGTTACCTAGATGAATCAACTCCAAGCCAATCATCAGAGCTTTGATAGTGTAACCATGCTTAACCGTGAAAGCTCTAATCTTCATAGTTGCCTAGATGATTCGACTCTTAGCCGGCGAATCATCTGAGCTCTTAAAGTTTAACCATGTAGAACTATGGAAGCTCTAATCGTCATAGTTACCCAGATGATTCAACTTCTAGCTAATCATCAGAGCTCTGATAGTTTAACCTTGTAGAACTATGAAAGCTCTAATATCATAGTTACCCAGATGGTTCGACTCCTAGCCAATCATCAGAGCTCTGATAGGGTAACTATGTAGAACTGTGAAAGCCCTTATCGTCATAGTGATATACATACAAACATTGAATGTAGTAACAGCAATCTTATATCAAATGATATAATTAATAATTGAACGTAAAGTCTCTATTTCAATGAGATAATTGTAAAATTGTTGAACTGTACAGCATAGAAAGAATAGTGTCCAACAATCCAAATTCAGGGTTCACAGGACACCCTGTATATTATGAAATATGTCAACTGAACACCCTGTACTTGGTGTAAATTGTCAACAGTTGTACAGTTCTATTGGTGATCATAGCTAGAAACTTATTATACTGGAGATCATTCATGTTACTTTGTAAAGCTGAGATTCCTGAATCAATTGTGTAACTATGGATATCATGGCATCATATTGAGAATAATTACAAAATGTTCTCTTAATGATGCCATGGTGAACTGAATTGTCATGGTAACATAATTTGTCAAGCAGATGTTTGCATTATGAAATGTGTAATCAAAATTCAATGTAAAAATGTGAAATATGTATTCTGTATATAGTGAACATTTATTGTGCTGTATATTAGATGTATATTGTGATGTATGGGATACACAATGTATACCTGGGAACTGTTACATATTCACATGTATATGTAATACATTGAATGGATTACTTGAACAATTTAGTGAAATGTGAATGTTTCAATATTAACGGAATCATATTTCTATTAAAAAGGAGTAATCCAGATCTAGTACACAGACATAGTGTTTCATAAAACTAGTTGTGCTGTATGACTATATTTATGGTACACTCTGTATCTATATGTACACCATTGCTTACGGTATATAGAAATTCTGTTTTTGATTTCATTAATTTGCAGCATTTTTTCAAATATGTTGTACATATAAATTTTAGCTCAATTGTTAAATATTTAACGAAAACTGAATTGTCATTGGTGTGATCGCAGGTGAAAATAATTGCAGGTGAAAGTGATCACAGGTGAAATGATTGCAGGTGAAAATAATTGCAGGTGAAATGATTACAGGTGAAAAACTACTGCTTAATGATATAGGGTATAATGAAAACATTATCTGGTCACAATCCTTCACGATAGCATTGTTTCACTTGCCATTACTGTGACAATATCTACAGTACATACAAATATTTTGTTGCACTGTACAACTTAAAACTTGCATGCACCTCTCCTCAAGATGTCTTATGACATTTGAGTCACAACGATCAAATGGGCGAACTAAAAGGCTGTTGCAATATGAATGATTACAGCCATATTATGTACAGATTCACTCACTTATATATCACTGATGTATGATTCTTGATTAATGTTACAAGTGTAATGAACTTGTTTTAAGTTAAAGGAATTTATAGAAAAAAATATCCAGGTTTTCAAAATGCTGGAGTACTTTAAATAAATTAAATTGTTAGTCATTTGTATGTTATTGGATGAAGCTACAATAATGTAGCACCGTGTGATGCCACATGATTGTAGCACAGTGTTATGCCACATGATTGTAGCACCATGTGATGCCACATGATTGTAGCACCTTGTGATGCCACATGATTGTAGCACCTTGTGATGCCACATGATTGTAGCACCTTGCGATGCCACATGATTGTAGCACCGTGTGATGCCACATGATTGTAGCACCATGTGATGCCACATGATTGTAGCACCATATATTTCAATAATTCAGCAACATGATGTCAGAATAATGTACATGTGATGTCATAATAATGTAGCGATGTATGATGTCACAATAATGTACATGGGATGTCCTAATGATGTAGCAAAGTATGATGTCACAATAATGCACATGAGATGTCATAATAATGAAGCAACGTATGATGTCACAATAATGTTGCATGTGGTGTCATAATGATGTCGCAATATTGTAAATGTGATGTCATAATAGTTTAGCAACATGATGTCATGAAAAGTCACATTAATTCACTCCTACAGGAGTTGTACTGTGTACAAAATCTTCATCCTCTATGTAAATGTAGTGTACAAAATCACCTGTACAGATACCATGTACATAATGTTGAAATGTACAAATGTAAAAATTGCTTGCCTTGACATATATGTGTATAATTGATACCAGAACAATGTAGATAGCTAGAGATTGCATGATGAGGCACTGACATGATGGCACTGTGGGGGGGGGTATTAATTATTATATACTATTTGACATGATGTGTACATACAGAAATCTTTCGAGGTTGATAGGAAGTGAGTTAATTCCCACCAGTTGAGTGTAAAGTGAAGAATTTAGACACAAGCTATGTAACACATTTCAGTGTCACAATTTTACTCCTCAGTCAGTATGAACAAGTTGCTTACATTCACATACAGAGCACACTTGCCTAGTTAAATCAATTTTGTGAGATATTTTCCATATTTTGATAGTACGTTCACGTCAGATCAAATCAGTTTTAGGGGTGGAGTTATACGAGTAATGTTATTATCCATTTACATTGAGCTTGTTAAAATATGGTCACAGTTTTTCCACACTCATTTTTCTCAATACATTAATTTGTTACAATTCTGACTGCAGACAAGTGCCAATAAAAGTAAGACTTTACTCTTTGATTTTCTTGGCTGTGTGTATCATTGAAGTATGTTGTTGAGCCCATTTAGTAGTGGATCTGAATTGTTATGTTGGTGTAATGTGCAAGGCTTACTAACTGTACAAGTACAATGCATGTTATGGATTTTAAAACATTCTTTCAAAATTCAAGAATAGATGTCCATTCCGATTTCACTATGGTTTACCCCTCCCCCTTCCTCCTCCTCTATAACAAAAGTTTAAAATGTTGATTTACTCACAAAAATCATTTTTAACACACAAAGAAGTCATTTACCCCTTCTAATGAAATTAACCGCCCTGTTCCACCTTACACCACCCTGTTCCACCTTACACCACCCTGTTCCACCTTACATCACCCTGATCCATCTTATACCTCCATGTGACATTCTTCATGTTTCCATAATACTTATCAACTTAAAACAATAATTTATCACATTACACTGTCTAAAATCAGTGTATGTACCATATTATGTGGTATAAGGGTGGCATCTTGTTTCAATTCATGAAGAATTTTGATAAAGATATCTAAAAACTTATTCTGTTTATTCACTCTAGTAAGTTTTGATGTACATTTGATTTATAAAATGTTGTCACATGAAGAGTTTTGATATGTAAGCAAGTTCAAACTGGGTGTTTTTGTTATTATGTATATTACATGTATGGTGCCAGCTAGGTGAAGTATGTAGGGATATACACATTTTGTTATCCAAGCTTTTATCAACCAATAAATCTGTACTCAAATATTTATAAAATATGTTGTTTTGTTCTGTATATTGAACATCTCTGATGAGATGTCAATGTTGAATTTAGTGTACCTCCAAATAATATCCACATGAAAATAGTGTTTCCTGAGTCATCCTCAGTGGGAGTAAGATCAAGCAAACAAGTTAAACAAAAATTGTCGCGATTTTAGAATATTTTTGGCTCGTATCATTCCTTCCTTGTCATGTCTATTTTCTAAAAAATTCCCAAAGTGCATACTTAATTTCAGGAAAACTTAGGATTTTTACGATATTATTTTTCTATTTTTATTGTTTGGATCAGAAGAATTTAATCATTTCCCCGCCATTTTTGCTCTTAGAAACTAATAACTTCACCAATTTATAACATATGCCCATCTTTCGGGAGATTTTGTATTTATCTAGTGAATATCACCCCTAAACAAGTAAGATAACTTTTGTGATGGAAAAAATGGATATAAAACTTCTGGGAGACTAATGCTCAGAGTCTGCATTACAGGAGTGAAGATTAATGGAGAATGTTAGAGGTACCTGTTAGACGGAGATACTGAGTAACAAATCAGAAAAATGTTGCCATGGATATGTGTTACCCAGATAATATAAATAAACAAAACAACTCTATGCATGTTTTATCTTTAGGTCTATTATAGATATTCTCATTTTTATAAAAAGAATGACATTAAAATACAACTGTACACAATTATCTGTAACATGTAACATTACATATAGTACAATTTACCTGACATAAAAATTCATTCACTCATCTTATTATTTGATTTTTGTTTTGTACAAAAGTAATGTTTATATTGTGCATTGTGACATTAATGACCATAACAATGAAAACTAAATATTTGCTGCTGACAAGAAATGAACAAAAACCCAGATTGAAACCCCCATGACGTATTATTGTGTGTAAATATACATAATTTTGATTTCTTGAATGGAGCAAAAATCTATTTTCGCATACAACTGTGATGAGCAATCAAAAATGACAGACTGGATTTCTGATAATGAAAAATGAAAACTTAAGATGAAAAAATGAAATCAGCAAAAATGAGATAAATATTACTGACAAATATACATTGTATGGGATTGCCAGAATATCAGGCAGTTCATTTAAATTCCAGCACGAATTCATGAAATAAGCACAGCCAGAATTGGTGATATTTAACAAATGATAATTTAATAAATAAATCAATGTGAAATCAAAATCTCTGTTTAGTATTATTGTTTGAGAGGATTCATTTTATTTAATTTAATGTTACCATGTTATATACTAGATACAGTATATACATGAACACATATTCAATGAGGATGAATATATTGAAATTGGATTGATTTAAACTAGTCTGGTCACAAATCAAAAATGTCATGGTGATCATAAGAGGAAGAAATATCCCATAATTCATAGATGAACCAATCTTTACATGGTGCTTGATTCCTCTAAGAATCCTGGGAAATTCCCCCTCTTGGTGATCATGTTTTGAAAAATAAGAATTGCAAGGAATATACCAAACAGACATGAATATTCTTCTATTACATGTTGTATATTACAAATATGAAAAATCAATGTGAAAACTGATATTTCGCACAGGCAGAAATCCTCAACAAATCGGATATGTTACAAATATATATTGGCCTCTGAGTTGAACATATTAACACCGAGACTTGATTCTTTCATTTCATTAAAATATAACATCTGCTGCCAAATGGAACAGCAAACTATTTTACTTTTACAATTAATGTACAATTGCTTCTAAAACAGTACACTGGACATTTTTACAGGTACATGAATTAAATAGGCAGTTAAAATCCCTGATTGTTTTACACTCCTCTTTCTCCAATTCTACATGCCTGTGCAAGCTATGGTTTCTTTGCACCATAGAATATTATTTTAAATTGAACAAACAATCAACTGAATTTATTTCTATTACCTCCCTGAAATACCTAAAACAAAACATTCTTTTCATTGCTTTATAATGCTTAAATATATCACAGAGGTTGTGGGAATAATATGGTCAGCTAATAGCAAGCTTATACTACCATTGGAAAGCTGGAAGATTTTATTACCACAAACTCTGTCTGCAGAATTCTGACTTTTGTGAGTAACACCCCACACTAAAATGTCCAGACTCTATATTCAAACTGCACCTTTCTTCAATCTCAACAAATGGATCTAAACACTATATCTTTTAGTATAATCTATTTTCACTAATGTTTAACTTCCATACACTACTTTTAAATGAATATGTACATGGATATTGCTGAGAAAACAAACGCAAGGCCCTAAGCATTGCAGAGAACACAAGGCCCTCAGCAATGCAGATAAAACAAGGCCCTCTGTATTACAAAGAACACAAAGCTTTCAGCACCACAAAGAACATAAGAACCTGTACATTCACAGAATACAACATAAGGCCTTGTGGATTGCCACACCATAAGGCCTTGTGGATTGCCACAACATAGGGCCTTGTGGATTGCCACAACATAGGGCCTTGTGGATTACCACAAACATAAGGATTTGTGGATTGCCACAAACATAAGACCTTGTGGATTGCCACAACATAAGGTGTTGTAGATTGCTGAGAACATAAGGCCATGTTATCTGCAGAGGACATAAGACCTTGTGCAATCTTCGATCCTATATGCTGTCTAATACTGGATCATAAGGCCCTGTGCACTTTTTTCAATGCTGATTATAACTTAAAGGCATGATTTGAATTTATAAATTATGCAGATACTCCGTGTGTATGTGTGTGTGTCAATGAAGGTTGAATGTGTGTGTTAACTTCTCCTAGACATTATGCTTACTAATAACCCAATTTATCACAATCAAAAATCTGAACATTTTTCAAATGCTGCTAGGGAGACACAAATTCATCAACAGCATTTATGTTGATACACAATATTAATAAATCTGGCAAAAATAAATAATATTCAACTGAAAATGGTTCACACAATATATCCCAGTACAGGGACAATATTAATGTGAACCATATTCTATTTTTTCCCACAATGTAGTAAATTTGGAAGCGTTCTACAGAATTTCATCCTATTGCTAATAACTGGAAAATCAACAACTGCAAATGAAATATTAAGTATTGCATCTGGGCAAATGAACTGCCATGTAGCATATGTCAGTTGATTTTCTATGTGCCTAGTATATTGTGTACTAGCCTTGCAACTACGTTATTCTACATTAGTCAAATAATATAATCTCCAACATTCAGTCATTCACTCTCATGCATCTCTTGTAATCATGTGAAGGTAATATGTAAGCACTCGTTCAATTAACTCAATCCAGTCTCGATTTTCAGTCTGTAAATCCATATGGATCCCAGATGGGTGTTGGAACTCGGGACAGTAATCCTATGGCACTTGGTGAACTTGGAGAACCCCTGCAGTACATTGCACCATCTCGATTATCCATCTGTGTCATTCTGGCACCATCATGCCTTATAAGGCTCTATCACGTTTACACCCTGTTGAAGTGCCACTAACTTCCTGCTGTACATTCCACCGATTAATCCTGCTATTTCCAAAATGCATTCCGTTCCCACACATCCTTCCAGACTTTCAATTCCAAGTTGAAAATTTCTGGCTATTTCCAATTCTGCCTAGATTCTAGCTATAATAATAGGGTGTCGTGGGTTATGTATCAAGGCGCTGTCGTTTAGCTGCTGGGGCGTTGACATCAGAGTTAGTGGAGTCTTCTTCCTCTTCACTGTCGTCATCACCATAGTCTACAAGGCCCATCAGTGGCTAAAATAAAAAATATTCATTAAGTTGAATACATTTTTATACATTAATATACATACATCAAATGGCTTGCATCATAGCATCTTAGGACAACCTTGAGTTAAACATGGTTTGTAAAAGAACAGCATTTTGAGCATAGTAGCTGTAGAGGACTAGCGGTATCTGGCTTAGACTGAAAGAAAGTTCTCAATTAGGCTACATGGGATTTAACAGTTAATATAAATTAAGTCAACTGCAAGATTGAAATTGTCTTATCTTAATTACATGGAATCTCTTTTTGTATAAATGCACAAATTGAAGATACATGGCGATGTAATGGAACATCTATATTGTACTCAATAATACAACAAACTACATACTCATAATACGAAGAAATATATTCTCACCTTGCTTACAGGTAATGTTGAATTAACCTTTGGTTCATCTTTGTGGAGGGTGGGTGTGAGGAGTGTAGACTTCACTAAGGGACTGACGGGGCTGTTGGCAGGGGTAGCTACAGGGCTGATATTGCCCCCTGAGGGCGGAGAACCATTGCTTGTCTTCAAACTGATATTGATCGGAGAAGTGTTACGGAACAACTTTGGAGGAGAGTCCCGCTGCACAATATCATTTGTATCTTTAGCTGGAAAATAGATGCGCAAAAATGTTTACCTTTACCCTGAGCTCCATCAGTCAGCTACACTGTCCTCTTATTAGAACATATGATTTTACAGTTCTCATGGTAAGATTCTTTGAATTTTAGGTTACTTAACCCTTGTCTTGAGCAGAAGTATTATGCACAAACAGATGTTGAAGGGCTTCTCTATATCCCTAATTAAGTGATATTCAATATATGTAATTTCCTAACTTTAACATTTGAGATCCTTCATTCTTCCATCATTGATTAGTTAACCATCCTTTGAATATAATATTTCAAGATATCAATACACAGAGCTAATTAGTTTCAATGCTTGCTTTTCCTGTCTATATACAACATGTCAATGTAACATTGCTTTCAGATTGCAAATATCCCAATATCCTATACATTTATACCAATACACTTACCTCTGCGTTCCATGAACTTGTTGATTTGATCAAACTCATCATACTTTGTCTGTTTCAACATATCAGTCATGATAGCCTCCCCAACCTCAAATTCGTCATCTTGGTCAAACCACATCTCCTCTTCTTCCTCTTGCATCCTGGTGTCTCGTCTGAACCTGTTGTTACGTAGGATCGACGGCACACTAAAACACAACATATATTTGTTAAATTGAGGATAAGTATCAGCAATATTTTTTCAGAAAAAAGTACGGCAGGGTGAAAATATCAATTTTATAGTGAAACTAACTGAACAAGGTTCCTTCCGGGAAAACCGAAGTTACATAATCACCCATTTAACGTTCAATGTTTTTTCTAATAATCACATCTTTTTACCCTTTTAAATGATCAATTATTGCTCTTTGTCATAAAATGAAACAGACATTAATGGTCTAACATTGATATATGACCTCCGTTTTAGGTTATCGTGAAAAAACTTTGTTAACAGATTCAAAATGTACCTTCAAATGGGGAAAAACCTAAGTGTACTATATTGTTTCAGAATGAGATAGGAATATTTGTTGGCAGCATATACATATGAAGTGTATGGTCTGTAACACTTACACACCTGAAGACTGCCGTACAGAAGCTCCTGCTAACTGTCATAATCTAGGTCTGTGCGTCACACCTCATGGCTCTTCTTATGCCGCATTGCATGTCTGACAATGGAGGTGTGACAGTGACCAGTGCTGTATACAGTTCAGCTTGATTATACTTACATACATGTATATAGATAGCTCATATGCCTTTTATATGTCAGTCTAATACATACCACTATGCTTCATTGCTTTTAAACTGATCAATTTACCAGGTACAATCATTCTGGGTATAATATAGAAAGTTACTGACTAATGCCTGGGTCACATTTGCCGACTGATGAATCAGGGCAAATGTGACCCAGGCATAACCATACTAAGCCTATCATTCTATTTTCTATTTTACTACTCACCCATCAGTGGGAGGTCTGGTTGTGGTGTTATCTTTGAGTCTGTCTTGATGTTGCTCAAAGCGCACCTTGAGAGCTTTAAAGGTCTGCACGTAGTCCACATCCTTCAGTTGGTCAAAGTAGTTGTCTATGATGTATGTGCACAATGACTTGATGTCCTCCTAAAATAGTAACAAATGCATTTAAAGATAGTTAGTTGTCTATGATGTATGTGCACAACGACTTGATGTCCTCCTAAAATAGTAACAAATGTATCTGAATAAAAGTAAAAATCACAATTTAGTATTGTATATCAAAATAATAAGTTCTATCTGATGACAATGATGCTTTTAAGGCATATCTTATCAAAATTGTGCCTCGTCTAAAAGCCAAGTAAAAATCACAATGTGACAAGATGACATAATACAACAACTCACCACACGAATGAACTCAAACATCTCAATCATAGCAGAGTTGAGAAGGTTGTACTTGTTGCCATTAGCCCTGAATGCAAGGATGACTGGCTTGAATAGCTCCCCCTTTATGATGTAACGGTTGTAAAACTCATCCTTCAGGCCAATCACCTTTCGTAGCAACCGCAGAGCACCTGATGAAATATAGAAAATGATTTATATAATCAATGAGAAAATCAGACTGATCTAAAATTGACAGCTAAATATTATACTTAATTTTTTACATGTAAGTGATGGCCAACCTATAATGCCAATATGGCGATTGGTGGCCGAAAATGTATTGACTTTACCTCAATAAAGTTTATACTATAAAAAAAAATAAAAAATAAATCTAAAATTGAATATGGACAGTATAATATATAAATTCATGTGAGTTCATATCACGAGATATATATCTTATATGGCACAACTGATATGAAATCATGCAAATCTTGTTAAAACAAAATCCGATAAAATATAGCTTATCAACTGTGGCCAAACAATTTATTTTTAATATACTGATGACTCATTAAGATTCCAGATTCAAAATAACACTGTCCTAACCTGATCAAAAAATGATGATGATATCAGTATTTGATGAGATACCTTTTCAGATAAACAAATGTTATCAACAAATCATTTTAAAAGATTGTGTAAATAGTAAATACTAACTGAGAGCCAAGAAGCCATGGTTTGATTTGAGTAGGATGAGAACTCGTCTGAGAAGGTCCTTATTAAGTACATAATTCTTGATGTGGTATGTGTGGTGCTCTATACAGAAAGACAACAACTCTAGGATCAAACTCAACAGCTGGGCTGTCTGGTAGTCATCTGAAATAGAAGCAATATTTCTACATGTAATTAATGTATTTATAACATGTATGTGTATTTATACATGTACATGTATATTCATTTCTCTTTTTGTATTTCAATAAATAACATAACAATGCCATCTTAGTTGAATATGTGTCTGATTGGTAATGTGTAGCATAGCATGTGCACATTATTCTATTTCTAGAAACCTCAAATTATCAAATTCCAATTTTCCTGACAGATTTAGTCTTGCATCAAGTCCACTCCATTCTCTATTACTTGAGACAATATAGCAATGCGTTTCTTACCTTTACTAGGCTTGTCTTCTGTAGTGTTAGCAAACAGAGGTGCAGTGAGGACATGCATACTGTGTTTGTAGAAGAAACTCAGGAATTCTGTCTTTTCCGTTTTCTAAAAAGAATATTTGATGTGTAAATACATTGGGGGTCAGGTCAAATATCAATTTGCTTTTTGTGAAACTAATTTTGTTATAAGTTGTTGAGGTAAAAAACATGTTAAGTAACTTTCACTACAGAAAAAATATTGAATCAGGCAAATTGCTAGGACTAAGTGTGAAATAAGCCCTGCACTGCGAACTCCACGAAACATTCAAATTACAGATTTTGAAGAACAATACCCAGTGGGTGGGGTGTATGAATCCTGAATGAAATATAAACTTCTCTAAATATGACTGAATCATTAATTATTCCCAACTTCTACTCACATTGGCTGTAGCCAGCATGTTTTCAGGATCTATGAGGAGGCTAATAATGCCTTTAAGTTGCACTGCTCCCCCCAGCTCTGGGTCGGTGTCATTCACCATTTGGTCGATTACTAAATTAATAAGGAGATCATCGTCGTCTTGTGTCTGCCCTTCTTGTAAGATAAACTCACGGACCATGGACGGACTAAATTCTACTATATATGAGAATATATCAATAGCCGCAGTCTTCATATCTGAATCGTCCAATCCTAATATTACCTCCAAGGCATTCAAAATCTTCAAATTTGACAGCGTCCTAAAAAATGAGTCTCTGCTCTGGGGTTGCAAAGTTTGTGAAAATGTGCAGAATTCTTTTAAAAAGAGAACTAAATCCCCTCGTCGACTGTCATCTGTTTCGTCGTCGGTGAGTTGTGAGAATAATGTGGCGAGAAATTTATCATCGTCCTGTAACATACTCACTATCTCAACTTTATTGAAAAATATGAATGAGCTTAGCGTTGATAGCATATTTTCTTCAAAAACTGATGGTGTAGGCAGGATTACATCCTGTATGTACTGAACCCTATAAGTCTGATGTATTTTCGATTCCAGCTCTTGATTTCCTATTGGTAACACTTGGCGGAACTTTGCGACGTTGCGTAAATAATCGCGATGTTTTGCTGGGCTAGGAGATGATGGGTCATATTCCAGTACGCCGACCACATCAAATATAGTGTCATCAGCAAACATGATCTCGAACAAGGCATTTTTGTTCAATAAAAATATACTTTTGAATATATCGTAAAGATGATGTAATCCATCCAGATTTTCTAAATCCTCTGACATATGGAATAAATCCAATAATGCCTTGATGTATGATTCCTGTTCTATTGCTACCGCCAGCTTCTCTCTGCGTATGGGAGATGGGATAACTCCACTGAAGAGTTCTGATATTTCGCTGAGTTTGCTGAGTTCGCAGGGAGGAAGTTCTATTGGTGGAGCAGCATCGGGAATCTCTTCAAAGCGTTCATCTTCGGATTCCTCTATGACATCCTGCGTGATGTCAACAGAAGGATCCTTGCCCTGGACCTACAAGAAAATGACAAAATAATGAAGGAGATAGTTCTTTACATAAATATTCAATTGTTCATCATATAAATATCCAAGATCTACAAACATTGAAAACAATGGTTTTTTAGATATTTCTGTTTATCATTCCAATTGAATTTCTCTATATAACAGCTGCAATCAGACATAATATAGGTATTGCTAGCAAAACAGACAAATCAGTACATATTAACTCTAGAATAGCACAACATCCTTGTACTTGTCTTGAATTACTTTATGTAACAGCTACAGTATACTGTACCTATATACTGACTCCACTGGTAATTTAATAATAAGAGAAAAAGTGTAATAACAAGACAAAATTGAGCTAAGAAATACTGCGCATTACATTTCAGTCATCTCCCAGTCCATTCCTTTGAAGGAAAACAAAAGAAATGATGATATTCATCATACATTTCCTATTAATCATAAACCCTCTATAATGAGCTATTCAAACAAGACTTACTTGGCATATTTTCTCCCAAATTTCGTCACATCCTGCCTTCTCTTGGAAACTTAAGGCCAGGTCATAGTTGTCTGCCTCTGACCACACGATTAGTGTTTCCTATGATAAACCACAGAATTAATACATATTTTACATTTGTCCAAAAAAGATATTGCAATTTACTAGTTTATTAATAACAATTACGAGTACATGTGGTTGAAAATAAGAGACAGAGTTAGTTAGGAAACCATATTATTTCTAAGCCATTGATAAAAGCAATCACATCCTTCCAAATGCTTGAATCTAATATCTTAGAAGGGGTAAGCGGAATAAATGATATTAGAAGTAATATATAAATAAGAAAACATCCGGGTTGTATAAAAACAGAATTTAGTCTTTGGAATTGTGTATTTGAGAGTGTTACCTGTTGCTTCTGGTATGCTGTATCTGGCTGAATCTTTGACTCTAACAATAGGGAGCCTGAAACAATAAAAATGTAGGAGTTAGAACTTAAAAACTAATGTGTAACCAATTTTTTACTTCTAGGTAAATCAAATCAATAAAAATATATTTTGGTCAAAACAAAAGTAAATATCACCTCTTGCAAATACATTCATAAACAAGTGAGATCCACAAAAAACGTACAGAGTGATAAAGAATTGAGTATTCAGTACATGTTAGGGTTGGCACAGGATTTACCCTCAGAAACAGACTTCCAGAACTGAAAATCATGGCAATTGTTTAACAGCTATATAACTGAATATTATGATCACTAGGTCCGAAATTCCAAAAGTTCCGGAGTTCGAAATCAAGTTCTGAAATCTGCTCCTGTTTCATGCCAGCCATAGTACATATAGTTCTCTTTTTCTTATAATATAGATTCTAATAATACATTTATTATTTGAAATAAATATATTACAGAGTATAATAAAGGGGCTGAGCTGAAACTTGATTCGGAATCTGAACTTGCTCTATGGAATTTGGAACTTTCAAAACCCATTTCGTAACGCAAACGAAAAATTAATATACCCGGGGTACATTAAAAAATGTTAATAACTTAACAGATAAATGTCAATCCTGCAAATTGTCTTATCTTTGTTGTATGTTTGGAGGTTGTAAACATGAGTAAATCAAATTTATTTAATTCTGAGTAATTTCTCTGTCAATTCCAACTTTAAGTGAAAACCGAAGGTCAATCTCTCAAATCAAAACAACTTTTGATCAAAACTACATGAAACTCAATTGGTAACATAACAAAATTTTTAAATAATACTACCATTAAAAATTATGGTATATTATTCCAAGGAGGATTGGCTCCTAGGGACGCAACTTAATATTTTCTAACAATGAAAATGTCCAAGGGCATTGCTTTCTGACATTATAACTGACTGTAATTTCATAATCAACAGTCCAAAAGATTTCAACCAATATTTCAATCACCTCTTGTGAGTTGTTGAATTTTTTGTTTGGAAATAAGACCAAAACTCGCGATTCAAATTTTGTAATCACAACATCTCCATATATGGCAGAATATCGAGTTTGAACCCTGGGAGCCAATCCTCCTTGATATTAGTCTATATATTATATTTTAGATGGAGAATCCCAGGCACATTTACTTACAAAATGACACTAGAGAAATGGATAAAAATATAGACTCTTCATTTCTCTATTGAAAATGATGCAATATAAAATGTACAGGGCATACCTAACATATTGATTCCAGGTTTTAGCTGAAAACTCTTAGATCAATATTCTCTATTCTGCTAACAATTTGTTTGAACATATTTGTAACATTACAAACTGGTGTTGGTACACTCAAATGATATTGCTTTCATAAGCTCTCAAACTAGAATTTCTAGCTCAGTAAAGTTACATAATCTATACTTATATCATGAAAGCTTATTTACCATTTGGCATGATACATAATCTAATATGTGAGCTACCGAGGGTGCTTTACTTGCAGAGTCTAGACATGCTGGAACTAAATCCCTGCTTTTTTCTAAAAATATACTTTTGGGTCAATAGGTTAATCAACTGGTATTGAATGGCAACAGTAAATTATATGATTTGACTCAAACTTCTAGTTCCTATGTGAGTTATAAATGCAATTCATATATTTTATGCTACAAGAAATATAAGACAACTAGCCTAGTTTAATCTTTCCACAAGAACATCTGCCAGCAAACATTTCAATCAAAATCAGAAACATCTTTTTTTCAAAGTATAAATTTTTGTGTATACAGTATCAAGCTGGGAACCCAAGAGATAAGCATATATTAGGTCACATTTTTCAACAGTAACAAAAAATTTTGAAGATTTGAAATTTTGGCAATGGTATACATGTCCATGTACCCTGCTTTGGTAATTTTAGCAATAAGACAACAAGGCCCATGGAATAGTTATAAAATTACAATAATTTGAAGCCAGAACAAAATACTGACATTGCTCTTAAAGGTTTACTATAGCTAATACAATTTAAGAAATGACTAATTTTTATTATAAGTAATACAGAACTATTAGTATACAGAATTATGACGACAAGCTTTGCTGCATTTACTCCTTACAAGGTACATGAAGACAATGTTCATGTTAACGCTGTTTTTGTCATTTTTATGGGAACTTCAGAAGAGTAGATGAAAAGATCAGGAACAACTAACGTCCACAGGACGCAAAAATTAAAGACTGCGTTAAGGTTACTTTTACTGCAGCATAGTAGCATTGAAACCATATTTTCTTCAAAATTTCAAACTCATCGTTTTTTCCTTCTTGATCTGGGAGCAATGGTCTGAGTGTATTTTTTTTATTAGCTATCATGGTTACTGAAAATTCATAGCATTTCCAGTCTGAAACGCGGGTTTTGATTAGTGCCTTACGGTAATGCCGGGTTGTCGGCAGCGGCAGTAGATACTCTCAATTGCCGGTAATAAAATCCATTGCCGATAATCGCCATGCTGCTGCAACATGATGATTGGCATTGCGATCCATTGTCAAATTTACGAAACAATGTTCGTTTAAGAATATTTTATCAATCATGTATATTTCAATCTCCACATTAGAAGAGCTAATCTGTCAATCAACTGCAAAGGATTCGTAAAAGGCGGGAGGATAAGCAAAACCCCACCCACTTCTGTCAATCATCTCCCATGCCGCGAGATTAACAAATCACGTGACGTGATATTTCGGTGAAGTAAAAACAAAAACAAATAGTTTGATCAATTTTGATCGAATTCACTCTATATTATCATTCAAAGACTTCCTAACAATACACAATCACACACGAGATACACGATGATACAATATATCCACTGTAGTTGATGTGAGCGGGAAATCAAGCTGAGAAATCGGCTTCGTTAAGGATTTTTCGAAATATTTTAGTTTCACTTTCAGGTTTTTCCCCGGGATTTTAGGAACATTATCAGTATCAACGATTATCGGTAACGGTAAGGTAATGGAGGTGAAATTTACCGGCAGTGAGATCCATTACCGTTGCAAGCACTAGTTTTGATTGGTTCAAATCAAATAGAACTGCACAACCAGATTTCTTAAAGATTTAGAAAATATGGCAGTTATATTTACCTATGTGAAAAATCTCTAAATAATGCAATAAAAACTTGCTTATAATATTCCAAATTGACACATTGTCATAGATACTCTGTTGATGGACTACTTGTGAGAAAATATCACAACTTCATGATTTTGAAATTAGGTTCTCACTGCTGTTAACAGATAAGTTATAGTAGGAACATTCACATCAGACTTCAACTAACTGCTACAACAAAATCAATACTGGATAAATAAGTTGATTTCAGAGCCAAGCTATAAAAATTGTTGAAAACATTCCTGACCTCAAGATAATTGTTTACCACTATAATAGTGGTTCATATCTTGGCAGTAAGCCAGTATCAACAACTTTATCTTTAGAAGGCTCACCTGAGATCAACATAAGAAGTGTAGTTAGACTTTCATCCATTTATAAAGGCCCCAGACTATACATAGCTTCATATAAAAACTGCATTGATTAACAGTTTAAAGAAATAAAAGTACAAAACCAAATCAGTTCAAGATGACCACTCAACTGATAGCTACAATTCAAATTTTCTTTAAAAATGCTAAGTGAAAGATATACCGATGTATAACAAAATAGGTGAAAATTTGATAGATTGACCATTTGGTTATTTCTAAAAAAAAATTAATTTAACATTGCTTTCAATGTGAGAATTCTTTTTTACTAAAAATTGCACAATTCAGATTTTCTTCAAAAATTATGATTTTTCTATGGGAATACAAAAGTGTTAACGGTAATAATATGAAAATTCACTGTCGGGATCTTGAAAAAAACAACAACTTTGAATATCATGAGTCATTGGCACAATCACCACCTGCAATTTGTTACAGAAGCTAACCGCCTAACACCAACCACCGAGCACCAACTGCTTAACACCATCTACAAAAATGTTTGAGACTATACCAATGTGTCACCAAGAAAACTGCTCATGAAATGACGAAGTTGTAAATGATAACAATCAAATAAAATCAGATTTTAGAGATAAGTACAGTTAGTACTGTTGTTATCCAGTAACAGGACTTAAGTCCTGTAGTGTTATGCTATGTCCACCAATTGGATTATGATTTGGTACTTTGGGGCATGTTATAACTAACTTTGTTGTAACTGGCACAGACTTTAACTACAAAAAGAGAGTTTGTAGCAATTTAAAAAATAACTGACTCCCAGAGAATGAGACATGGGCACCAAGTGATTAAGTGCGTAGAGAACCCCCATGACTGGGGATTATTTAAATGAAACACCGAATCTAATGCAAGGTATCAGATCCATAGAATAACTTTCCAAAAATAGTCTTATTCCGTAGCTTTTGGTTGTTTTTTACCTCATATATATTTCCTTGTCATGCCGATTTTCTCAAAATCCCAAAACTTCATAACTTATTCAATGAAATATGAGATCAACCAGCCTAATGTGTTATATTTTCTCATTAGAAACTTGTAAATTCTTTGATATAACTTTACAATTAGGGAATTGTTGGGAAATTATATTTGAAATAGTAAAGGAAACATTGGTTTAAAGTTTGGAATACGGATTGCAATTTTGTTATCATGTATACATCTGATTCAAGCTTTCGTATTTTGTCTGAATTGAGACAAAATACAATTCAACTTCAAGTACAGTAAGAAAGTACAGTTAAGTATAACTTCTGCAGATAATAATTTGGGTACTATTTTCACTATTTTCTCCAGTGTTTGAACCCTATTTCTTACAATGCGTTTCATCTACAACTATTGAAACTTCAGTTCATAAATAGAATCATTCTAACAGTTCATTTCACCTAGCTGTTGACCTACCAATTTCAATATATATATTTGATTTAGATGAGGGTTCAAGCTTATCTCAGAAGGTCAGTATTTTATTTTCATTTTTATTCTTAGAACCTTTTGATTTGTTGAAAATGTCCTGCAAAGTGAAATAAGAACTGTAAGGCAGGGATTTGAAAATATTCTGAATACATCCTGATTTACTCACTTCGAGAGCCATGTTAGATTTTGAAACTTATGGCTCTCAAACGGGAAGTGAACAGGTGATTAATAGTGACCTTTGAAATCGAATTAAGTCAATCCGCGGCTTACTTTTGGTCTCTAACTGTGTCTTACATCAGTATCATCAATCCGTGTAAGTATTGGAGCGCTGAAGTACTTCCTTTTCGATCAAGACTTGTAATTGTTAGTCGAGTAAATGTTTTTACTGCCAAATTCCAATATGGCGTTTTCTGCTCGGACATTTTCGTAAATCTCAGGAGGTTGTCCGAACCTAACTAATTCTCAAAATTCATTTCGTTCGTTGTATATCTCGCTCCTAGCAAACCGCCATATTGGAAATAGGTCTAAAAAACATTCACTCGATGAACAATTTACAAGTCTTGATCGAAAAAGAAGTATTTCAGCACTCTAATACTTACACCGATTGATGATATTGATGTAAGACACAGTTAGAGACCAAAAGTAAGCCGCGGATCGACTTAATTCGATATTTCAAAGGTCACAATCATTCAGCTGTCCAAATGCTCCGTGGGAAAGCTATTATATCAAAATCCAAATAGCTTTCGCAGGAAGTAAATCCTGATTTCCTCAGTTCCCTACATTTGAACAATCAATCTGAACTAAAATTTGGAATGCTGCCAATTTATTCTTGGTCTAGAATTAGACCATCAATTTCAAAGAAGTTTCGTATTAGAACAAAAACTTTTGATATTTTTATGAACTTACCATCGGTCTCCGACCTAACCAATAAAGACATTCCTTTGAGTCGCTCTACGTAAGCTGAAGAGACATGACCAGTTCCACGATCATCCCACTGGCGATCTTCATTCAGCATATACAGCTTTACTCTCCTACGTGTACTTGTTGCGTCCGCCATTCTTTAATCCTTTTGTTTATACTTTCATATTAGTTTAAAACTCAGATCTCTCACTTTCATATCTTTTTCTTCCACCTCTTCAGAAACCTGAAAAATTCAAATTTTTGAACAATTGATTGAAAAATTTATGTGACAATTCGTGTCATTTTCGTTGATTTAGAGATATCATTTAGTTTCGAAACATAATTATTTATATGTATAATTTATTCCGATATATGACAGTATCAATTTTATATCAATATATCTATTAATAAAGATGAAATCTTGAAAACTTACCGGATCATAACACTAACTTCTTCCGACTGTGAGTCGCCATCTTGAATTCACAACAACAATATACAGGTTCGACTTTTCTGTTTCACGGAGCCCGCGAATTTCTGATTTCAAAATATAGATGGCATTAAGATCAGTAAGATAGTCGATCAAAATTACATTGAAATCAATAATGACTAATTTGTGCATTGATTAATGACATGATTATAGATATCTATACAAATTAGAAGTTAAAATATATTTAATCTAAATGAATACTGAACTCTTGATATTGAAGCGATTCCTTACTTATTGATCGATCAGTCTAGACTATCAAAGTTGATAGTAACAAAGATGGTGGCAATATTTTTCTTTAAATTTTAGAATGTTAAGTTATTTTAAGTTTGGCTCTGATATAGAGCAGATTGAACGAATTGCTTTGGCGCAGCGATAGACCAATATTTCCAAAATGTCTAAGACTAGTACAAGAAATGGTAAGTGAAGTAGAATATAGAATTGGACGATCACAAGAAATTTGACTTGAAAAACAAGAAGAATTTTTTGGAAAATAGATCTAGATCTATTCTCAGAAAAATATTCTGAAGAATCAGAAATTTGAATTCATGCTTGTAGGCCTCAGTTAACATTTATATTTTAGAATTAGAATTTAAAATCGAGAATTGTAGTGAGAAATATTCTTTGCCGTTATAGGTCAGTGTGGACATATTTTCACAGCCACTCATCATTGTCTGTCTCAATGTCTGTAGGCTTAGAGGCTATTTACAGTACCTTAGAGCCATTAGTAGAGCCCCGGGGGTTCGCTGTTTATGACGAACTTTGATGGCGATCCCCTGTGCATATAGGGTATCTTTTTTAACATTTGCTATTGCAATGGACCCAAGTTTTAGTATGAGAATGCCCTGAAATATTTTACGTACATGTATGGCAATGGTCAGATTATTTCCTCTTTCTGGTTTGAGAATGGTCTGTCTGGGTTCAAATTGATTTTTAAACGAGGCATGAATTTTAAATTAGATAGAGTTACAAAGTCTTACTGAATACAACTCCCCATTATTTTGTTAGGTTTAGACACAACACGTTTTTATTTACAGTTGTATACATGTATATATATTTGTTTTCCTAGGTTCTTAGGAGCAGGCCCATAGCCAGCTTTTACCAAAGGGGGAGCGATTTTACCAAGGGGGAACTTTTGCCAAGACAAGAGCTTTTGAACATTTTGGCTAAAAAAATCAGGCAAAAAGTGCTCAGAATGGTGAAAAACTAAGATTTTGAAAGAATTTCTAGTGTCTGCTCCCCTACTGGCTAGAGGCTTGAAGAGATACAAGGGAGGAATCTCTTAATTTCATCAGAACTTTTAAACGAAAATATTCTTCCATGTCGTTTGTGCCATTTTTTATATCTTCAGGGTCTGCGGGTAAAACAGGACCAAAAGGCCACATGACTCTGAAAAGCAGTCGTAAGTAAAGCTATTTGACCTGCATAAGGACTACAGTGCAATACTGTTCAATTCTCATTTAAACAATTCAGTGTTGAGTTTACTATAGTCCATTTCATATGGGTTACTATTTTTAGTGTATTCTTCAATATATGTTGTACATATTCTATGGTACAGTGGTTTTAGATTTTTACAATGGTTCATGGATTATGGGCTAGAGGGGTTTTAGAGACTGTTTCTTGGTACGTTAGACTACCGTTTATATTTTTCTGATAATACTTTTCATTGTTCCTAGTTCTGTGTGTTTTCCACTTCTTTTCCACTTAGATCCTATCCTAATAAGGATTTTTAAATGCCTTATTTCATTTTCTAGCATTTGCGCCAACTCAGAACAAGCTCCAGAGCCAGTACATGATTCAAGACCACATGAACGCTCATTACAGGATGATAGATAGAGCTAAGCGTAAGTAGGAAATATATTAATCATAATGTGTACATCATGGGTATTCTATTAGAGTTAAAACCCCATAAAATCAATTCATACTTTAATACATGGAATGGATGGATCGGTTGATTGGATAGTATTAATGTGAGAAGATGGTCTGACATTATGTCTGTGTAGCCCATATCATTGTTTTAAGTGCTTTGAGAGCATGTTTTTCAATAATTGTTAGATATGTTTTTTTGTTTTATTTTTATTTATTCCTTACCATGAATTGTAAGCATTTTAAAACTGGTGGTGCTGAAATATATTTTTCATCTGGTTCTTAATAAATGACCAACCTTTATCTTATATTCCAGCTACTGTTGATATGACTCCACCAAAATCATGGGGCATCAGCCAAAAAGGTAAAATGATTTGCAGATTTTATTTATTTCCATTTATTTCATTTAACATTGAAGGTGATATGGAATAGTTTCCCTTGGAGCATATAAGTTCCAAGTTTTAAAAATATAATGTGCCCTGAATGAGGCAGAGTTATGTAAAAAAATTTATATCACCATCAAAAAATGGGGACATATTGTTATAGTCTCCAATATTTTTGTGGTCCGTGTTCACGGTTCGGGGTCAGCATCTGTAACAAATTACAGGTGGTGACATTTTGTATGTTAAATGCTTTGTACAAAAATTATTTTGAGTAAAGTACACCACCATAATTTTTAAAACAAACATCATATGTATGTCAGAAGCTGTAATTCACATCCTTAATAACCCCAATATATTTTGAATTCATGATAATATGGAACTGATCAACTTAGACAATAAACTTATTTTTTTCTGAAAATATCTGACTGCTTGAAAAAATTCTTCATTGAGCAAGTATTATGAGTTCCAAAGGTTATTCAGGATGATAATTATGAGCTATGAGTCCTTTAAGATGATGCACAGATGCAAAGAGGAACTAACAAGCATTCCAATAACAGTCATTTCAACCTGCTTTTATTTAACTATAGGTTATTGATCTTTCTTTTGTCATGACAAATCTCATGAAAATGTCATGAAAAATTTCCCATAATTTTTTGATTATTTTTTCCAGTGCGTGATCAATCCAAGAGAGAAGTTTCAAAATCAGCACCAAAGATGAAAAAGCCGTCCAGCAGAACTAACAGCAGACAATCACTGAGAGACTTTGAAAATGTAAGTGCAAGAGCCGTCTTATATGATTTATTAGTCTTCTGGTTTCCAGCATTGTCTCAATTTACAAGTGAGGTTTGTAGTCTAATCACTTTCGATGATTTTCAGCCATCTATGAAAATTGTCAGATAAAAATCATGGAAACTACTTATCTCTATGTAATATGTGTGATATCTGTTAAAAGTAGAATTGAATAAAAATTAATTAAATAATTAATTTGGATTTCAGGAAATATTTTTTGATGAGCAATTTGAAGATACCGTCCAGGGACAAAATTATGATACATCATATTTCGACCAATACCAGGACAATCCACCAAACGGCACAATGCAAAATACTCAAAATGGAGGCTTTGGAACATACAGGAGCAGAACAGCAGGTTCCGTTCTGTCCCGTCCAACTTCCTCAATAGCACGCAAACAACAAAGCGCAGATATTCTTGATAAAAGAGCCCATAAATTTGTGGAGCCTCAAAAGCCATTTACACCCCGAACATTAAAATCAACACGTGCTTCAAAACTCAGTGGGTTCAAATACTATAACCCCCCAAAGAGGAAAGATAAACAGGGACCTGGCGCTAAAAATAGTCTGGAGCCCAGTAGAGCTGAGACACCACTCACAGAGGAGTATTATCAAGACACTCTTGATGAAACCTTACAGAGTAGGGCTTTTGAGATTCTGAAACAACGCAATGCTAGCCCTGGTGGGGTACCCCCGTTAGATATCTCAATGGATACAGACAATTTGAAGTGGCTCAAAAAACAGGCTTCTCAAGCAGAGGTAAGTAGTTGATCTTTCAAGTGTCTCTGTTACTAAACCATATTTGTGGGATCTGAAGAAATTGAGTAGCATGCACAATGGAAGTACAGTATAGAATTATAGTATTTTAGCAAAAAAACTGAATCATAGTGTCAAAGTTCCATGGATCATTTCCCAGTTTGAAATGGTTCAACTTAAGTTTTGCATTCTTTACATAATACAGACCCGTAGCCAGGGGGTTCGAGTGAAAAATTCTTTCAAAATCATGCAATTTTTCACCATTTTGAGTATTTTTTAAGTGATTTTGGCCATTTTTGGGCCCAAGTTTTCAAAAGTGAGCCCCCCCTGGAATTTTTCAAAAAGTCCCCCCCTGGCAAATCCTGGCTACAGCCTGTAATTTTAATTGTATTTTTTCAGGCCAGGTTGTCTCAGAATGGGACACTAAAGACATCTCAAAGACCTTATAACAATGATCGTCTCACCCCTGACACCTACAATAAAAAACAGCTCAATACAACAGATACATACAATAGAACGCAACTGAACAATACATCTTCCAATAGTTTATATGACACCAGTAGATGGGTAGAAACACATACTCCTAAACCTGATAGGTGAGTAGAAATAGAGACAGGATTGGAAAAATCATTGCAAAAATCCTATGATTGTACAACTCCTTGTGTGCTTTTAATTTCAATTGGAGCTCTTTTGAAGGGAAAATAGCTGTGATTGTTAGCATACAGTAATTATTAACGCATTATAATTCATTTAACAATATGTCACTTTCAAATAACTTGGGCAAAAAAACTTTTCTTGAAATATCGTTCGAAAAGAATGAATTACATATAGGAAGTAGTGTGACAAGTTTGAAATTGAAAATTTTTTGCACTTTTTCAGTTTATACACTTAGTACATACATGTACATGATTTTTTCAAGTTTCTACAATTACAGAAAAGAAACTTTATGTCATTTTAAGGTTATTTAGGGTGAAAATTATAGTTACTAGCCCTTTATTTGTGCTCTAGAACATCAATGAATTCATGATTATCCTCTTTTTACATGTTGCTATTTATTTGAATATTTATTGTGTTGACTCAAACAAAGATGAAATAAAATTGCATCAATGACTTTTCTGGATACATGGTACACATTTCAGTATAAAAACTTATTATGTCACCACCCCAAGTGGAGACATATTTTATGGTCTTGCAGTACACAGCGTTCAGTGGTTGTTGTTTGGTCGTCAGTGTTATCAGTAACAAATGGCAGGTGGTGACATTTTGCATGTTAATGCCTTGTTTATAATTAGTTGTAACACCTTTATGTTGTATGATTGCAGTCGGCCAATGAGTAAATCATCCACTACAATGGAGAGAGTGACAGATGAGTAAGTACTTGTACTCCCCCTCGGTTGTATTTTCAGACTTTCCACAGTCACAGAATGATTCACCATAAAAAAATAATTGAAATGGTCAGGAAATTTTCAAATCTGAGAAATGACTGGGAATTTAAAGGCGTGCAGTGAAATATTGCATTGTTATTTTGGAAACAAACTTTTTTAATTTGTGTTTGTTCATAAGAATGTAATGAAAAAAGCATTCTCAGTTATTAATCGAACTTCTCAATTTTGTCAATTAATCAATCAAGCAATGACCAATTAATCAATCAACCTTCTAACCAATCAACTGTGAATTTTATTTGTTTGAACAATTTTGTCTTGCATTGCATATCTAGACTTTATGGAAGAGAGTTGATTTCTTTCATTTTATCAAAAATAGTTTGTTTGAATATTTGTTCCAAGTAGGCAAAAATGATATGTATTTACTCAATTTTCAAAATGTTTTTAAGTTAATTTTCTGCATTGAAATGAATCTACAGATACTGAGAAAAGCTCAAGACCAGCACATCCAGAATCAAGCTAAAAATAACTTTCACTTGCATACAGTTCAATTTTTGATTGACAGCTCTATTTTTGCACGTTCCATATTTGGGAGTGAAATTGATGTGATGTGTTAAAACTCCAAGGTCAAGCTGATCTGGTCACTCTCTAAGACAATTTGAAAACAGATTTTAGAATGAAATTGATCAATTTCATCTTTATATTAATCAGCTGAAACGCATTTATGGAAAAATCCACCTTTCAAATCGTTCTTGCCTATCTAATATCAGTTTATTGGAGAGGTTTTAATCATGATTATTAACATTTGAAAAGAGGTTTTTGCAGTTTATTATAGAACTATTCTGTCAAAGAATTTCAATAAGGTTCAACAAATTAATGCAGTCTTCACAGGTTCAGGGTTTCACTGTATACTGTCATCCGAATAAAAAGTACCATAATATAAGATGAAAATGACTGGTTCAATTTTTTAGTAAAAAATGGAAACACCTTTTGATTAATAGCTACTTTTTGCATTTTTTCACAGTTTAATTAAGACACACTTAGAAAACAGTCACCTGATATTTTTAGCTCACATGGTGAGCTTTTGCAATCAATCACTTGTCCGTCTGTCTGTCCGTCCGTCCGTCCGTCCGTCTGTCCATCCGTCTGTCCGTCCGTCAACAATAGTGGCACGTTTTAAAACCTCTGTCGATAGGATTCCTGTTTTCAGTTATTTCTGTTCAACATCAATACAGAAAACTCCCCTATGACTCCTGGTTCAAAAGCTCGCCTATTTTCAAAATGGCCGTCACTTTTGTCTCGCGAAATTCACTTTTGACCCATTTGTTTTAAAACCTCTGTCGATAGGATTCCCGTTTTAAGTTATTTCTGTTTAACATCAATACAGAAAACTCCCCAATGACTCCTGGTTCAAAAGCTCGCCTATTTTCAAAATGGCCGTCACTTTTGTCTCGCGAAATTCATTTTTGACCCATTTCCTAGCTTTACAAATAATTTCAGGTATCCTACACTGTAAAAATCCATGTCAATGGAAAGGGTAGATATATGTAATAAAATTGTTACAAAAAATCAGCGAAAAATTATATCCATTTTTTTATTTTCAGCCATTTTAGTTAACATTGATTTGTCTATCTGACTCGCGAAATCCACTTTCCGTTAATAACAGTGGCACGTTTTAAAACCTCTGTCGATAGGATTCCTGTTTTAAGTTATTTCTGTTCAACATCAATACAGAAAACTCCCCTATGACTCCTGGTTCAAAAGCTCGCCTATTTTCAAAATGGCCGCCATTTTTGTCTCGCGAAATTCACTTTTGACCCATTTCCTAGCTTTACAAATAATTTCAAGTGTCCTACATTGTAAAAATCCATGTCAATGTAAAGAGTAGATGTATGAAATAATTTTGTTACGAAAAATCAGCGAAAAATTATATCCATTTTTTTTATTTTCAGCTATTTTAGTTAACATTGATTTGTTCATCTGTCTCGCAAAATCCACTTTTGGACCATTTACCTTAAACCCTCTGTCGATAATATTTCCGTTTTAAGTTAATTTTGTTCAACATCAATACAAAAACTCCCCTATGTTGTTGTTGTTGTTGTATCCTTTATTACCACAAGTGTATATTGTGAGTACATTTACAATTTTTTGTTTTGCATTAACATATTTACATAAAATCACATTTGCATAAGCATATTACGCTTTGCATACATAAGGAATACAGCTTTGGCTTTTAAAATCATTGCTTCATCATTGTCTGATTTGAAAGTTTGAAATATAATATCATCATTACCAATTCTAAATAAATTGAGAAGTGCAACTCTTTCCGCATCTATGGAATTGCAGAAACGTAAAAAGTGATCCAATGTTTCTATTTCGCCAGTATCACATATATTACATTTTCTGTCACCCCATTTTTTATTTCCATTAAGTGTTTGATTCATAAGCAGCTTGACCATTAATTTGCAATATTTTAAATCACTAGGGTATTTGAAACTGAGTGCCCACCATTTAAGTGGCTGGGCAAAGCATTTTACACTTACATACAAATGTGTTGCACTTTTTATAGCACATTTAATCATAAACGTTGCATTTTGGCTTTGACGTAGCCTACCTAAAACTAATTTTCGCCATATTCCCTTTGATGGGTAGACACCCGTGTTTATCATATTAGTTGCAGCATCTAAAAGATTAAATCTGCTTAAAACATTCCACATTGTATTAAGTGGTGACACAGCACCATCGTGACCATTATATTGGAATTCCGTAGCTCGATAAAGAAAGACCTGCTTGTAAATATTTTTTACCGGTAGTGTTATCAACATAAGGAAGAACATTAATTTATCTAAGGCGATTTTGTACTCGATGTCCATCCAGCCCAGTGGATGACTCTTGGTTCAAAAGCTCGCCTATTTTCAAAATGGTCGCCATCCTTGTTCCGCGAAATTCACTTTTTGCCCATTTCCTAGCTTTACAAATAATTCCAGCTGTCCTGCATTGTAAAAAGCCGTGTCACTGTAAAGAGTAGTTGTATGAAATAATTTTGTTACAAAAAATCGGCAAAATATTATATCTGTTTTTTTATTTTCAGCCATTTTAGTTAACATTGATTTGTCCATCTGTCTCGCGAAATCCTCTTTTGAACCATTTGCTTAAAACCTCTGTAGATAGGATTCCAGTTTCACATTATTTTTGTTCAACATCAATACAAAAAAACTCCCCTATGACTCCTGGTTCAAAAGCTTGCCTGATTTAAAAATGGTCGCCATTTTTGTCTCGCGAAATTCAATTTTGGCCTATTTCCTAGCTTTACAAATAATTTCAGGTGTCTTGCATTGCAAAAAGCCATGTCACTGTAAAGAGTAGTTGTATGAAATAATTTTGTTCCAAATAATTGGCAAAAAATTATATCCGTTTTTTTCTAAGCCATTTTACTTAACATCGATTTGTCCATCTGTCTCTCAGTCAGTCCATAATAGTGGCAAGTGGCTTGAAATAATTTTGTTACAAAAAATCAGCAAAAAATTATATCCAGTTTTTTCTGTCACCATGTGAGCCCAGTACCCACGGTACTAATTTTTTATTAAAATATGTGTGTGTTAATAAAAACAAGTATTGGCCAACATTTTAGAATGATGGTTAAAGTGTTTGTCTTTCAGGGAGGAGGAGATGAGGTATCTTGAGTTTGTATCAGATGTGACCAATGATATACTTGCTAGAGGCATCTTTACAAACAGGTAAACTTATACACTCAGATTTAACATTGTAACTAAATAGGAGAATATTTGGTAGGCATATTGGGTAGCGTTTAATTGATTTACAGCTATTGGCTTGTAATGGCATACAGAAATTAGCACCCATTCTCTGATAAGTGACAATAGGCTTTTGCTCTAAGATTGGTCAAAATTAAAAAATCCTTAAAACAAATAGGATTGACTAGGGAGCTTTTTCAAGCCCCACTGAACAATAAATTTGTAAGGCCACGCTGTAGTACTGTACACTATCTCACAATACGGGATCCCTGGTGCGAGTCTTGGCCTTTTGAATTCAGTCTCTCTGAACTTATAACATTTACATCATAAAATGATTATAGGCATTTTCAGGCATATTGAGGCATAAAATGACAATATTGATTGTTGCCATTGTTTTCTTTTTATTGATGAATTCCATATTTTTCAAACTTGGTAACTATGATGATTGATTTAATATTATTTGTTTGTCTTTTCCAGAGTATTATTACAAGTATTTGAAAAACATGTGCAACAACGAAAAGGAGAGCTGAAAATTGTAAGTACTTTTTTATGAATAAATTCCTCATTAAAACAATCCATTTTGTATTATGTGTATTTTCGTGAATTAATATTATGGGACTTCTCCAATTTTTAAGCTACAAACTTGCATGATAAATTCTTTAGAATTATGTGATGATTTTTAAATTAAAACTGATTGTAAACATTGTTCAGATACATGACCATGATCACCCAATCTTAGGGACCGGGTTAGTATTACATTAACCTCCATTGCTTGATTTACCGCAAAAATTGACTTTTGCATGTTGATAACATTATGCCTTTTTGAGTAGATCTCACAACTCAGCACATCGGTTCAAAAAATCAAAAAAAGGACCTAACAGATTTTACCACACTGTGGACCTTTATTCATTCGATGATTTATTTGTAAACTTTTTCATGAAAAAATAAATCTTGCAGATTTTTTTGAATTTCTTGCAGAAATCGCTTCCTTCCCACTCCAGTCAGATTTAAAGCCATGATATCAGCCTAAAACCAATGGAAAATTGTCCCCTAAAATTAAACAATAATTTACATTGTCCCTTGATTAAAGATGCTTAATTCACATAGACCACCATCCTATAATATTGTCCTGTTGTTTTTCAGAGTCGAATGAGAACTCTTCTCAACCAACTCCGGGAAGATCTTGGAATCATTGAAGCACCAACCAACGACCCAGAGGATGTCGGCATGGCAACCCAGCGTGATTCAAGCAACTACAACAATGTCTCATATCGACCTAAATCTGATGACAACAAACCTACATACGGCCATAAATCGAAAAGTAGAAAATCTAATGCTTATGATGACCTTGACACTGACAGCATGAATAAGAGTAACAATAATATAGAAGCAAAGGTTTACAATGGAGTCCCAGAGCACCAAGTTAAAGATGTGTTCAACATGCGTACACTTGATCCCGTAGAAGAACATAGTGACATCATCAGTGAGAGCATCCATTCTGAAGTGAAATCAAACTTCAGTAAACCGAAAAGTATTCTTGAGCAGAAAGATTATCTCTTAAATGATTTCGACCAATCAATGAATGGCTCGATTGTGAGTAATGGATCGTCAACAATGAAGCCTAAACCTACCCCAAGAAAACGTGCGAGTAAAGATGCAACTTTGATAGACAGTCCAAGATCTAATGTGGATACTTCAATGAAGATATCAGATTTAGATGGCTTTGAAACAAAATCAACTAAATCAGACAAAACTATCAAATCGTCAAAATCAGTGAAATCAATCCAATCGCAAAAGAGTTCCAAACAACATGAGGAAATTGACGAACTAGGCCATAATATGACTTACATCTCCCTTGATGACGAGGCAGATAATATTGAAACACAGAGCCACAAATCTGGGAAATCAAACGCATCTAAAAAGAAAAGTGTAAAACAAGGATTTGATCCTTCATCAGATAATGAGTTTAGTGAAGTAGATTTTGAGCCAGAGAGTGTTAACGATGATACAAACTTACCTGGCCTGGATGACTTTTAGATCTCAATTATTTGTTAAGCTATTCAAAAGAACAGGTTGCTTTAGGGGACCTGCCAGTCACCCCGAAATTACTAGGATTTGTGTATTGAAATGTAATCTTCAAAAAGGTGTTGTTGCCTGTATCAAAAATCAAATGGCATGGCAAGGACAGCTGCTACAAAATTGCCTTTCAAAATCCAAACCTTTGTGTTTTATGAGTTACAGGCACACATGTATAATAGTCATCTAAAGCAACCAGTCCTATATTGAATACTAACAAACTTTGCCTGCTGTTAAACTCCAATATTTGAATGTTCAGATTAGATGTCCAATTTCTTGATTCAGCTTGTGATTTGTTATATGTGATTAATATATTCAGATTTTGAATTTTTTAGAATATTTTTTAGGGTGGGTTTATTTTATCCTATACATACCCATGATAACGAAGATTTTTGATTTAGAGGAATTCAAAACAAAACTTTCCATAGTTTGATTAGTTTTTTTTAGAAACATTGTTTTCCCATTTTTTGACAATTTAAAAATGAGGCTAGTTTTATGTCCAAAAATGGAAAAAGATTACATGTGGGGGCCCATCTTAGCCCCACCTCTTCTGGATCTGCCAACAAAATGTGATAAAGTTCTATATATAATATCTTCATATCTTATAAACTGCTCAGAATCATACCAATTATACAGCTGCTCCAAGTCATCTATGCAAAGAGTATTAACAGTTAATCCCAGCACTGAATATTTAATCAAAAATGAATTGTTCTCAATGTGGGGAAAACACTAATAGAATACTATTATAGTACATGTAGTCCCACTGATTTTTAAAATGTTTGATTGATTCACACTACCAACCAAAGTATGAGATGTTAATATTTCATGAATTTTCAATTAGTCAGTATACAATCAGTCATGGATTTCATTTGGGATTATGTCACTTAAGTTATTTTCATCAAGGGTACAGGAATATTATTCAAGAGTATTAAATTAATCTCATGCCTTTATAGAACTCCTTCCAAATAGTGTATTTTATAATATGCAATGTATTTACAAATGATGTGATATTTTTAAAGAGCATACCTACATATTGTGATATAAATTCATGAATTGTCTATATTAATGGCAAAGTGGGCTAAATGCCCAACTGGAGTCTGTGAGGAGCATGCTTACAAAGTGGCCGTAGCATGTTTACAAAGTGGCTGTAGCATGTTTACAAAGTGGCTGTAGCCCTAGCATGTTTACAAAGTGGCCGTAGCATGTTTACAAAGTGGCTGTAGCCCTAGCATGCTTACAAAGTGGCCGTAGCATGTTTACAAAGTGGCCGTAGCATGTTTACAAAGTGGCCATAGCATGCTTACAATGTGCCCGTGTGATGAATGTATTTACTTAATTTTTGACAAATTTATTCAGTTCAAATAAATGGCATTACTATGTATGTAATACATATGCTTATAATATTTATATATAATACTCAGCATCTATAGCATGCTTGCTCAGCAGAAAATGTAAATGGTACATGGTACTTTGATGCACTATCACTAGGTCTAAGCCAAGGCTCTATTTATATGCCAGTGAGGGCATCATGATAATAGGCAACTTATTCATGACATATACAGTCATTATATGTATCTAAAAGAGGATTTATTGCAGAATTAGTTCAATCAATAAAATTACTTTTAGTTTGACACCACCCAATCATAAATGGGTTTCTGTTTCAATATTGGTATATGTCTATGAATACAGCATTTGACATAATAGAAATATATATTCAAAGTTTATTTTATTGCATGATAAGTTATATGAAATAAATTAATTAAAAACAGATTTACATCATATGATGTTTATTCTGATATTGCCATATTCTTTATATACAATGCAAGGATACAAGCATAGGGTTTTAAATGTTCATATTGTGGTAATAGTACATGTGTATTGCAAAAGATGTCACTGCAAATGTCTTGGGAACGAGACAATCTAACATTAAGTGCTTGGTGACGTGGCCATTTCTTACACCCATTAGATAACATGAACAAATAATTTTACTTCAAAAAGGAAAACATTATAATATCAAGATTTTGGAACATACTTTTTAAGATTTCTCTGTATTTTATAACATCATAATAACAGAGCTATTGGAAATAGCAAGTCAAAACGAAAGTGCAGCATTTCTTTTCATATTGATCTTACATGACTCATAAAGCTATACGTGATCATTGCCAGGTTCAGGGCCTTTCCTTAGGTAGTAGAATAGGTGTTTGCATTACATTGGTTGCATCTGTGCACAGTGCACGTGACTAGAGGACAACGGCTAAGAAAATATTTTGGAGGCGATTTGGTGAAATATTTGTGTGGAATTGATCATGAAAAACTGAATAATAGTAATAAATTTGCTATTATTTTTTTCTCATTAAAATAGTGGAAAGTTTTTCTTGATCAAATCCTTGGATTATTGGAATTTCAAACCAAGTATATTTGTCGAGATAACGTTAAATCAAAAGCCAAAAATAGTGGACATTTCTAAGAACTGAAGGGTTAAAATAAAATAAAAAAAACAGGAAGGATCATGGAAGGCTCTAATCCTTTTCATGGTAAGAAACCTATTTTTTAATAATTAATATAACATAGCATTTTAAGAGCCAGATGATATTGGAATATTGAGTTCTTTGACTTTTCTTAAATTTACATCTTGTATATGATTTTTCTTTGGAGGTAAGCAGGCAATGTTTTATTTTTCAATTCATATATTTATATAAGCTTGAAGTATTTTTATCCCACTTTTTGCACTAGCCCATATTGCTATTTTGTGCTGATGAGCACTAGTGCATGAAAATGCTCCAGAAATATTCACCTAGTCTTGGGTATGCTGGTTACCGAAACTGTCGGAACCGCAAAGGTACGATTTTTCTTTTTTCCTTATTTCAGGAGTTGTAGGCAGAATTCCCAAAACATTTTTATTACAAACAGATGTCAGTACCATATGTTCCATAAAATCTACATGTTTGCGGACATATAGTTCAGAAGACAACAGAATCGTCGATTTAATACCTCACTTTTGTTACGTAAATGGAACAGATTAGAAGAGCAGATTTTAATCGTTCTTTGAAGTTCTGTTTACGTTACAAAAGTGAGGAATTTAATCGACATCTGTCGTCTGAACTATAAACTATAAACATATGATACTCATACATGTTTGTGAGAAAGATGTTGTGGTACAAGGCCTGAAATAAGAAATAAGCAAAATTGTACCTTTGAGGTTCCGACATTTTGTTATCGAAATGAACCGTTTCGTTAGCCAGCGTCATTGAATATAACCAGTTTTAGACACTACAAGCAGGCCCATAGCCAGTTTTTTACCGAGAAGGAGGAAGGAGGAAAAATTACATGGGGAATGGTTCCAATTTGACAATTTTTGGCCCAAAATCAATTGAAAGTGTTCAACATGGTGAAAAACTGTATGATTTTGAAATAGTTTTTGGCCAGGGGGATTTGTTTGAACCCCCTAAGGGATTTGTTTGAACCCCCTAAACCCTCTGGCTATGGGCTTAACATGTGTATTTCATAATTTACTTGTAGCTAGTCATACACTGGCAAAAGGTGGCTCTTTGCTTAACTCAGACTTGCCAACCTCCCGTTTTTTCATGGGAATCGCCCATAAATTTTTTGTTTATCCGTAAAAAATACCAAACTCCCGTACTGTTTTCTCCAGTAAGAACTCCCGTAAACTCCCGTACCGTATTTCTACTAAAATCTCCCATAATTAATTTTAAAAATATCGCCATAAAATCTCCCGTATTTTTGCTGAAATCTCCCATATTCTGGTATAACTCCCGTAAAATCTCCCGTATTCTTGGTATATCTCCTGTAAAATCTCTGTTTTTTGCTGTCGAAATCTACCGTATTTAAAAGGAATTTGACAAATTTGTGACCTTGATTATTGCAGGCACGCTTCTTTCTTTTACTCTAAGAAAGATTGGCTCCCATGGTTCACTATCGATACTTTCATAAATAACTTAAAAAGTACTTCATTCCCATGATTCAAATTGCTTTTCTGTGATCAGTTTGGTATAAGTTTGCACACCAAATGTCCACAAACGGGGGCCAGTTCATATTCTGTCATACTTCTGTCAGGAGAATACATTTTGTTTTTATATGGCGCTAAACAAAATATTCCCGCAATATAAGGCGCATTATGGGTAGGGACTGCTGTGAAATAATGAACATAAGTGACATCTATCTTAGATTATAAGTTCTAATTAATTTATTAACTGCGCATGCGTCATAATTATTTCAACCAATTAAATCGCTGGATTTAATGCTCATGCGCGAAAAACCGAACCTAAAAATGGAACCTCACGCAGATTGCCCTTAGCATGAAGTGAAAGCCACATATACATTTTACTTAGCTTTGATCAATTCGCAATTTTCATAAATCTACGGTAAAAACTCCCGTTTTTTTCAAAATCTGCCGTAAAAACTCCGGTTTTTTCAGAAATCTACAATAAATACTCACATTTTTTTCAAAATCTACCGTAAAAACACCCGTTTTTTCAGAAACCTACCATAAGAACTCCTGTTTTTTCCGAAATCTACCGTAAAAACTCCCGTTCTTTCAAAAGCTACCGTAAAAACTCCCGTTTGTTCAAAATCTAAAGTAAAAACTCCCGTTTTTTTCAGAAATCTACCGTAAAAACTCCAGTTTTTTCAGAAATCTACCGTAAAAACTCCCGTTTTTCAGAAATATACCGTTAAAACTCCCGTTTTTCAGAAATCTACCGTAAAACTCCCGTTATTTCAGATATCTACCGTAAAAACTCCCGTTTTTCAGAAATCCACCGTAAAAACTCCTGTTTTTTCTAAAAATCGACCGCAATAACTCCCATTTTTTCAAAACCTACTGTAAAAACTCCTGTTTTTTCAGAACCTACCGCAAAAACTCCCATTTTTTCTGAAATCTTCCGTAAAAAAAGTCACGTTTTTTAAAATTGAAGTGAAAAATACCGTTTTTAAAAAATCTCCCGTAAAAGCTCTCGTTTTTTTTTCAAAATTGATCGCAAAAACTCCAGTTTTTTTTAAATCTCCCGTAAAAACTACTGTTTTTTTTCAAAAATCTCCCGTAAAAACTCCCGCTTTTTTTCAAAAAACTCCCGTAAAAACTACAGTTTTTTTCAAAAATCTCCCATAAAAACTCCCGCTTTTTTTCAAAAAACTCCAGCAAAAACTACCGGATTTTGAAAAAAACTCCCGTAAAAGTACCGCAACTTTTTTTTAAATCTCCCGAAAATTTTTCATTTTAGGTTGGCAAGTCTGGCTTAACTTGTTATTATACATACAGGGTATCTACTTTAACAGAGTTTGTATTGTAATTGTAGAGTGACTTTATGAACACCCTGTCCATTTAACCATTGATGGTACAATTCATTAAATTCATCCAGAACATCTACAGGTTGGGCCAATAAAAGTGTCCACATTTTTTATTTCTATACAACTTTTTTGAAAATGTGATATCACAAAGTTATATTATGCTTACACTAGTTTTTTTTATCATAAGTGGCCATCTTGAAAATTTCTTCTTCATTGTACTTAGGTAGCAGCATATAAACTTTGAACCAAATATTTCAACTAGTATAATCACATTTTTAACGACAAATGACAGCCATTTTGATAAATAGTAGTCATCTTTAAAATGACTTCTTGAGCAGACAAATCTTGAAAATGTCTTCTTTAGCAGTTCCTTTGTCCCTTAGCATCAACATATAAAATCTGAACCAAATCCATCAATTGGGATTTGAGTTATCAAAGACACAGATAATGGCCAGATTGTTTTGTAGTAGGATCATAGGCTCAAAGAATAATTCAGAAGATGCGTCACTAAATTGGAAAATTCCCAAAAAAAGTGACCACCTTTCAAAACGTTCCTTATACAAAATGGTACCTGCTTCCTCACGGTGCCCATGTCAAGCTGCGCGCCTACTTAGGCGCGCAGTTTGTTTCGATCACAAACTGCGTGCCTAAGAACATTGGATCATTTAAGTTGGAGTCTGTATTTTGAAACGTTATTTAAAGACATTTATCCTGCATTGTTTTCTTGTTCAATGCGTTCATTCTGTGGCGAATATACGAATCTTGCAAATACTCGCAAAAACTGTGTGCAAGTGAATCTTAGTTTTAAAACATAAGCAGATTAATGGCATTTTCGTCACTGATTTAATGGGAATTTATACGTAAATCGATCTAGCACTTTAAACATAAATGACAAATACTTTAGACTCGTTTTATATTTAATTCCTTACACATTTATCATGTATAATCCAAAATATTTCGAGATAAAACAGATAATCAGGAGATTAAAAAGAAATAAACCACAAACTGCGCGCCTATTTTAGCCAGAAATTACAATCTGTGCGCATACACTATTAAAACTACATATTATCATTGGAATTTCTACAGAGGCGCGTATAGGTGTTTTCGATGTAGCTTTGGAAATTTTGCTTTATCGTCAGATTTTATGAGATTTTCGTATTGAAAGTCAAAATGTATAATAGAAGTGACAATTAAGTTGGGAACTAAAAAAACTTTTATTTTCAGATCACCATCTTGGTGGATGGACTCTCATAGTGTTTCAATTATGGGGTTCTACTATTAGACACATATGTGCCTTGTATAGCGCTTATGTTTTCTAATAATACAAAACAAGCTTGGATAGGCAAGCAGTTTGGAAATATTAGGCACGCAGTTTGGGAAATACATGTGAATATAGGCGGGCAGTTTGACAAGAAAAATGTTTAAATCACGTTTATGGCGTATTATCGTTTTGAACACAAACTTTGCTGTTTTAATCAGATTGAGTGATCCTATATATTCTAGCATACACAGACACAATGGCTGAATAAACGGCAAATGACGATAAAAAGACATAGATATAACTTTACACTGTAAATTTTGAACACAGAAGTTACTTAAGACCCTTATATTGAGATAACTAGGTTTACATCGGGAAAAACATTGAGTACTATGAGTAAATTAAGTTCATGTTCACAGAATGGTACCATCTTTAGAACGAGACTAACCTTGTACTTTTCGTATTTTGGCTCTTTTTGGGAGTCGTGTCCTCTCCGTCTCACATTTTGAAATATGCGCGCAGTTTGGCAGAGTTTCAAACTGCGTGCCTAGTAGGCACGCTGCTTGACATGGGCATCGTGTTCCTGTGAACACTGATTTTGCACTTATTTTATAGCTGAGATCTTCATCTTTCTATTTCTATTTGTTTGGTTCGAGTAAATAACCTATAGATGCAGTTATTTGACTTTTAATACGGCAAATATTTTTCACTATATCCGGGCTCTTGTGTGTCCAAATATATTTGTACTGATGACGTCACATTTCTTGAACCACGGGAGCACCATTCAGATTTGGACAGACAAGAGCCCAGCGATAAAATATCATTGTTTAGGCCTTATTGCTTGAATAACATTCATTAGTGATCAAAAAGTTAAAGAATAACAAGACGCTTCAAATGGGGTATGATTTGTCTCATATTTTTCGGAAATGGCTGCAAAATCGTCATTTCAAAATTTCAAATTTTTTTAGGGTCTCATCTGGAGGAATATTAATAGAGCTACTGATTCTACTACAAAAGAATCTGGCCGGGATCTATGATCAAAGATTACGTTTTTAAGGAAAATGGTGGCCATTTTGAAATTTGGTCACCATCTGGAAAATTCTACTTTGTCCTTAGGAATCAGCCTGTAGAATTTTAATTTTAACCAAATCCATTCACTGGTATTTCAGTTATCAAAGATTAAGTTTTTTTACGAAAAATGGAGACCATTTCAAATTTCAGTGGCCATTTCAAAAATCTCTTTTTGAGCAGAGCTCCTTTGTCCAAGGGCATCAGCATATAAAATCTGAACGAAATCCATCCACCAGTATTTGAGTAATTAAAGATTAAATTTTTTACAAAAAATGGCGGCCATTTTGAATTGAGTGTTCATATTGAAAATACCTTCTCAAACAGAGGTCCTACACCCATTTAGCATAAGCCTATGCAATTTGAATAAAATAATGTCAACCGGTTTTTGAGTTATCACCCGGACAGACGAACTAACAGATGGACTGACAGATAGACAGCTTTCCTATTTCCTCACAAACTTCGTTCGGTGGGATAATGAATGCTTTTTTATTTGTCTTTATGTCATCATCAAAATATGTTAATAACAATTATTACACTTTGTTAGATTGTGAAATGTTGCTCATAGCAATGCCTTGTTAGAGATTTCACAAATTGCGTCAGGGCCACCATTTGTTTCAGATACTGATGACCGAAGAACAATCATAGATAGTACAATGTTCTCACTACCTATCTCTCAAAACCTGCAAAGAAAATATTGGGAATTAGAGAACCTTAATTCTAAATTGGAAATTAACTCTCAAGAACAACGAGGGCTGCAAGATGAATTACAGAGGCAATGGTGCCCTCAAGATGAATTACAGAGGCAATGGTGGTTACCGTACTTGCAATCATACTTGCAATCGCAATCACAGCTGAAGCAATCAAGACATCAAGGAGAAAGTACTTCCACCATTCATAATTCCCCTGCCACATTAACATGATTCTGAAAATATTCATAAATAAACATCTTTTCTAACAAGTACAGTGTACTACATCACCATTTCCCCCTAAAAATGTTAGCATCTTCAAAATATTTACCAATGATATCAAAATGGTCATCTCAAATTAGAACTGTATTCACATTTTTTAAAATTCTATTTATATTAACTTTGATAAATCACATTGTAACAATTTAGATTTGAGACATTTGTCTCTAAATTCAGGTAATTTTTTTCATTCTTATATCACCTGAATTGATGCTATTCTGAACTAAATGAGACCTATTTTTGGAGTGACATCTATCAATCTATTATATAAATAATATGGACAGGTGAGGCTCACTTAATAAACTAATACATGTGGTATCAAGTGAGTCAAAATACATAAGTGCCAGAGGGTAGAAACCAGTTTCACCACCAGGTGGCTTTCAGGCCTTTTTGAGTTTTATCATTTTTTCATTATTTGAAATATGTTCAGTAATTAAAATATCAGATAATTTTGAGTGATACCATTCTTATCGATGAGTTGATATCAAATATCAAAACAAGTTTATCCAATGATTACAATAAAAAATTCAAAATTCAAAAGATTGGTGGCAATATGGTGAACTACATTCAACACTGTTTTTCTCTTTAACCAATAACCAAGATGCTAGTAGATGGTTACCAGTTTCACCACCAAGTGGCTAATTTGGGTCAGATAACATAGCAGGCATATAGAAAATTCCCTTAACTTGAATATTCATCTGTTTTAGTTGTTCAAGTTTCATATTACCCTTGTGTATCTGATAGTTATGCAAATTAAAACAATGCATTAACATGACAAAATGTCACCACCTAGTTGCTCACGATATCATGAGTTCAATCTTAAGTCAGATTTGAACTTCTGAAACTTTCAGACGATTTTGTAAAAATTGGTTATCTTAGGCAAGTTAAAAAATATCTTTTTAAACAATATCTCACCACTTTTGGGGGTTAAATAATATGGCCAGTAATAGAAAATATTGTCAGTCTAATACAAGAAGAGATATTTCACTTGTTGTGATTTTGTAACATGGGGTCTATGGGGAATTTCCCGGACCAAGTCACATTTTCAAAGAAAATTCAATTTTAAAGTTGATAAAAGCTTTTTAAAACAACATTGCACCTTACATGTAGTTTTCAAATATGATGTCACTTCAACTTCATTTGCAATATTTAATGATGTAAAGCCAGATTATTCAGATTATTTATACTCCCATCTGGTCGATTCCATCGAGTAACATAAGATTGTTTAAATCATGGGTTTTCGGTGATCTCTTGGAACCCTGATTACTTGCAATGTGATTTGGATTTCAAGAGGTGAGGTTCCCCAATCAAATGTTATTATTTCAGAGCTGAAAGTCAAAGTCCGTGACCTTGAACAGGAAATAAAAACAACATTGACCGTTTTCTTGGACTCTGATGTCCCCCGTGGTAATTGGAGGGAAATAGCAGCACAACATGATTTGAACTCTGATGAAATAGCACACATAGCTACTGGATATCCCGGGAAATATAGCTTTTTCCAGACACTACTAGACCACCAAAACTTACAAAATTATACAGTTGGAGAATTGATAAATGACTTGATAGTGATCAATAGACCAGATGTTATAAACATGCTCACGAATCACCTCAATAATGGTTCAAGTATGTGGAATCTCAGAGGCCAATCCAATCGCATAGGCCAATCCAATCGCATAGGCCAATCCAAGCATAGGAATAACTTTGTACCCTACAGTCGTTATCCAGTGCCCCATTGATACTCAGCTGTACATCCAAAAGTCAGCTAAAGAGACAAACAGTTGGCTAGTGTATAGTTCAATTGGCATTGCTTGGCCAAAAACTCCATGATCATCCAAACATTTTGTAAAATGTGCCTGAATATCTTCATTTAAATATTCCAGATGGACAGATAGAAGAATTTAAAAGTGAAACAATGGATACTATTCGAGTGGTCGACCTTCCTGCTGCAACTAAAGATGAACTCAGCGTTTTGCTAGACTCTTATAGAGCAATGCTTCCGAACTGGGAACGTATCGCTGAACGTCGAGGTTTGAACTATGATGATGTTACACATATCAAAACTGGATATCCGGGCACATATAGCTTTTTCAAACGTCTCTTGGATCACCCCAAAGTACAAGGTTATACAGTTGATGAACTTGGGGCTGATTTACAAGCAATCAAGCGTCAGGATGCCCTAGATGTCCTGTATAGTAATCCTGGAGGTCTCCAATGATATATCTTAGGAGACAATGTGTTGGAATGAACCTGTGTGAACTAGGCCAATAAATACTGTACAATTGGTAGTTATCAACAATTATGAAGTGTGCAATAAGAGGGGGAATAACCCCAGGGCTCAAAAAGACATATGTCTATAATGTAAATATATACTGAGAAGACATCAACACTGAATGCTCAAATCAACAGACAAATGCATTCATTCAGTGGTGGTCTCAAAATTTCTAAACATGCTTCAAATAATATTGATTTAATAATGATAATTTCTGGCATGTTAATTAATATTAGACCTATAGCTTATTATTTTACATCAAGATAAATATGTATCAAAATATGCTAACATGGATCAAAACATATAGTATCCATAAACTAGCTGGTGACAAATGAAGCTGGTAAGCAAGACACGTAATTATGTCTGTCATCTCTATAGCTTTGGGATTTTCCTCCTCTTGTCTCCAATGTATGACTTAACACATCATCTATTAGACTTGAATGCTCATATGATGAAGCACAATACTGCTTTCAGTATCCCCATTTTGTGAGCTAAACCTTCTTGGCAGTTATCATGGGGGTTTGGAGCAAGAAAAAATTCACTTAGGTGATAATGAAAACCATTACATAACCATATATGTAACTGCATTTATCTCATACTTAGAAATGTTTGTCCTCAATTAATTTTTAAATGCTGTGTTAAGTGCAGGCACATATAATTGCCCACCACAGGAAAATTTTGAATTTGTAAGAAAAATGAAAAGGACGAGAATCTATAGACACCCAATAGAATACATGGGAATTTTTAGTAAAAACAAAATTCTTCTAATGATGTTAAAAAACAGTATTACATACTTAGCGAAGCATTTGTATGGAAGTCAATGGACCTGAAGGTCGGCTATATATTCGTGTATAGCCGCCAAACTTTTTTACCATGACAATTTAATGACGTCATCACATGTAAACAAAGTGATTTCAACTGGAATCGTGTAAAATTTTGGTCTTTTTTCACACATTTCTACATATTACATCTTCATGAAATGTTACGTAAATGTACTTTAGGTATGTAATACAACAATTATGTCCGTTATCATTGAATATATGCCTTCGGTACGTCATCAATATAACCCTCGCAAGCTCGGGCAAACTCCAGCTATATTGACGTCAGACCTAAGGCATATATTCAACTAGATAATGGCAACTCCGCGGAGTAGCAAATCCCAACGAACAAAATATCAATTACCGAATTCCAATCAATTATACTCATTACTTTGGTTAAAATTGAAAAATTTAGATTTTAGAATTGCGAATTCCTGCAAAGCAGCAATTTTGAATTTTCTGAGGTACAAATCTGAAAAATAATACAGTGTATTGTGATCTACTCCAAAATTCCTTCAATTTGAGTATTATATAGCCATACGTTGAAGGGATCGAAAAATTATTGCGAAATCGTACATTAGACGGCCATTTTGAATTTTACGAGGCTCGAATCAGAAAAAAGATACAATATTTGCAATCTACTCTTAATTGCATTTCATTTGAGTATAATAAAGCTATACTTCAGAAAGATCTAAAAATTAGCGAAAATTTCTGTTTTCCTGATACACGGGCCCCTGGGGGTCAGGATGAAAAACATGGCATATATGTGAAATAGATAGATGTTGCGAATACACTACCAAAATTTCAAACAATAATATTAATTACTTTGGTTTAGAATGAAAAATTTACGATTTTTGCAAAAAAGTCACGTCATTTTTAAAGCGGCGGCTATCTTGAAAAAATCCATTTTGAATTTTCTGAAGTACAAATCTGAAAAATAATACCATAATTGTGATCTACTCCAAAATTTCTTCAATTTGAGTATTATATAGCCATACAGGTACTTTGAAGGGATCGAAAAATTATTGCGAAATCGTACATTAGACGGCCATTTTGAATTTTACGAGGCTCGAATCAGAAAAAAGATACAATATTTGCAATCTACTCTTAATTGCCTTTCATTTGAGTATAATAAAGCTATACTTCAGAAAGATCTAAAAATTAGCGAAAATTTATGTTTTCCTGACCCCCCATACACGGCCCCTGGGGGTCAGGATGAAAAACACGGAATATATGTGAAAAAGATAGATGTTGCGAATATACTACCAAAATTTCAAACAATAATATTAATTACTTTGGTTTAGAATGAAAAATTTATGATTTTTACGAAAAAGTCCCGTCATTTTTAAAGTGGCGGCTATCTTGAAAATTTTTTATTCATCAATATACATCTTTCCACCAAATATGAAGAAAATCCGTCAACTAATATTTGAGTTATCTTCCGGACGGATAATGATAGGGACATAATGGCTAAATAAATACTAAGCCTACATGTTAAATTCTCAAAGTGTATATAAAGTATTCTTGAAAAATTTGTACATGTGCATTAAAGATATGACACTCACTGCAAGTTGGTTTCTATGGAATAAACAGTGTGTCCATAAAGTGGCTACACTTTACACAGATTTTGTATTGTAATTATAGAGACTTTACGGACACCCTGCTTATTTTTTCTCTTTCACCCTTAGTCCATTCAATACATAGACAAATATATTTAAAATGTGTATCTCAGTTATCAATTTCCTTCTCTAAGTCTGGTTAAAGAGACTAGAAGGGATAAATTACAATGTTTCCTGCTTTCATCATTCCATGTCATGCCTATTTTCTAAAAGGCCAACACTTCTGACTTAATAAGAACAATAACATCTTGTTTGATCAGATATTTGAATGAACTTTATTTCTGAGAAATGGCATGATATTTGAAGATTTCTTCCAACAACTGATACTCTCTTCACTTCTAATTTCTTTCTTCAAATGTCTACATACCCAGGCCTTTGAATCTTTAAAATGAAACTATGAAGAAACTACAGGGTGAGACAAAAAAGCAATGTTCAATTGTCAACTTTGTCTTTAATTATGGAATTTTCATGAATTTTTCTTTAGAGATGTTCAATGTGGGAAACAATAGTGTACTAGCATCAATGGATTTGGGATTTATAGAAACCATATTTGCTGTCAAAGCAAGCTCACAAAAATGGAAATGAAGAAATCTGTCTTTACCAAATAAACAAGTCCATTTATCAAGTTATTTCATAGAAGTGGGTAGATGAGATATTATTTTTAGTTTTTGAGGAGATGGCTTCTATGGAACAAATACTATAATCTTAATTCCAAGTCACTGATGTAATAAAAGTAAACTACTGTTTCCTGCATTGACCAATCTATATACACAAGAAAATTTCATTATATAAAAGTTATTCCATTATTCAAGGATTCAACCTGTATCAGAAAATGTCAGCTCTTGTAAATAAAACATCCTATATAGGATACTTTCTATTTATCTCATGATTTACAGTCTACCATTTAGGTGTTATATTAGCTTAGAATTATAATTTAGATATGTATAACTATAAAGGCTTGTATTGAAATAAAATGCTTTTTATGCTGATACTTATGTACAGAAAACAAGATTTTGGTACAAGTGTTTGTGTACTTAATGGTGATTCATGAATTTATAGTCACAGAAAACACCTTACACTTCTTATCATCCAAAAAATTATCTCATTTCATGAACTTTACCCATGCAAAGTGATAATCTTGAGTACTTAAAAAGGTTCCCTAGCATATAGTAGGGACAATCAAATGAGATCATATCTATCACCTATACAGCATGTGTATACAGGTCCTATGATTTGATGACATACACCATCCTTGGTACAAAGGTATTTCAATTATGTTCCCCTAAGTAGAATCATGACCATCTGCATAAACATACATGCAAATTTCCACGCAATCACCTAATCATTTTATTAACAACCTATTAGAAAATTGTGCAGTCTATGTCTGGGAAAATCTATATCAATGAGTTTATTTGCTGTGAAGTGTGCTCTTGCTAACCCAAGGAAAAAAACTGTACATAAGGCTGCAACTGGTAAAAATAAAATGAATCGATTCATCATGATGGCTCATTGTTGCAATTAGTCATATTCACATTGATTGGCCAATATCACCCTGTATTTGATCACACAGTCAGTCCTTGAATGAATATTTGTAGGTTATGGTACCCCAACAATGTGGCAAGAAAGTAGTCTGTGGGTCAAGTATGATACATCTGCAGGATGCATGTAGATATAGTGTTGATGTATCTGTCCCAAGTTTTTAGTAACGCCTGCTGACCCCTGAAACAATATCCATTGGAAAACAATTAATTTAATAGGGCATTATCTCTTAAGTGTGACTCATTCTATTAGAGTTCAATCAATCCATATTCAAAAATAGGACCCACGGTCCTGTGCTCACACAGTTTGGAACCTTCAGAGGAATGTATATCCTGACTTTCAAACAAAACTATTGTTTTGGATTTGTAGTCTCGAACTTTGAGAAACTTAGATAGCACAGTTGTGTGACCTAGTTTGATGACCTTGACCTTGAAAATTTTACATATTCAGAGCTCAGTAAGGTCTTTTGTGATTAAGCTGACCAAAATTTACATCCAAAAATCAATTTGAAAAATCAACTTTTTTGACCTTTCAAAGGTCACTGAAGGTCAAGTAAAGGTCAAATCCTAAAACTTATGTCAGATTTGAACTCCTGGTAACTTGTAGATGATTTTCAAATAAAAATTTGGTCAAATTGAAGCAAGTTGAAAAATGAAGGACCCACCGTCCTGTGCTCACACAGTTTGGAACCTTCAGAGGAATGTATATCCTGACTTTCAAACAAAAATATTGATTTGGATTTGTAGTCTCGAACTTTGAGAAACTTAGATAGCACAGTTGTGTGACCTAGTTTGATGACCTTTGACCTTGAAAATTTTACTTAGTCAGAGCTCAGTAAGGTCTTTTGTGATTAAGCTGACCAAAATTTACATCCAAAAATCAATTTGAAAAATCAACTTTTTTGACATTTCGAAGGTCACTGAAGGTCAACTAAAGGTCAAATCCTAAAACTAATGTCAGATTTGAACTCCTGGCAACTTGTAGATGATTTTCAAAAAAAAATTTGGTCAAATTGAAGCAAGTTGAAAAATAACTTATTTTTACTGTTTTTTGACGTCAAAATATCTCAAAAAACGGTAAAAATTTGATGCTGACATATATTGAGCAATATGTAGGGAATGCTTTAATCTAGTAATGATGTTATTCATTGCAAGAAATAATCAAGTATAAGGCAAACTTTGAGACATGAGAAAGTTTCCTGAAAATGACTTAAGTCCTACTTTTTGTCAAATCTTATAGAGTCGAGTAAACACCAAAAACTGTAATTCCAAGAGCTTTGAAATCTTCAGAGGACATAAGTTGCATATACAGCAACTACTAAAAGTTATTTGAAAGTTCTACTTCAACAAAGTGTCTAGTATTTACAGAAAATTTGACTTTTTGACGTCAAAATCCGCAATTTCTCGGAAACTGGGCGAACTTGGGAAATGGGGATGATAGGTTAAATAGGCATTATGGATATGCATAAAATGAATGTGGCTATGACTCAATCCGAATAGCAGTTTTAATTTGTGCGGCCAATGTTGACGGACGGACGGATGGACGGACCAATGGACGGATGGACGGACCAACGGACGGACGCCTGGTCGATCCCATAGGCTCACCGTGTGAGCCAAAAATGACTGCTTATATGAGATAAGATTATAGACATGATACTTTTTATCACAGCTGTAGGCTAGCATATAGTAGCACATTGATATCATGCACAAACAAGTTCAAAAGTCCACCCAAACTTTGTTCGATGGGTTTATTAACTTTTTGGGAGTGTTTGACAATGAGGAGTGTGCTGCATTTTCTTGTTTGAAGGATGTTTTTGATTGAAAAATATACATTTTCACGGGGCCTTTAACATAAGTGTAGGAATCTGGCAGTTGGTATAATATAGGCCAAAATGCTCTAATATGTCATTTCCGCATAAATAGAAAAAGTAGTTTTAAGAAATGAATCATGACGAGTCAGTAAGCCAGTATATAGCTACAGTTGTCATCTTTTTGCAATGATTATATGCAATTTCTTCTAAAAATCTGTTTATTAGGGTTATCGGAAGGAAAATTTCGAGTCAAATGGCATATCAATTTTAGCTTCATTTTTTGTGGATTTCAGTCTATGGTTGCAGAGAGACGGGGTTGTGTCACAATTGATTGATTATTTCAAAAAGTAGATGTTTGACCCCTATTGAGTTTAGTGTCAAAATGTAGCTAAGATATTGCTTTTGAACCTCAGATAAACCAGTGGGGCCACACAAATCCATAATTTGAAATAAAAATTCAGGCGTTTGACCTCTTGCCCATTGACTCGTGTGGTGACGTATACGAGTATAAGGGCTGTTTTGCCTTAAAGAACAAACAAACCGTCAAATAGGTGATTCTCCTTAGTTTGTGGCTAAAGTAAATCCGATGACTCACAAATGAACCATTGCTCATATGCATTTTATTGCATTTGTCATACCATTGAATACTGATCAGATGATTGATTCCAAAAGTAGTTGCACAGACACTTCAGATAACGTTAACTTATGTTTTTTTATCACAACCTTGTTCACATCACCACACATGTCATGTCATCGTTATGTTTACACGACCCTTTAAAACAAAACTTAGGCCATATCTGTCCTGATTATGTGCCATGATATTTGTGTGGCTTTTCTATTAATTTTAAGAATGTATGGCTTGCTTTGTATATTAGGACCAAACATGGCCTGTTCTATTAATGTTTATTCTGAGTGGCTTATACAACTTGTACCATAGCCACACAAAATCAAATTGAACAGAGCAGGCCAAACATAGTTCAAGTCAATGGGAAAGTCAAATATAAAAATATGTATTTCAACAATTTGAAATATATCTCTTGGTGTATTTTGATGAGAGAGAGTGCTACTCCATACTCATGCACCTTGAGAAGGTGTCTAGATCCCAGCATATATCACCATAGACTTCAGAGACACCTATTCACTTAGACCTGTTTTTTACATTGAGACCTTTTTAATAAATAACCTTCAGAGTAGTAACTCCCATAATTCTTTCATATTCTATCGTATTCAGGGATTCCCCATTGTACGATCTCCAATCAAGTTGCAGGGTGTGATCATGTGAACAATCATGAGCATGTGCTTTCTCAGTGCCGCGCATGCGCAAAGTAAAATTTGAAATCGTTGAAATGCAATTATTTCAGTTTAACATCAGTTCAACATCATCATTTCATAACTTCGGAAATACTATTGAAGTTACTCGATCCAAACTTATAAAACAACAGCAAACATTGAGAGATCCATTTCAATGGCAAAAAATGAGGCATGTTTAAAAAATTGGTTATCGAACGTGCCAATATGAAAGGTGATCTTTGGGAAATCTCCCCCCTGAATAACCTTCAATACACTGTCTACATACAGTGTAGAGATGCCAACATATTTCACTATAGATTTCAGAGGCATCTATTCAGACACTCTGACTTAAGATTCAGACACTGTTTTTCACTGGAAACTTCATTACAGACATGTTTCAGAAGAATCGAGTAGCTCCCATAATCAGTTGGTATTACTAGGCATCAGGGGCTTCCCATTACCTTTCCCTAAATGGTCCTACAAACCTAATAAGGATCTATTACATGGTATTCCAAATGGTGGAAAACATTAAGTTGGATTCCTACATGGATTTATAAGCCCCATAAGAATCTCTCATATGGTTACTGCATGACCCAATACCAACTCTGAAATCTTATCTGGGAAATCTCCCCTTTTAACATCTTTCCACATACCTTGGAAAAGTATCAAGATGCCAGCATGTTTCACCGTAGACATTCAAGAAAGTTTCCAGCTCTGTGTAGGTCCAGCCCACCTGTCTGCATGGCTCAATGAACTAAAACATAAGGTAAAAAATGTTTATGCCTTGCTCCAACTGTTCCATGTCTTCCAAACACATAAATAAAAAAACATTCTCTGTTAGCAGCAACCAATTTAAAGGACCAAAAGGAATAGATAAGTGAGAGTAAGCTTCATTATTTTTTTTTCAGAATTTATTTAGGAAAGTCCATACATTTTTATACACTAAAAACAGAAAAGGGAAACGCCATTTCAATTCTAATGGCTCTAATGAATCTAGACACATCTGCATCCTAATTTTTTAATAACTGGTACAACATCCCAATGCTGTTTTAGAAAATAAATAAGGACTGTAATGAAGACATTGGGATGGCTTGTCAACAGATTGTTTTCAACATTGTACACTCTCTATCCCTTCTAATTCTTTAAGGGGTGTTGTCCAATTTTCAACAATTGTGAATAAACGAAGTAACTTTAGTAATATTTTGACCCCCCTCCCCTCACCTAAAAAAATTTTAAAATGTTAATTTGTCTTTCAATTGAATAAATCAATACTATTCGCTAATAAAACCATCAATTACCCCCCCCCCTAAGGAATCTAACTTAGTTATTCCAAAACTATTGATAATTGGACTCCATCCCTCACATTATCTTGACATCTTATTAAACTGACATCAAGCTTGTGGCAACAGAGGGAAGAAGCACAAATCCACAAAGAATTCTTAGGAATTATATATGCCAAAGAAAATGCACTTGTGATACATTGTGAAGACTTTGTGTTTGCGCAGAGAAGAAAGAATAGATTTCCTTTTACTGATTTCTTTACTGAAGGGAGGTTTAGGAGTTAATGACATCATTTCCTGTCAGAAAGCTTGAGATAACAGCCTACGGGAAATGTATTTTGCATTGAAAACTTAAGTACAAAATGGTAAGCGTATATACAGAGAAAAGGTTCTGAGTTGATTTAGAGGGTGCTATACAGTACATCTTACAGCTAGAGAAATAGGTTGAATTGAGAATAATCACGATGACAACTTCCGGATACTTTACCTTTTCCACTAGGTCTATGAAGATATCTTTTAGTTCCCTAGCATGGTTCATATTGTATGCTATGTTCACTAGTATCTTTGACATATTCTGAAAAAAAATCATCATGAAATTGTGCCTTATTTTCTTTCTGGAACCAGTTGTTCTATATTCAAACATAGTCAGATATACTTGAGCACTTCTTGACCAATCAGAATGTAATAAAGCCATGTGTTATAATTATCTGAGACGCTAATGTATGTTTGTTATTTTCCTCGCTGTTTATCCATGTTAGAAAAGAATTTTAGAACTATGGAATAATATGTGGAATAATATAGTACACTCGTTCAACTATTAAGCTAACCTAAACACTTTTCCTTCATAATAAATTAGTCTACCTTGAAATTAGAATCCAGGTCAGCTAATGACTTGTCTGAGATTTTCCCCTGTAAACTTCTACATGTAAGACTGGAATTACACAAAATACAATATTAATACACAGGAATCATGACAAGAAAGTATTGCTCTGTATAATTCCATATACAGTAACCATGACAATAGAGATTAAATCAAAGCATTGCTCTGTATATTCTCATACATTACATTCTATCACAATGCTATTGAATAACATATGTAATCACAATGTTGAAACCAACTAAAAGTTTAGTAAAATACAACCTACAAATTATATTTACTCAATTATTATGGTCAATCTATTTTTTAAGGATTCATCATTTTGAATATATCATGCTAAATGTACCATCATCTGTTCAGATAAAATATTATAAATACACAAAATTGTAATAACTCGACAACAGCAATGCCAAGGTTTAGCAAATCGGAGTCATTCTGCAAATCCCCTATACTTTGTTTGATGGGATAATAACTAGATCTTACGTTTTATGCTCATCTAGGATTTCTTTTTCTTGTAGGGTCCTAAGTTCTCTACAATCCTGTAGGAATGATATATCTAAGTCTACATCCATGTCATGGTGGTGCTTACACTCTGCAATAACATAGAGATCGTCACAATAATGTATCACTTGGTTGTGCCAAGAATTGTGTTATTATATTACCCACAATGCATTATTCTGAAATATAACCAGAAATTGCACAATAGATAAAATGGCTGTTTAGTTCAGTACACATGTGGGGAGTGATTTGAACTTGTATGTCTTGTCTGTATCAGTTCACATTAAAGGACACAAGGATTATTAAATTAAAAGGAGCCACTGGGTTTGTTCAATGTTTCATATGGCTGCCACCTTGCAATGTAGAAAACATGCGTGAGTTTATACTTTTCTATATTGAAAGAAAATCAAGTTATGGTATTTATGAATCAAGATAGACATTGGGCAATTGTTTCCTAAAATTGACATAATAAATAAGAACCTAGATTATTCTTTATTGGAAATAGTACAAACCCAGGGCTGTTTGTTTGTCATAACACATGTACATTATTAATCCACGGTTGAACAATTTTTATTAAATGCTTTGATGTCAATAGGACAAACACATTGATTCAGGCATGTAATAATTAATGAAACTATAACAAAATATTATTATAATTAAATCAACAAAAATGATTGAGATTACTTTCATATAAAAAAATGTAATCTCAATCATTTTTGATGTTTTTAACACTTATTAACATTATAAATCGACAAAAATAGAAAATAGAAGGATTAGTCTTTAAACACTCTATCTCTACCATATTTAGAAGTAAATTGATACATAAACAGTTTTCTTACCCATTGCACTATAGGACCACCTTGAGATCATGTGCATGGCACAACATACAAAGTCATCCAGACTCAGGTAGAATAACTTCCTCTTGCCAGTCTCAAACCTGTTGTTTGTAATAAACACAATCGCTGCATACTTACTGAAATGTAAAGAAATATTTGCAATTGATTTATAACAATACTCAGTTCTGTTACCATCATTTCAATTTTCAATTTGTTTATTTCACAAAACACATACAATATACATATACAATGAGTGGGTGAAACAAGGGTTTGTGTATATTCCCACAATTCTCATTGTGTATATACATCCATAATTAAGTATTGTATAGTATATTGAAATATGGACAATTTCATTTTTATTTATTGTTTTAAATCTGGAAAGGTCACAAAATATTGTTATGTGATACATATTGTGATGTGACTAATTTTTGAAAATAAAATGTAGTATATAAACTTACTTGGCAAGTTCATCAGATACGAGGTAGTTCTGTTTAATGTTTTCCACCAGGGAACCCAACATTTCTTCTACTGTTTTGAATACTCTCTTGATATTATCAAACTGAAAATAAACATATATACAAGGCATTAACATGCAAACTGTCACCACCTGCCATTTGTTATATACAGATGCCGAACACTGACTGCTGATCCCCAAATGCCGAACAACATCCACAAAAAAAGTTGAATAACAATAAGTTGCCATATGTGAAGGTAATATGGTAACATGTTTATAACATATAGGAGTAGAAAAGAGTATAGATGAAGTAATTGAAGTAACATTTCCATAGGGATTTACCTTTTCCAAAGGGATTTTACCTGTCTTCTGCAGCTCTTTAGCGGAACCTTTGTTTTCTCACTGACATCATCAAGGTCCTTGCGGTGTTTAGACGACAATTTCTTGCCCAGAAGCTCACGTACGACCAGTGGGTTGAATTCATAATACCTGAACAAAGAATATCCATTTATGTACAGATATAGCAGCCAATGCAATATTAATTCAAAACCAGTTCTTTAATAGAAACTAAATCATTAATCAGATTCGATGATAACATTTATAAGCAAAAATTGATAATTTGAGTGTATGTTTTGGATTTAATGATTCCCTTATGTATATAAAGAAAGGCTAATGTGTAAAAGAAAGATTTCTGACATTAATTTCATTAAATCATTATTGAAAAAAAACTGAGAATATCAGACACAGTAAAAAGGAAAATAAAATAATTATGAATATCCTGTACAAACAAAGAAACAAACAAATGGGCAAAATGTTTCTTACTTTTCGATCAATGCCTTCTGCATTTCGGGTTTTATTTGGAAGATTTTCTGACTGGCAAGCTTCTGTGGAGTTTGTAAGAATTTCTCGAGCATTGTGAACATTCTATAGTGATCCATGATGTCTTCAATAAGCATATCAGACGTTGCACCATATAGCTGTTGTATACCACGCTTCTGTTGGATTCTTGTGGCTTCATGAGCTGGAATACAATACCTTAATCATAAATTTTTCCAAAACAGGTCTAAATTTTTCTTGCATTATACACAGTGAAACGAGATACGGACAACTAAAATCTTGTGAATTAAGATGCAGGCTCATCTGAAAGGGGAGGGCATTGGGGGTGACTGGCAAAGGCATTAACATGCAAAATGTTACCACCTGCCATTTGTTACAGATGCCGAATGCCAAACACCGTCCACAAAAAAGTTTGTTCTGCTGATATTTTTGAATTTCATGTTGAAGATGTAATTCATGACAGAATGTGCATCCTAAATGAGCTCAATTAGATGACAATCGTACATAACACCACTAGTATTAACTAGTTTACAAATTGGTTTCACACTTGCACATTATTAAAAATAGGTGACATATCAATTCACCTGTGATTTTGCATGAATTGATCCATATACAGATTCTAAACAAGGATGCGATGAATCAAATATAATTCTTAGTATCTGCTGTGTGTTGTTGCTGAATAAACAATTTAATCATAAAATATGTATTGTTTTAGTTTTATCTTCTTCATGCATGAAACAATGGTTCAACTGCAAATGTCATGATAACTGGAGCATTTTACCATAAATATTATTTATTAGAATAGGCCCATTTCATGATTTTTGTAACATTTTTTTCATGTAACAGCAGGGAATAACAGCTTGGGGCAAGGCAGGTTTGGAGGTCACTGGGGCCATCACCCCGCAAAATAATTTTTACAAATGATTCTCTAAAAAGTTACTTTAAACTGAGTTCGTTTATACCCTATTACACAACTCTCTGGTGACGGCCCTAAACAATAAACATAATGCAGAAATATTTATACGGATATAGTGAAGGTATATTTACATTTAGCACTATTAACATTAAATATAACAATAAAGACAATCAATTATAAAAAGCTGTGAATTATAGGATGTCATATTAACAAACTAGTATGCAATAAAATTAACTTGATCATAAGTACTAGCAAATACACTGGGAATACATTTTATTTATATCTAAATGAAAACATAGTTAGGAAATACACTTAGAACTACATTAATACAGAGTATTATATAGAGTATTATACTGGAGTACTACATGTACAAACAAAACTGAAGAATACTATAAAAACAGTACTAGAAGAGTCAACTGCAAGTGAAAGTGTTGCACATCTAAAGGTATGCAAAAGTCTGTTTATTCTTCATATACATTGTAGTTGGATATATTTGATAAATTGTTAAAATGGAAATGTGCAAAAAAAGATGACTTATTATGACATTTTCTTTCCTTATTTTTGAATTGTGCATTTATAGAACATTTGATAATACAATTATTAAAAGCATATCTATTTTACTTGTTAGTATTTTTCTCCAATATAAGATTATGGCTGGACTGAGTACTCTCCTGTGGTTCATCTTAATTCTAACAGCAGTTTTCTCCATCGGCAATGGTAAGAAAGATTATTATTATTTTTAACACAATTTTTGTTTTATTTGCAACGTTAAAAGCTTCATCATTTTTCTCAAACAATAAGGGCGGATAAAATATCAGTAAAATATAAATATAATTCTCAATGATAAATTAAATTATATTGTAAAAATGTAAAGAACAAAATAAAAAATGAGAATCTTTGATGCTTTGAAGAAATTGGGTGTCATGTTCAGAAAGTTCCAGAAAAAATAGTTGTGCTTAGATGGATTAACTTTATATCAACAATATTTGTTCATTGTTTATATGAACAGAATTCATCATTGCATTTAAAAATAGCTTGCAAGATCTCAAAAAGATTTTTTATACCAGTAAAGCATTTTGGTTGGAGAAAAAAACATGCTACAAGTTATAATGAAAAATTGTGAAACATGAAAAAGTTTTGAAAATGTTTGTCAAATTGTCAAAAATTAATAATGTATTTTACAGAACTTCATGAAATGAAACTACTGATCCTTCTCAAAACTAGGTTAATATATACTATATCTTCCATTAAAAGCTGGCCTCAAAGAAAATTGGATTGAAATAATAACTGAACACCCTGTAACTGATCCTGTTTGGTGGACAATTGGTAACCTCACAAGTGTAAACTTCCAAGTCAGAACATGCGGTAGTGTTTCTATCCAACTTGAAGCCAAAGGAAAAAACAAATCGTCTACTATCTACAAGATAGGCATTGGCCATATGAGATTTGGAAGAAAGATAAGAAAGGGAATTGAGATTTATAAACCTCTAGAAGGTAAGAATCCATGGGCCAAGACATATGGAGATGATTTCTTGAACTGTAGTGAATTCCGAAGTTTCTGGATAAGCTGGACTGATGGTAATGTTAAAGTTGGAACAGGAGTAAATGAAAAGGAGGGAGAGCTAGTTCTAAAGAAGATGGATGTCAATGCGTCTAGAGTCAATGCTGTTATATTCGATTCAGTATTTGGTGGAAGTGGAGAGTGGAGAGTTGAGCGCCATCCGAGTAAGTAAAATAATAAATACTTCAGCGAATTTTGATGCAGTCAAATAAGCCATTTTGATGTGACAGCATGAGGTGTGTGTTTATCCTATTTCATTAAGCTACTGTAAAACCTATGTTTTGAACACCGCCTCTCTTAAGTGAACACCTTCTCCTTAGGAGAGAGAACTAAGAAGTACAGTAGTTGAAAGTCCATGGGAAAAAAATATATTTAACAAAGAAACGTGGGGTTAAGTATATCTACTATATCTTGAATTAAATGCATATGTGTCTTATATGTATGTATGTTTGTATGTATATTTTGTTTATTAAAGTCTCACATGTATCCTGGACATCAAGCCGTTGCCGGCTTAGGAGAGACTATAAAATTTAGTATATTAAAATTCATTTTTAAAATGGTATATATTACGCACTAGGTGTTGCTGTGGCAGATATAACAATGGCAACAGTATTAGCTGTAGGAGAGACAAACCACCTCATATTTGAGGTGAAGACTTGTGCAGTCTTGGCCATATACATCCAAGATACCTCTGGGGAACAATCCATATTGATTAGTCTTGATGGGGAATCTAATGACAATGCTATGGAGCGAGAATTTGCTCTAGCATTTTCACTTGCCAAACTTAAGAAGAAGTTACTCACATGTAAAAAATATGAACCATTTTGGATAAGTTGGTCCAAGAAAATGGTGAAAATAGGAACTGGATCTATCGTTGGCACAGATACTCTAATGAGAACAGATTTTATGGGACCTGACAACAAAAAGTTTGATATTGAGATAATTGTATTGGATCACTATAGTGGACATTTAAAACTAAATGGTATGTACATGGCACAGTTTTGACCATAAATAAATGAGTCATGGATTTACTAGTGAGGATTTCCCATGTTACAAATAAGAGAATTTTCAGGTGGCCATCAGATACATATGAGGATGAGAGTATACAAAATGTAAAATATAAAAAAATGGGATATGTATCTAGACAATAATGACAACTATGGGCTTCCAAACCAACATGACTACTCATTTATTTATGGTCTAAACTATATGTAAAAATCTAGTTGGAAACAAAACAAGATTTATGCGACACTCAGCAGCACCAAGTTAACACAATATGCACTTTGAAAAAGTAATAATAAAATGACAACTCTTATAAAACTACCATATACTCTGCAATTAGCGTCCAGGGTGCTTAGAAAATTGAAAATACACCCTTCAGACCTTTCTAATAAGCACCCATATATGAAAGAAGTCAAAATTCCCTGGAATTTCATATTTGGCAATTTTTCTTGCCAAGAATTCCTTATTTACAACAGCAAAATGAAGTCACAGCATATTTTTTACATTACGTAATGACATGTATCGTTATTGGAGAGATTATGGTAAAGATCACTAAAATGAAGCAAGGATCATGCAAGAATCTCAGCTAGACAATATTGACAGTGATTGAAGAATTCCCCAGTAGAGCCCCTCGAATTGAAGGAATCGTTTTCCCCTATTATCTTCAATATATCTACTAAGCTGTTAGATGTCACTTCAAAGTTACCTTCTCTTTTTAATTTAATGATAGATCATTTTTTCGTGTAAAATTTGTGAGAATAAGGAGAAAGTTGAGAAGAAACTAGAAAGTTCACAACGCTTATGTGCGCAGAAAACCTCCGCAGAAGCTGTCTTGGTAAAATGTCGGAACAAAGTTCTAAACTTGAACATTTCCTTGATTCATCATGGACTATTTTGAGAAAATATTAGTTTAGTACGATGTGGGAAGCACCCAATGAAAGATATTTATCGCGCGGGAGGATGCATCAAACTCCAAAATTACAAAATTTGTCAGGTTTACAGCAGTTTAATGTTAGTACTCTATTGCTGCCCACTTAAATTTCTTTGGGAAATTTGTGGTGAAGCGTGGTGTGCATGTGCTAGGAGGCACTAATTACAGAGAATATGGTATCGTATTTGGAGTATGGGCTCACAAATTTCTCATGAATCAACAACTCTTTGATGATATCTAAAATGTAAAATTATATTTTTATAGCGACCAGATGTCCTGTTGGATTCTGGTATCACCCAAAATTCAAGTCTTGTTATAACTTTGTCTATGCAACAAGATTACCTTACAAGCAGGCCAGAGGGAGATGTAAAAAGTTAGGGGGATACCTCGCCATTGTGGACTCAGAGAAAGAGAATGACTTCTTTAAAGACATCCTGAAGGGTGATGATGAAAATGCAGGTTAGTGGGGAAGTTTTATGGATAGCAAAAGTGGAGATTTGGTTCAGAACATTCAAATGTCATTCAATATGGTTCATTTTTGATTTGGATTGAAACTTGTAGTAAATGTGGGATTAACAAAATTGTACATAAATAGTATACCATGTAGAAGTAAATCTAGATCAGTACTGTCAACCCCTAAAGATTTTCTCGCGGGACAGATTTTTTAGACCCAGTGCCCAAAATTCGCGGGATTTTGCGGGACATCTACTAAATTCGCGGGATTTTGCGGGACATTTAAGGGATTTGCGTGATTGCGCTAATAGGAGATTTTTTTTATCAAATTCGCGGGATTTCGCGGGACCATTCGAGGGACAAACACCCTAATTGCGGGACAGTTAACAGGTGTACCACCAAAAACTTCATAGAGGGACAGATTTTTTAGACAAAGTGCCCAAAATTTGCGGGATTTCGCGGGACATCCACCTAAATTTGCAGGATGTCCCGGGACATTCAAGGGATTTGCGTGATTGTGACTAATGTAAAAGCGTGTAGAAGTACTTAAATCAAACTTTCAGATACTGATTAATCAAATATAATGCACCTACATCAAATTATAGGGAATGAGGTTAATTTTCTAGATAGGGTTTGTATAAAAAACCGGGTACCGGGTAGTAAATCCTCCATGCTGGGTTCAAACTTGGTACCCGGTCGAAAAAAAAACAAAAAACGAAATATACGAATACACAACATAATTAGATCATTAGAAAACGTGTAAGATTTGTTTTGAATTTACAAAAATGTATGTAACTTCCTTCAAAATTCAGCTAGAAGCTTCAAATAAAAAGCATTTTAAGGCTCTTTTCTTCCTCTATCATCTTGGTCATATTTCCATTGGTAATGAAGGGGGGGGGGTGCGATCGCACCCCCACCTGGCTACGCCAATGACATTGTAAGACGATTTGAAAAACAAGACAAATCAATCTTACTCTATTTTCAATAGTTCGTATGTTGGTACGTGAATTGTTTTGATTATGATTTAAATCTGTAAATAGCTATCGTTGCTTTAGCAGAGAGGTGACGTGTGTTAATTTGCATGATGCAACGTGTAAGATTTTGATTATTAATCATAATTTAAGTTATCCCAATTTATGACAAAATGTCCACTGAATTGTAAATTGTTATGTCTTACAATGTCATAGGCGTAGCCAGGAGAGGGTGCGATCGCACCCCCCCCCCATAACCAATGAAAATATGGCCATAATGATAGAGGAAAACAAATCTTACACGTTTTCTCATAATCTAATTATGTTATATATTCATATTTTTTCGTTTTTTGGGTACCCGTTTTTTTGACCGGGTACCGGGTACCAAGTTTGAACCCAGCATGGAGGATTTACTACCCGGTACCCGGTTTTTTATACAAACCCTTTCTAGATATCAGCGTACATTTATTGTAACTCGCGTTTGCTAACATTTGCTCAGTTCTGAGATGAAGGCCACACGGGTAGTAAAAAGGCCAACGTTGGAACTCTTTGTGACCTACATCCCTATTTTCGTAATTAAAATGAAAGTTGAACCCTTCCCCTTTATTTTGATACCAAACAACAGCATATGCTAGGTACTTAAAATTAGGTAAACTTTACTCCTCAAAAGTGCAAAAACTTAGCTTCTTATATCAGATAAGATAATCAAAATATAGGGGATTGCAACAATTTCGCGGAGGTCAAAGCCACATTTTGCGGGACTTCGCGGGACAATGCGGGACACGCGAATTAGCCTAATTTTGATCAAATTCGCGGGATAATCCCGCCATTCGCAGGACACTTGACAGCTCTGCTAGATGTTAGTGAAAAATCACATTTTAAATATAAAATACAAATGTAAGAAAACAAAGACCAAGCAAATATTAACTGGTCTTATTTCAACTCCAGTATTCTCCCCCAGTATTCAAGTTAGTAGGGGGGAAGGTAAAGGTGACATGGGGAGATCACTGAGCTCCCCTACTACTCATATTGAGAAAGAAATATTTTCGTCATGGTGTCTACAAAAACATCAACTCTTGAAACAGGAGTAACATTTTGTATCTCTGGTTTCAATATTACAGGGACTATCATATATTATCTATCCTATACAATTAGTTTGGTTATTTCAGATTTCTTACTCGGTGGAGGACGATCAAAACCAAAAACTAATTGGGTTTGGAAAGATCATCCAAATGAGCCAAGTAAACCCTTCAGTTATACAGACTGGAGATGGGAAGAACCAAACAGTCCACGGACAGAACGGTGTATTGCTGTCAATATTGAGGGATGGAATGATGTGACATGTTACCATGGTTATCAGTTTATATGTGAAGCCATTCCATTGTAATCACAATTATTATGATGAAAAAAGAACTCTTTTCAGTTTAAATCATCTCAAAAAGTGGTTACAATTATACTCTATGAGTTGTTGCACAATTTTATTGTTTATTCTTTGATTAAGTAAGTATGCTGGAAGAAATATTGTGTTGTGAGAATGTCTGAAAGTAGGGGTCATATACAACCTTTAAGATGAGACTTATACCAATAGAGATGTTTTCACTTTAAGATTTGAATGAAGACAAGTTTGAAACAACCAGTTTATTATTTTTTGACAAAAAGAAATAAGCCCCACAAATTCGCATAAAACTCAACTTTTTTTACCCCCTTTAAATTTAATCAATTTATTTTTCAATGATTAAGCCAGGAAGAAAAAAGCTACAATGCAAAACATATCCAACCTCATCCCATGCCAGGACTATAGTCCTGAGAAAGTCTCAATCTTTTGCCTGTACAATTACAACATGGGAGAATTTTATACGCCTCTTACACTTAAGATACCTAATTTAATAGATCTTCAATAGATTTTCAAAAGATTGAGACTCTCTCAGGACTATAGTCCAGGCACGGGATAAATCCAACCCTGTGTAAACAAAATCTAGTAGACAGAAATCGAATCTACAGTGCTCACCATAAATAAATGACACCTGGATTTGCTGAAGTGAGGATTTCCCATGTTAAAAAGAAGAGAATTTTCAAGAGGCTATACATCAGTGGATGAGAGTATACAAAATGTAAAATATACAAAACTTAAGGGATGTGTATCTAGACATTATTGGAAAGTATGAAGTCTCAAATCACCATGGTGCGAAATGGTGAATGGTAAATCCTATACGGCATATGGTATGATGTTTGACCAATCACAAAATGTTTCTCTGACAGGGGCTGAACCAAATGCTGAAATCTGATTGGTCAAACATCAATAATACACCATATGCCGTATAGGATTTACAGGTGTCCGTCTGGAAATGGTGATAGAAAATCCAGGTGTCATTTATTTATGGTGAGCACATTTTTAGTCCTGACTATGCATAGGACCCATCATGATACAAGTCAGTAAGCTTATATTCGAAAGGATAAAGATTTTAAACATCTGAAAATAAATTCAAATTATACTATAAATGCAATATTGATTGAATGCCCATGAAACCGAAAGTGAAAGTAAAAATAACCTGATAATTGATCAAATTGTATAATTTTAAAAACGAATCAATTACCTGAATAGCCATCAAGCCACAAGTGATAGATATCCATGTCGATTAAGGCATTGTTACTCACAAAGACATCCACGTCAACCATTCTTATATGCTGTATATTTGCACAAAACAAGTAAAAATGTTCGCGATCAATCTTTTTTACTCAAGTATTTCCTTATCTCCTTTGTGAAGAGCGATGACACGCCCCATCCCAGTTCTTAGATTGAAATTATGAATTAATATATATTTTGCATTTTACGAACATTGCGATGTCATCAGAGAGATTTGAAGGTATCCAGGATGACCTCGAGAGTCTTATTCAAAGTTTAAAACAGAAGGTTAATGATAGAATATCGAAATGCGGAGGAGGTAAGTGTTTGAAATTATTTTCATATGTCAAAATTTTGTACCAACCAGTCACGGCATTGAGTCATAAATCCTATAATGCATTGTCGTTCACAGTCAGCACCATCTATCCTGTACCTATGTTAAATTCATCTATAACAGGTATATCTTGCAGAAAAAAATCAGAATGCGTATTTCTGTTGCACTTCATCTCCTGGCCTGTCAACTTGGAACACATAAGATTTATCCCGTGCGCAATCTTTTGCCTGTACGATTACAACTTGGGAGAATTATCTACGCCCCTTACACTTAAGATACCTACCTCAATGCATTATAGAACTCAAAATGTAACTTCTAATATATTGGAACCGCCGATTGTCTGGGTTAGTTGGCAGAACGGGAACATTTTTCTTTTTCATCCAGAGAGATTCCATCACTTTTCAAGATGGCGGTTGGATTTAAAGGGGATTCCCCGTTTGACTGGCCTGGAAGTGATCTGGAAGTACCAATAAATGGAGGAATTTGATGGTTGAAATAAGTTAAATATTACATGCAAATATTGCGATCAAAAACGCAAAATTTCTTCGTTTTGCCGATAAACCCAGACAATTGTGGATGTAACTACACGAAAAGAATGCTAAAATACCAAGGAATCTATTGAAGTAGTGTAAGAAGCGTAGTAAATTCTCCTATGTTGTAATCGTACAGGCAAAAGATTGAGATGTTTACAGGACTATAGTCCTGGCTCGGGATAACATAAAATGAGTGACTCTTTACAAATGTTGAACACTTTCCTTCAAATTGTGAACACCTTGGTCCAAATCCAGGCCATCCAACTGTCCCGCAATTTGTGTAGTTGTCACGCATTTGCTGGAAAATTTGAAGTCACGCCAGTTTTTTTTGCATGACAGAACATGAACGTAGCAAGCGCGAAAATTTTGAGGTGTCCAAAAGTGGGTTATATGCAATAAAATTTGAACCAAGGTGCTCAAAATGTGGGCCAGGGTGTTCAGCTTTAGGCCAAGGTGTCCAAACACGTGTACTTGTCATGTACTTGTGTGTTCATACTCATGTACCTGTGTGTTCATACTCATGAACTTGTGTGATCATACTCATGAACTTGTGTGATCATACTCATGTACTTGTGTGTTCATCCTCATGTACTTGTATGCTCATACTCATGTACTTGTGTGTTCATATTCATGTACTTGTGTGTTCATACTCATGTACTTGTGTGTTCATACTCATGTACTTGTGTGTTCATACTCATGTACTTGTGTGTTCATACTCATGTACTTGTGTGTTCATACTCATGCACTTGTATGTTCATACTCATGTACTTGTGTGTTCATACTCATGTTCTTGTGTGTTCATACTCATGTACTTGTGTGTTCATACTCATGCACTTGTGTGTTCATACTCATGTACTTCTGAGTTCATACTCATGTACTTGTGTGTTCATACTCATGTACTTGTGTGTTCATACTGATATTACTGAGATTCCATTCTTATGATAAATGTGTCGAGTGCAAATATGACAATGTTTAACAGTCAACTGCAACATCATGATCAAATAAGCTATACAAACAACAAAAACATTAGAGCTATAATTAGAGATATACTGTATTAATGAGAATTATTTGTTTAATGTATTCTATATGATGCAGTGAATGTAATTCAGTGAATGTAATTCAACAATACTTCATTGCTCATTTACTAGGAATTTTATAATGTCAGTTTCGGTATACTCATTGACAAGCTAATATAAATATAGGTCTATGTGATATGTAAAAATGTGTGGTAAAAATGTTGGGAGTGAAAGTGTCCCGTTATTTTGTGTAGTCTTACTGAAGATCACCTTGCACTCATGCTTTTAAATTACCAATAAAGAATGATACAGTTTTTTTATTCCTTAATAGAATATGTTTGTCAGATAATCAGAAGGAATCAGAAGAAAGAATATCTATTATATACTAGTGCTACCATCTCTTTAAAACTCATGGTCTGTTATTTTGCAGAGGAGCGGAAGCGGTTGGTGAGGGAGGTTGAGAAAGGAGTTGAAGAGGGAAACATTCTTGTAAGTACTACAACATGGCTTTGTATAAAAAACCTCCTACCTCATACCCACCTACCCACCTACATGGGACATGATACAGTCATTGAAGGGTTTAATTTTAAAGATTTTTAAATCTCAAAATACAATGTAGCTCTAATTATTAAGATTTCTACAATTCTGGCTTTATTTTATCACTAAACGGATGTCAGATCCATAAAAAAAGGCATACGGGGTGCATTGTAATGTGTAATGACTCGTTGGTATAATAACGGTATGTGGGTAGGTGGGTATGAGGTAGGAGGTTTTTTATACAAAGCCCTACAACATATCTTTGTCAAACTCCTGTTTTTCCATTCAGGTGGGCTGTATAGAGTAAATCATATGGCCAGTGAACTTAGATCATTTACATGTTGGTTTACATACTGAAAGCACAAAAAAGGTCTAAATAGTGTGGGAGCAAAAGTCCAAATAAGAGGTTCCGTGTCCTTTTTAGAGGCGAGCTAAGCGACATATGTTTTCATGAACTATATGTGATACTGATCAAGAAAAATGATGTTGGCAATTCTGAATCCGCGACGGCGTTGCTATGGTAACCAAGTAAATATGCCACGCCCACTTTTAGGGGCTCTTTTCAGTGTATGGCCCCTATCTCTGTCATTATTGCTCAGATTTAGATGAAATTCACACCAAATGGAAGGTAATGGATAACGCAATTAGGAAATATTAGGTTGGCAATTCTGAATCCGATATGGCGTTGCTATGGTAACAAAGTAAATATCCCACACACACTTTTAGGGGCTCTTTTCAGTGTTTGGTCCCTATCTTCGTCAATATTGCTCAGATTTAGGTGAAATTTGTACCAAATGAAAGGTAATGGAAAGAGCAATCAAACAATTTATAAAATATGCAAATAAGGTGATTTGCATATTAATTATGACGTCATAACCATTTGTTATTGCACATTTAATTTTAATCCTGATGTATAAATCTGGGAAATTATTGTCATTAAAATGGTCAGTAATGCTTTATTTTCGGTGAGTTTATGAGTTTATGTCATTCATACATGAATGGTCATAAAAAATTGAAAAAATGTTATGAAAATATCCAATTCCAGTTGTTGCTATGGTAACGGTATGTTGCAAAACTATCTGCTGTAAAAATAATTCTTTGGGAAATGATACATTTTGACCAGTTGACTGAGATGTATTCCTTCGAAAATTTGATGGCAGAAAATAACCTAATAATAAAGATAGAAACTTATCTAATTTAAATTGTTTTATATTATGATGTCACAATGGCAATTATTAATCAGGGGCGCAGCCAGCTTTCAATCAGGGGCGCAGCCAGCTTTCAATCAGGGGGGGTGCGATCTCGGCATAAGCAACTCAAAAAATGTTTAATTTGTCTTAAATTTTACAAAAATTCCTTCAAAATTGAGCTAGAAGCTTCAAGTCAAAAGCATTTTAAATCTCTTCTTCTCTCTAATGGTTCTATTTTTATTGGTTTATGGGAGGGGGGGGGATGGGGGTGCCCCCATCACACCCCCTGGCTATGCCTATGTTAGCTATGGTATTCAGGTGAATATGCCGTCCCCAATTTCAGGTCTTTTCCAAAGTTTTGATTCAATCAGTTGTCATGATGATAGCTCTGGTGTATATGAAATTTTCATCAAATGGAAACTAAAGAATCAGACAATGCATGGGAAATGTAGATTGACAGACTGGCATCTGTTATGGTATGACTATCATAGCTGTTTTCGTGATTATTTTCTTGAAATAAGGTAAAATTGCTCAAGATGATTCCAAATTGGTACCTTTGGTCTTTGACATTCACCATAAAAGTAGGTCAAAGCTGAAAACTATGATTGATTTTCATTCTATTTCTTTACATGTATAAAGTATGATCAAGAAATATTATGGGGAATTCTGATACTGCGATGCTGTTGCTATGGTAACCAAGTAAATATGCCATGCCCATTTTTAGGGGCTCTTTTCAGTGTTTGGCCCCCATCTCCACCATTATTGCTCAGATTTTGATGAAATTCAGACAAAATTGAAGGTAATAGATAATGCAATCAGGAGATATTAAGTTGACAATTCTGAATCAACGATTGCGTTGCTATGGTAACAAAGTGAATATGCCCCACCCACTTTTAGGGGCTCTTTTCAGTTTTTCGCCCTTATCTTCTCCATTATTGCTCAGATTTAGATGAAATTTGCACCAAATTAAAGGTAATAGATACAGTAATCAGACAGTTAGTTAACTTTGCAAATAGGATGATTTGCATATTGATTATGACGTCATAACTGTTTGTTCTTGCATATTTTATCTTAATCATGATGTTCTAATCTGTGAAAATATTGTCTTTAAAATAGTCAGTAATGCTTTTAAGTAGTTAATTAGTTTATTTCTTTTAGTTGAGTTTATAATTTTATTTCATTCATACTTGCATGGTCATAAAAACTGAATAAATCTAAAAATGTAATGAAAATCTCCAATTTATGCTGTTGCTATGGTTACAGCACGTAGCAAAACTATCTGATGTAAAAAGAATTCTTTAGGAAATTTTACATATTGACGAGTTGACTGACACATGTATTCTTTTGAAAATATGATGACAGAAAATAATCTTATAACTATAGAAAATTATTCAATTTAAATTGTGTTATATTATGATGCCATAATGGCAATTATTAATCAGGGGTGCGGCCAGCATTCAGTCAGGAGAGGGGGGGGGGATTGCGATTGAAGCATAAGCAACCCAAAAATGTTTTTAAGATTTGTTTTGAATTTTACAAAAATTAATGCAACTTCCTTCAAAACTGAGCTCAAATCTTCAAGTCAAAATGATTTTAAAGCTTTTCTTCTATTAAATAGTTCTATTTTTTGTTCATGGGGGCGCACCCATCGCACCCCCTGGCAATGTCTGTTAATCCAATATGATGTTGCTACGGTAACTAGGTGAATATGCCATCCCCGCTGTTCAGGGCTTTTCCAAAGTTTTGCTTCTATCTTTGTCATGATTACAGCTTGAGTGTATATGAAATATTCACCAAACTGAAGCTAAAGATTCAGACAATGCATGGATTATGTCAATTGACTGACTGACATACCCGCCATTGTCGCATTAATAGCTGCTAATGGTTTTGAAATCCGAAAAATATGTCCAATGTCAATTTACATAAAAAATAATATCATTTTATGGTATAGGTCAATACTTTAGCCTATTTCATCTTTTAGGTCATGTAGACATAACTGTACCAATTTTGAACCGAATGGTCCGATGTCGGATTTCAAAACCAACAGCATATCTGAAATCAGGGGCTTCCATACTTCATACTTGTAAAGAAATGGAATCAGTCATAGTTTTCAGCTTTGGCCTCATTTTATGGTGAATGTCAAAGGACAAGGTTCCAATTTGAAACCATTTTGAGCAATTTTACCTTATTTCAAGAGATAATCACAAAAAGCAGCTATGATACCATAACAGGTACTGTACTCCTGGTATTTTTCGCCTGCTATTTAGTTTCGTGCTTGGTAAAATCGCAAAAATTAATCTTAGCGAAATTGTCAATTAAAGCTTGGGATTTGTGAAACTTATTATTACATTTCGTGTTTTGTAAAATGTTTGTCAAGTGTTTTTAGGCGATTAATGGAATAGTTAGTACCAATGTCTATTACAGTGGAATCATTTTAAGCATTTCTCTTTATTTCAAGAAAATAATCACAAAAGGAGCTATGATATTCATGTATTGTCTGATTCACCTAGCATATCCACCTAATGGTTACCATAGCAACATCATATTGGATTAACATAGGCAGTGCTTAGAGGAATGGGGGTGCACTGGGTTCACTCACCCCCTAATAACCAATAAAAATAGAACCATTAGATAAAAGAAGACTTTCAACTTGAAGCTTTTTGCTAAATTTTGAAGCAAGTTGCATCAATCTTTGTAATATTCAAAACCTATCTTATAAATACTTTTGGGTTGCCTGTGCCACGATCGCAGGCCCCCTTCTGACCGAAAGATGGCTGCGTCCCTTATTAAAAATTGCCATTATGACATCATAATATAACACAATCCAAATTTGATAACTATGGTTATTAGATTATTTTCTGTCACCAAATTTTAAAAAGAATACATGTCAGGCAACTGGTCAAAATGTAACATTTCCTAAAGAATTCTAGTTTACAGCAGATAGTTTTGTTACATGCTGTCACCAAAGCAACAGTGTGAATTGGACACTTTCATTATGTTTATTCAATTTTTATGATCATATATGTATGAATGAAATAAACTAATAAAGTCAACTAAAAGAAATAAACTAAACTAATTAAGAGCATTATACTGACCATTTTAAAGACAATGATTTCCCAGATTTATACATTATGATTAAAATAAAATATGCAAGAACAAACAGTTATGACGTCATAGTTGAAATGCAAATCACCATATTTGCATATTTTAAAAATTGTTTGATTGCTCTATCTATAACCTTTAAATTGGTGCAAATTTCATCTAAATCTGAGCAATAATGACAAAGTTAGGGGCCAAACACTGAAAATAGCTCCGAAAAGTGGGCGTGACATATTTACTTTGTTACCATAGCAACGCCATATCGGATTCAGAATTGCCAACTCAATATTTCTTGATTGCATTATCCATTACCTTCCATTTGGTGTGAATTTCATCTAAATCTGAGCAATAATGGCAGAGATAGGGGCCATACACTGAAAAGAGACCCTAAAAGTGGGTGTGGCATATTTACTTGGTTACCATAGCAACCCCGTCGCGGATTCAGAATTGCCAACATCATTTTTCTTGGTAAGTATCACGTATAGTTCATGAAAACATATGTCGCTTAGCTCGCCTCTAAAAAGGAAACGGAATGACCTTTGCTCCCATACTATAAAAGAGTTTAAAATACAATGCATATAAAATTCAGTCAGATTGGACATTAACAAATAGTGATGTAATTGTTAAAAACAACATTTGATTTTTTATGAGAATGTATAGGATGTGCCCCCATTCCCTCACAAATAGAGCTATCTCACCACCACAAGTGGTGACATACATGTATTGATATTGTCTTCTTTTTTTGTGGATGGTGTTCCATGTTTGGCACTTGACAGTTGTGCTTGGTGGTTGGTGCTCAGCATTTTGCGCTTGGCATCCGGCATCTGTAACAAATGCCAGGTGGTGACATTTTGCATTTTAATGCCTTGTATCATCCATACAAAACCATATTAACATTTTGGGAAATCATTTAATTGTAGATTCAAGAGATTGAAGGAGAAGTGAAGGTGGCTCCCCCTTCCTTCAGAACTCAGATGTTATCTACTGTACGCAACTATAGACGACAGTTAGATCAAGTTGGCAGAGAATTGGTAAAATAACTTATTTTACTTTTAGACCCCTGCAAGTAATTAGTTGTCTACGTCTGTTTAATGGTGCCATGATTGGAAATCTCACAAGTCAAACCAGTGTTCTCCCAAGGATTTTGTCTTAAGTGCATTATTCCTTATTTCACAATTAAAGACCAAATGTGGTCAAAATATGTCCATCTTTATGATTTTTCCATTTTCAAGTGAGTTCAAATAGATTCTCAGGTTGGTGCATGCCTTTGTTTAAATCTCAGGTGGGTGCAGGGCCCACCTGTTTTAATGCTGGGAAGAACACTGCAAAACTTTTATTTGTATTTATAGGATACAGGGATTTTGATGTCTCTTAACCATCCATTTTAGTATAAAATGAATAAGAAAAGGCCAATAATTGTTGAAAACCAAATATTTTAAAGAAACAATTAACTTGTATTGTAATAACAAAAAAACATAGCTTAAACATTGCTCACTGAATTTTTTTTCTAAAACAAAAAGAAAAAAAGTTTCTCACAGAATACTAGATTTACAGGCACATATTACTGAAATAGTGATATCTCAAAAATTATTTGATATTCTGAGCCATAATATTTTGGATTTATGACTAAATTGAATGAGCGAATAAATCTCATTCTGAACTCAGTACCAGTGGAAAAATCTATGTTGAATGTTACCGAGATGCCTGATAAAACTTTTTCTAGTTTTTTTTTTCAAACCAAAAATGATTCAATGTTTTTCTGTATTGTAGAGACAGGCAAATAGCAGTTTTGGCAGTGTCAACTCATCCAGAAATGAATTTGAGGTAGGATTTGTTTCCATATATTTAATGGGCAGTGTAAGATCAAAAGGGATAGGTCGACCAATAGCCAGTTTTCATTAGAAAGGCCTATAATATTTGACAGGAGCTCCAATTTTTTCATGTTGGGTGCTTTGATTTTTCAGTGGAACTCAAAATTGCTCAAAATGTAAATGCCAAAAGATGACTTGTAGGGTAAACACTGTTATTAAAAGAGGGTATCCTATATTGACTTGTAGGATATCACTGTTGCTAAAAGAGTTTACCCTTATTGACTCATATTTCAGGATATGACTGCTGCTCAAAGAGGCCGTTTACTGCAGGGAACAGAATCATTGAATAGGACAAGTCAGAGTATAGGTAGATCCCACCGTATTGCGGCAGAAACAGATCAAATAGGAACAGAAATAATTGATGAGCTTGGTACACAAAGAGAATCCCTCATACGAACAAGAGACAGGGTAAATATTAATATTGTTTCTCTATTAAAAGTTTGCTGGTATTCCAATTGAGGTCAAATTTATCTTCCAGTCTGCCCCTGGCTATAGACTGATGTTTATGTATCAAGTAAACTGTATGTGATTTTCTAAAATGCCAATGGCAATATTTTACACATCTCAAATCTCATAAAGGATCGCTAAAGGAAAACTCTTAAGTGTAACATCTCCTAAATTGTTTTTAAAGACATTTTCAAGGTCAAATTGCTGTCAAATATTTTAGGAGATATTTGAATTCATACCAGGAGCTAGTATAGTCAACAAGTATCTATTCCTATGTCAACAAATATTATACTTTTCTCATCGATAATGATTTATTTTTTTATTATAATTTATTAGAAAAAGCTGTCTTTACAATTATGAACCTTGCCTTTCTTAAGATTATAATAAGCAATCCGACAGTCACTTGTCTGAATATCCAAAATTTGTTTTCTGAATGAACCCCTGCTCATATGTTGTTCTCTCCATCTCAGGGACTGCCTCATCAATTTGTATAACCTCATCTATGACTGTTCTAAATCCTTTCACTCGAAGCAATAAGGCTTCAATGTCATTGAGATGTCCCCCAATGTCAGCCATGTCTTCGTCTCGTAACAACAAAGTTGTCGGGAAAATAAATGAAGATATTGCCGCTGGGAATATTGGTTGTTTTTTTAGTATTTCTGAATGGAATTTTACATTTGCACTTATGTATACAATTCTAAACTTCGGAATAATACTGATAACTACAATGTGAATTCCATACATACGTCTTCCCATTCCTCCACAAAATACGGTAGAATGTGCGGTGCTTACATAATATGGCCTTTTGTACATTATAAATGGGGTCCCACCTCTCAGGCTTGATGGATATTTTTGTGGCTCAAAATTCTCATTTTGTTTTTGAACAATTTTGCATTTGCCGTCAAGTTGATTACACTGCAGGATTACAAATGGATCGAATCCATATATTAAATACAGTTTGTTGTTCTCGTCGTCGACAAGTGGACTCCAGTTACGCTCTGCTTTTCTCATTTGAATCAGTGTTCCATTTTCTTCGTATATCTGAAGCCGGTGAAGTTCCCCTGTATGAAATGACAGCATATACATGTGAAATGAATCCTCTCTCCAATTCTGCATGTCAAATAAAATAAATGGTTGCTCTCTGATTCTAAATAGTCGTGGGTCCCTGGGTCCATTCCTCTCACTTTCTGATGTGATCATACCTAGAATTGAACCCGTGTTTATGGGTTTAAATATGGGTGAGTACATCATAGTGACCATAACATTGGTGGGTGCCTTTTTTTTTAATGTCTCTCTCGGAACATTTCTGCAACGAGCTACAAGGGCATATGTTCCGTCTTCATTTTCCAAAATGGCAGGTGACATGAAAAATGGATGCATGACTCGTTCCGGGTCTGATCTTTGTAGAATGTTTGAAAGCTCAATCGAAAATGAATGCAAAAATGCTGTTGATATTGTAAAGTTGATGGTACTCATTTTTGCCAAATGAATGCCATGCAGTCTGAAATTATGAGTGTAGTATTCCTTCATGGACATATATCCTTGTTTACTTCCACTGTGTTGTTGTTGCTTGCATGTTTGTTCAAACTTACGTTCAGTGGCATTGACTTTCCCCTGCTCTATAATGTTATCATATATCATTTTAGAGTTAGAGCTTTTGTTTGGTTCCTCATTTTTGTCATTCTGAAAAAGTTTAAATTTATCAATATTTGTTAGTCTGTGTTTCCAAGTTTTCTTCTTTAGTGTATTGTCAAGAACACTGTTTGCCCGATCATCCTTTTTGCTCAAATATGGAGTTATCTGATGGTATATAAGAAATAGTAGGGCCATCACACCTAGTTCCAGTCCTAAAAAGAACACAAATGTCTTTAACTTCATCTTGTGAACAAACCTATTTTAGCCTCTAGAGTTTTATCCCTGATTCTATAATATTGATCTGGCCTTACAATATTAGAGTAGTTCTGTATTTGGATAATGTATTATATAATGTGTAAACATTTGAATACTCTGTAGTAGGCTAAACCACCGGCACTCATTTTACAGAGGTATTAAAAGAATTGCAGAGGACATTCTGAATAGAGCTGCATGTAACTTTAAAGGGCCCATGCTTGCCTGTAGTTTTGAAATATTGCTTTATCATCCAAATATTCCTTTTTGTGACTTAAAGGTACAGTTTGAAAATATTGTTCAATCCAAATCCAAATATTGTTTGGTGTTTTAAATGTTTCTGTGCAGTTGCTTTGAGAATGAGATTTAAATTTTTAAAATCCATTTTATTCTGAAACACTTATAACAACAAATGGTAGGTGGTGGCATTTTGCATGGTAAAGTCTTGTTTGCTTTTTGTCTTGACATCGATATGTCGTATTAAGTGAATAATGCCATAAAATGCTAATGATATCAGTAACCCAGGGATATTCCCCACAATCATGAACCACCCCAGGGATATTCCCCTTAATCATGAATCACCCCAGGTATATTCCCCTTAATCATGAACCACCCCAGGGATATTCCCCTTAATCATGAATCACACCAGGGATATTCCCCTTAATCATGAACCACCCCAGGGATATTCCCCTTAATCATGAACCACCCCAGGGATATTCCCCTCTATCATGAACCACCCCAGGGATATTCCCCATAATCATGAACCAACCCATAAATTGAAACCGCTAACCATATCTCATGCTCTCTATTCTTCCAGTTGGAGGACACCCATGAGAACTTGTCCCGAAGCAGGAGGATCCTCAATACGATGAATAGGAGGCTCATCACCAATAAACTACTGCTTATCGTCATCATTCTTGTCGAGATCATAATTTTAGGTGTACTCATATATTGGAAATTTTTTATGAAAAAAAAATAATTCAATGATATATTTATTTGTGTAATAATGTAAAGATGGTGTGATTTTATGAATAATATGCAGTATGAATTTAATTTCATTTTAATCAAAAACTTAAGGCAGAATCAGATCTATCGTGCAATCTTTTCAAAAAATTGTTTCAGTTGTAAAATATTTTTTGCTCCTTTTTTCATTGTTATGTATTATTTTCTGAAAATCACTCATCTTCATTCCAGGAAAACTAATGATCTTTGCATATATATGTGATGATGTCTCTTAAAAATATGAATATCCACATTTATATTTTAGGATGCACATTTTGCACTGAATAATAAATAAGCTTTCTGAAAAGTTTCTTAAAAAGGTTGGACTAATTCCTCTTCGACCCAAAGTTAAAAAATCTCTAAAAGTTAATTTACTCTTAAGGTGCACAATTTTGAACACTAAATCACAATCCATATTATATGTCAACAAAGTTATATGCGGATGGAGATTAACATAAATCCAAATGAAAAATACTTTACTTGATCAATAAAAAAAATTGACATTTTGCCAATTGTCTATAGTATTCTGGCCCCACCAAAAATGTGCTGCCATCTATTTATCTGTCTATATCTATAGCAAATGGTCCATTATGCATGTTGCTTCTAGAGTATGTATGTACCATATATCTTTATTGGACTCACTCTTTTTAACTCTGATTCTGCCTTTTGATGACAAAATCAACAAAAACGTTGAAGCAAATGAGAAGCAGTTGTAATTAGGTGATGGAAAAGAAAAGATACAAAGAAAACTTAGATTTTATCCATCAAAATCCAACAAAATCAGAAATAAGAAGGGTCAGTGTAGCCTACGGTGGTGCATTATAAATTGTAAATAGCCAATAAAATAAATAAATAAATATATTTTTAAAAATATGATTGTATCTTGTGTTTTGGACTTGATATTCTACTTAATTTGTAATTATAGATGTCAGATGAGTTGGCTAGATATTTTTATGAGTGATGAGTTTTTACAATAGAGAGGTTGAGCTTTATGCTTTTAAGAGCTTAGTAATATTTACTTGCCCAATTGAGAATAAAGGTACAAGGGATAAAGTTGTAACTGGGTATCACGAGCTGTATATGTTGTGATTTACGACATGTGGCACAGATGACCAGGACACTAAAACAGTTCAGATATTTTCTGTATTTAATTAAGACCTATCATTGATCTAGATGAAATAAGTCAGTTCAAAGATTTGATATTTTAGAGAGAACGGATATGATTATTCAAATTATATTTTCTAATTTTATAAAGGTCGCATGGGTCAGCCTTTTCATGCAGAAAATTCAACTCCAATGGGGTAGGCAAAAATATTTTGTGTACAGATACTCGCACAAAAGTACAATAAAAAATCATTAGAAGAAAAAAGTATTTCAGAAATAAAAATATGAACATATTGGAGAGCCATCCTCATTAATCTAAATAGAGTTTATAGATTTAGTTTATAAGTTTATAGATTAAATAATTTTGAATGAAAATGTTCTTCACAACTGCTAAGATTCTGCTCAATAAAATTTCATTTATTGTCTTTATACTCAAGTGCATGGGTCGATCATTTACTCAACAACAGTATTAGAATATGAGATACACAAACTAAACATTATATGATTCTTTATTGTTTATTCATAATATAATGGGACATAAATGTCATCCCTGCTTGGATTGGATATAAGGTTTATCCAGAGATCATATCCTCTGAATAAATCAATTATACAATCCCTCCCTTTGTATAACCCCAATATACAGAGTAGACAGTAAGCAAGTAGACCATTACATAATCTCATGTTATCAAATCGTATTGTATATTGTGTGTCATCAAAGGACATTGTTTTCTAGCGTGATTCTTCATCACATCCATGTGATTAGTAAAGCACGTTGGTGATCATGCTTGAACTCTGTAAGGACATAAGAGAATCCTGTAGTAGCGTTAATGTATCCTAAATGGCTTTGTCATATTTTTTGAAATTTAATCTCACATTCAAGATTTTTATCAGCTTTATTGTCTGAAAGGTAATATCACTATGTCTCTGCATTCATTGGACTTTGTTGCTCAAAAGAGAGCTTCATCTTCACAGTTAGTTTATAACAAGACTGTCTGAAGGGTAATCATGATGGTAACTTACTGTTTAAGCCTTTGATTTGCTTATAATTAAGACATACTTGTAGAGGAAGAGATCTGCATTTGAACAGCCATCTTGATAATTGAATAATATCAATGTGAATGATACAATACACGTCATATTTGTAATTTCATTGATTTTCAGAGAATCAAATAGAATGAAGGCATACTTAAATCAACAAAAACTTTCACAATTTGGTATTACATTGCGAATCATTCATACACAAGGTCTTTTAGTTGGACAGAAAAAGTTTAGTTATATGCTAGATATATGTTTTACTCAAAATGTGAGGCAGTTTGCAGGCCTGGGAACACCTCAAGTGAGTGACTTACAAATGTTGAACACCTTCCTTCAAATTGTGAGCAACTTGGTTCTAATCTTCAAAGCAAATGTGTGACAAAATATTATATGCAATTCGTGTGGGAACATTCATGTTCTTTTTTGATGTTTCGGCGTTTATTTATGTTCTTCACCAGAAATATTTTTGCTTGATAATAATCAGATAATGATCAATAATCAATGCGTATATGCATGACATATTTTTAGTTTTTTATTATTATATTACTTCATTATCAACAAACTTAAACAAATTAATATTATTTCAGATGAAATAATACTTATCAACCATTACCTCAACAATTAAATCAATAAAATAAATCCTTTGATCAAATAAATTTATTTTTTCCTGTCTGTTCATTCATTCAGCATTCAGACACATTCATACATCACTTCCTCGGACAAAGTCTTATTTATATAGAATTCTTGACTGATCCTAATCCGTAATTATCCACTTTATAGGACAAAACGTAAATTAAACTTATGGCAGTTTGCCATTTGACATCATTTAATGCTCCAGTTCTCGGAAATCCCATAAAGAATTTGTGCAATTCTAAGAAATCTAAATGTAATAATTGATTGGAAGCGATTTTCCAAGAAACCTAACCATATAAGGAACTATCCCATTTATTCAAGATAATCAATTTTAACTCAAGTGGCCTATTGCAGTGTTCAAACTTAAACCCATTAACTGGTGGTATTGTATTCCCGCATTGCATTATTAGAGTCATCCAACAAGTGGCTTGGGATGATGCGAGAACTGTGAAAAATGGAGTCAACCTTTTTAGCACTCTCTATTTTATACCCCCTTATTTGCATTTCCCTCAATTTTTGCTTTCGCAATTACTATTTGATAATAATCAGTCTAACTAGAAAGATATATTCTTTTGATGGTGATAAAGTCAAGTTTTTTATTCAAACATTTATGTCTCCTGGTGGTCTCTCAGACAACTCAAAAATTTACTAAATGACAGGGTCTTCATGTACTTTCTGACTTGGGCTGGCTTTTAGTGTTCGTCCTGTCATAATTGTTAGTGTCATTTGCTAGGGCACCAAGCCTATAAGGCGAGGTCAGAGTAAAAACATACATATATTATTACTATTTTTGATTTGATACCATATCTAAGATTATGTCATTTTAGTATAAAACAGGCATCAAATTCAAAGTTCAACTTGAGTTGAACTTGAAGGATTTATTTTTAGGATGTCATCCATGATCAATATATACTTTACGAGGGTTATTCATTAAAAACAAAATATTCAGGGTTTAAAGGCAATGTTTGTTAACACACTGACAAATGTATAAAGATTTTTAGGGCAAATGGTACAAAACTTGGGATCAACCCTCGTACAAGTTTGTATATCTGGAATTACACAATTTTACAGTTTCAAACACAAGATCTTTTTGTTTCATATGCATTTATTTAATTGTAGAAGATCTACTGTATGTACATGTACATGTTTTGACTAATGCCTTTCATTAGTCATGTTAAAAACATGAAATAAAATGGAAAGGAGTGGAATCTGCAAGGAATAAAGAAAACAATAATGAAGCATGAACTATAAATTGTTAAGAAAAACAACAAAGTCAGAGACTTCTATCAAAACTGAAAGGAACATATAGTGTGAAATGAGATTTTAAAAATACATAATTGTTTCAATAGTTTCTAATGAGCAGGAACAGATAGTATTCATTTTATTTGAATTAATCAATTTTAATCGATACTTCAATACGATGAAATTAAGCTTATTCATGTATCAGAGTCGTAATAATAATTTTCCATTTGAGCTATTGATGTCAATTTATATGTGTCATATTAAAATAATTTGCCCATTTGGCTTGACATTCCTGGAGCCTGTTTCTCAAAACAATATCGTTTGAATTATCCATGAAATTCAATCATATTTTATGTATCTAATATATTACCATGGTAACACCTTATAATGTTACCATAGTAACATCTAACTATTCTGCCATTGTAAGGTCTTTCTATGTTACTATAGTAACATCTTAATGAACAAATGTAAATCAGAAATCTGAATGTGTGATATTTTTGAGAAACAGGCTTCGGGTCATACATGTTCCATGCTTCTTCGTTTAAATTAAGGTGGAGCGAGTAGAATAAATAAACCTCTCGATTAACTTAACCCAGAAAATGTCTCACTGTACCATCCTTAATAAATGTTTATTTTTTTCCTTGCAATTCCACAATCTCTATTGACTTATTGATCGCCCCTTGTATATTTTAAAACAAATGAATGGAATTGAAAAACTTTACTTTCAGGCTTTGGAGAGCATAAACATATTGCCAAATAAATTATTTCACATGAGACAGGCAAATGAGAAAGGCAAATTTAGAAAGTCATTGTAGAGCACAACCATCTACTCCTTGTGATCATTTAAATAAGAAAATAAAGTATGTCTAAAGGAAGAAATGTTTTTTTTATGTTTTTTGTACCAATATACACACAAACCCTACATAAATGCACAGTATACAGCAGAAGTGAGGACTTACTGTATAAGGTACATTACATTCTAGTACAATATACAGCATAAATGTACAATATACAGCAAATGTACACTTGACTACATAACTACATGAACTGTACATTAATTTGTACATATACTGGTGTAAATATTCAATGCATCGTTTATGTCATTATACATATTGTATTTGACCATGATGACATTTCTACAATATGACTATAATTCATTTATTTCCATTTTTGATACTCAAATAAAACAGTACAGCATACAATAAGATGTATTGCATTTAGAACTATCAACATGATTTCAAACTATGCAACAATTTATAACACATGTATACAGTTCCGTGTCAATGTACAATATACATCATCAACACACAATATAATGTACCAATGTACAATATACCGCATCAATGTACAATATTACTGTTTCAATGTACCATATATTGCATCAATGTACAATTAAC